CGATCTTCATTAAATTTTTTAAAATTTTGAAAATCCACGAAATTTTTTGTGAAAATCCGCGAATTATTTTTGTTTTGTTTTACGATGTTCACAAAGAGAACATGTTCACAATTAATTTAGAAGATGGGCGCGAAGCGCCCTATAAGGCTAGTTTACTCAAATTTACAAAAAAAATCATTTTATATTCTAATTTATGGGTTGTCATTTTGCGGATTTCCGTTTAGAAGAACTTACCAAAAATTATTTTTGGTTTATAAAATTAATTTTATCATAAATCTCAGTTTAGAATTAAGCTGTTCAATAATGTATTCATGTTTAATTACCTATTGTATAGCACCGTGCTAAAACGTTTAATTTGAAGGAGATGATTTTTTCATGCTCAATAATGATAATTTTGAATTGTTGTATATTATAGCTCTGTGCTATAAAGTCAATTTTTAAATGGTAGGAGAATTTTAAAAAGAACATTTTATTAATTTTTGTCGTTGCATATTTTTATGGGAAAAAAATTATGAACCCTTCAGAGATTAAGAAGAAGTTTTTTCTTGTTAGTTCAGTTGAGATTCGTGTTTTTGAGAGCAAAGGTTTTGGTTGATATTTTGTCCCATTGATCAGGATCCGTGGATCCTACTTATTCTGCCGTTCCGGGAATCCAAAATTTTGTGTCATTTGGACTTCAATTTTTTTTGGACTTTTCGAAGTTCGGGACAAATTATTTTTTTACGTAATCTCGACAAAGATCTTTTTTCTGTTCAATAACTTCATAGCATTGCGAACCATAATAATTGTGATATGAATTTTTATTAGAAACGTTTGAAAAATATTAATAATATTTAGAACCATCTCCCTGGCCTACTCTCGGATCAAATTCTCAGATATTGCGAAGAAGTTACTCCTAGACTCTCCTGAAGATGCGGAGTTCATCGTAGCAAAGGTAAATCCAGGGTCCTTTGGTCAGGTATATCCAGGGTCCATCCTTTGGGTAAATCTAGGGTCCTTCGGTGAGGTAAATCCAGGGTCCATCCTTCAGGTAAATCCAGGGACCTTCGATCAGGTAAATCCAGGGTCCTTCGGTCAGGTAAATCTAGGTTCCATCCTTCAGGTAAATCCAGGGTCTTTCGATCAGGTAAATTCAGGGTCCTTCGGTCAGGTAAATTCAGGGTCCATCCTTTGGGTAAATTCAGGGACCTTCAGTCAGGTAAATCCAGGAACCTTCGGTCAGGTATATCCAGAGTCCATCCTTTAGGTAAATTTAGGATCCATCCTTCAGTCATTTTTTCAGCATTAATCCACATCTTTTCAACATTAATCCACATTTTTTCAACATTAACCCACATTTTTTGTGTAAGACTCTTAAAATTTTGCCTAGCTTCAACCATTCTACCTAGCTACTGGCTACTATGTATTGATCTACTGAGCTATCTATCTAGCTAGCTAGCTATAAATCTATCTATCTATCTAGCAAGCTTGCTAACTATAAGTCTATCTAGTTGACCCAGGCAGTGAAGAGTGGTGACTTGGTTAGGTTTGATCAGGTTGTCAACAAGTTCGCTGCCCAGTTCCAGGTAGTTAAGTTTACTATCCGTTAAAGGGGGGGGGGATTATTCCAGGCACCATAGTGTATAATTAAGGGGAGGGTTAGTTCCAGGTAGCATAGTATATCATTAAAGGGCGGAGGGTAATTCCAGGCACCATAGTGTATTATACATGGTGTCCCACATCAAATTAGACCGCGTCAATGGGTCTAAATTATGATTTAGGGGACAAATCAGAAAATTTAAGAAGAATGAATCATTTTGAAAAATTTAATAAGGCTAATANAATAATTGTGATATGAATTTTTATTAGAAACGTTTGAAAAATATTAATAATATTTAGAACCATCTCCCTGGCCTACTCTCGGATCAAATTCTCAGATATTGCGAAGAAGTTACTCCTAGACTCTCCTGAAGATGCGGAGTTCATCGTAGCAAAGGTAAATCCAGGGTCCTTCGGTCAGGTATATCCAGGGTCCATCCTTTGGGTAAATCTAGGGTCCTTCTGTGAGGTAAATCCAGGGTCCATCCTTCAGGTAAATCCAGGGACCTTCGATCAAGTAAATCTAGGGTCCTTCGGTCAGGTAAATCTAGGTTCCATCCTTCAGGCAAATCCAGGGTCTTTCGATCAGGTAAATTCAGGGTCCTTAGGTCAGGTAAATCCAGGGTCCATCCTTTGGGTAAATTCAGGGACCTTCAGTCAGGTAAATCCAGGAACCTTCGGTCAGGTATATCCAGGGTCCATCCTTTAGGTAAATTTAGGATCCATCCTTCAGGTAAATCCAGGGTCCATCCTTCAGGTAAATCCAGAGTCCTTCGGTCAGGTATATCCAGGGTCAATCCTTCTGGTAAATCCAGGGACCTTCGGTCAGGTAAATTCAGGGTCCGTCGGTCAGGTAAATCCAGGGTCCATCCTTCTGGTAAATCCAGGGACCTTCGGTCAGGTAAATTCAGGGTCCGTCGGTCAGGTAAATCCAGGGTCCATCCTTCAGGTAAATCCAGGGACCTTCGGTCAGGTAAATTCAGGGTCCGTCGGTCAGGTAAATCCAGGGTCCATCCTTCTGGTAAATTCAGGGACCTTCGGTCAGGTAAATTCAGGGTCCGTCGGTCAGGTAAATCCAGGGTCCATCCTTCAGGTAAATCCAGGGACCTTCGGTCAGGTAAATTTAGGGTCTGTCGGTCAGGTAAATCTAGGGTCCATCCCTCAGGTAAACCCAGGGTCCATTGTTCAGGTAAATCTAGGGTTCTTTGTTTTGGTTGTTGTTGTTGTAGCCAATCATCCGGTCATTAGATCTCTTCTCTTCATATAGTCCAAGGAAGCTTGCAGCCTTCTGTGGTTTGTCCCAGAGACTGCTATTGGTTAGTTGGGTGGGTTTAGAGGTGCAATTGAATATATGAGTTGTGTCCTGTGGAGCTTCCTGGCAGTTTGGGCAGATATTTTGAATGTCGCTGTCTATCCTAGACATCTAAGAGTTTAGGTAGATACTGTATCCTGATCTGAGTTTAGATAGTCATCTTATCTTCCTTGATGTAACTTTTCCTGTTTGTTAACTTCTAGCGGCCTTCTGTGGAGAACTTTGTTGTGTTGTAGTTGGTCTATTGTTTCAGAGACATATCTTATGTCTATGCATTATAGTCCTTTCTTTTGTAGTCATCTGAATAGTTCTTGTATTTCCGAGTTATTACCTGCCGAAAGGCAGCCAAGAGCTAACTTGGATCTCTTCATTCATCTTGGTTTTTTAAGTCTAAATGTTGTGCAAAGTGTTTAAGGATTGTTTAAACCTGGACATACATTACACAGTACACACATATCTTAATATATTATATATATTTATTTCATGTTTTAGGCGATTAGAGATGGAGTTATTGAAGCTGTACTAGGTAGGATAATCTATACCTTGTTAAAATTTACAAAATATTTAATATTATTGTGTTTATATTATAAAGTATGGAAATTGACACGGGAAGGGGTGTGATGTATATTTTTTAGAATTAAACCCCGGAATACCCGCCAACCCCCCATTCCAATTTAGCAAATAAAATCCTTTAAAAAAAACATCTATAACTTCTGGGGATTTTCAAAAGGGGGTGGAAGAAAAATTAATTCTAGAGAAATTTACTTTATTTTAACTTTAATAATTTAAATAACTATATTTTACAATATTTTAAATATTTATATGATATCAGATGAAAATATTTTGAGATTTCTATATTTCTTGTTCTTTATTTTTTCTTGCTCGTCCATCTTTCAATCATATTCGGCTGATTTTGTAAATAAAAAGGAAAGAATTTCATTTTGGATGTCCTTGTAGTTCGCCACTTTACAAGAAAAAACTATTTTTAAAGGATCTTGCTTTTTTCCTGAACCCTATATTTAAATAAACTAGCTGAGGATCCTGCTTTCTTTCTTTTCTCTGAACTCTATATAGAATTGTTTACTCTTAATTTCCAATGTGCAACTAAATGCAGCGCTCCACCAAACTGTAAAGACGGGAAAATCTACATTTTTATTTACATCCCTTCGTAAGGGTTGAAAATTATTTATGAACGTACTTTCTACAGAGATTATTTTAAATATCTGTATTTTCAAAATTTAAACCTTAAAGGAATTCAGCTATTATCAAAGGGACAGACCAGCTATGTAGGGTAGTTAAACTGAGTATGCAATGTTGTGGACAAATTCTTAAGGATTCATTTGAGACATATTAAATGTTTCCACGATGTATATATATGGTAGTGTACTAAACTTTTTATAAGTTATGTACTAATTATTTTAATTACTGAGTTTGAGCGCAAAGACGACGTTCAAAATCATGAATTTGGGTGGGTTCATTTTCAGAATCGGTTTTTTTAATCATCAAATAACGACGACGAAAAATGTCAAAAAATATCAACAATAAACTAATTAAATGTTTATGAACATATTTCTCAATAGCAATTTGTAAATAAATCAATGTAAGAATCAAATTATTTGTTTTCATCACTATTATGAACTATTTAAAGGATAAGAATATTTTTTTTGTTCGCTGATTTCTTCAAATTTTTCAACTGTCGTCTTTTCAATAAAAATTTCAGGAAATCTACAGAAAACGTTTGTAAACAATGAGACATTAGAGAAACAAATGACTGAATAAGATTACTTCTATTTTCGATGACAGTCAATTTTTATTTTATCAATCTGTTCCTAAACACTTAATTGGTTTACTGTAGAATTTTTGCTACAATTCTTGTTGTCATTATTTAATAATTTTTAAAAAATCGATTCTCAAAATTCTATAGTAAACTAATTAGATGTTAAGGAACATATTTCTCAAATGAAATCGAAGTTAGAGAATTTTTCATCATCATATTGAATTTCTTATTTCCCATGAATTTGTTCGCAGATTTCTTAAAATTCTTCAAAGTTTTATATGTCTCAAATGAATCCTAACGAATTTGTCCACAACACTGCATACTTAGTTTAACTACCTTACATAGCCGGTTTGTCACTTTAACAACGTTTTAGATTATAAGAGTACGCTCGTTGGTATTTTTTAGTTCTTATAAAGAGACTGTTCACGTTGTTTTATATCAGGTCTGATTCATATCAGTACCTTTAATAAACCTTATTCTGAAAAATATTGAGATTTTAGGAAGATCTGTTCGTAGATCTTTCAATCTTTAAAATGTTAAATTTTGACAATTGTCCTCCGCATCATAAATCCGCAATGTCTCGACTTAAAATGATGTCTTAAGTCTAAAATTCAGTTTATCATATTAAAAATTGGATTTTGCTCCCCAAATAGGAACTCATTCATAAATATTGACAATATTAATATTAATATTAATATTAATACCAATCCAAATATATTTGTTTAGATCACGAGAACGGATGGATGCAGAGTAAGGATACTAGTGATGTTTATGCAACTAGGTAATTAAATCCCCAGCCTCGTGTTACTAAACAGTTTCTAAACTAATTGCTCCCTCTTTTGTTTTGCAAAATTAACTGATTTTTCAACCATTTTATTTCATATTTCATTTTGAGTGACATACATTATTTTCATTATTATATCACTAGTATTATCATCATTATCACTATCGTTAGCAATCTCAATATTAATATCAAGATCAAGATCAATATTCAATACCATTATCATTATCATTATTCAATATCAATAATCAATATAATTATTCAATTGTCAATAATATATCGTTATCAATATCAATATCAAGATCAAGATCATTATCATTATCATTAAAAACAATTCATCGCATGTTTTATTTGATTTTATTAAAATGTATGCTGCATGGTTATAATCCTGATGAATTTTGGGGAGAAAAACTTTTTTTACAGTTGGTATGTTGTCAAAGCTTCCGCCCCAAAATTCGTGACGGATCCAAGTGGGATATATTTAAAGATTTTAAATTTATATTTGATGCAAGAAAGAATGTAAAAGCGGAACCGGATCCATACTCATATTTTGATCGGACAAATCAATCAAAATTCATCCTAAGCATTGTGCCCTGATAGTCATGATAGTCATGGTGATCGTGACGGGTATGATGGACATGATTTTCATGATGGTCATGACGGCCATGATTTGCATGTTGGTTGACGGGTTTAATGGTCCTGATGGTCATGATGATCATGATGGTCCTGACTATCCTGATGATGATCATGATGGTCATGAGTATAATTAAAAATATCTATTAAGGTGAAAGCAATGAGGTTTCCTCCTAAATCCTACAACAAGGATCTAGAGTCAGCTGAGGACAGAAGGGAGAGGGAAGCCCAGGTAAGATTTTGTGTCTTGTTATTGGGATCGTAACGCTTATCTTGAAAAAACAACAGAATAATTATCGCTAATTTCACAATGAAAGGGAGTGTTCGCGAAAAATGGAAGGTGGTATGGTATAGGCTTATGTTGAAAAGAATTCGATGTTGATCGCTACTAATCTTACATTTATCTGTTGCGTCTATATGGAGAAAATGGTTAAAACACAATATTTTTATTTGTTTTATATATGATGCAATTTAAACGAAAATGTTGGCCTCCAGGTGTCTCTGATCTCGATTTATCTGTGGTTCCACGCGGGAGAGACACCTAGCGGACAAAAAAAAACGTTGTTTTAAGTGCATTGTATGTAAAACAAATTAAATTATTATGAAATATCAACTATATACGAATGAGTCGAAAAAATTGATGATTCTAGGTTGTTATATATAAATGATTTGTTTTGAATAAATTGAACTATTTACGATCTGAGCACTACGTTCTTCAGGCCGAGTTGTGGTAATAAACTGCACTTTCTCCCTATAGACGCAACAGATAGAAGTGCCTCAAACAATCTCTAAAATTCATAATTTGATTTTTAAATTTCATGGTGTTTAAAGTGACTGTAGTCGTAATGTCAAGTGAACTCGATGATAAAGCAGCATTTACGATTCACAATGGTACCCTGAAAGCTTTGTATTTTTAAAGGGAGTGACCGGCAATGTATTGTAGTTGAATGGAGAAGGTAGTTTTGCATAGACATTTTTTAGGATTTATTTGTGGCATATAAAACGTTTTAATGTTGCATTATTACTGAGTTTTAGCGCAAAGTCGACGTTGAAAAATCATCCAATAAGGTGGTTACGTTTTGAGAATCGATTTTTAAAAAATTATTAAATAATGTCAACAAAAATTGTAGCAAAAATGCTACAGTAAACCAATTCAGTGTTTAGAAACAGATTAAAAAATAAAAATTGACTTTCATCGAAAATAAGTAATCTTATTCAGTTATTTCTTTCTCTAATGTATAATGCATAAACAAACTGTATCATCATAACCACCCAAATGGATGATTTTGAACATAGACTTTGTGCTCAAACTCAGTAATTATACATCATTAAAATGTTTTTCTTGTCTCAAATGAATCCTAAAAAAAAATTCTCAGTTCAACTACTGCACATTGGCAGTCTCTCCCTTTAAGAAGGAATAAGATATCCATGTAAAATTCATTTAAATTCATTATTTTCCTTTAAAGGGTACTATTGTTAATCAGGCAACTCTTCTAAATTACAACGACAGTCCCTTTAAATATTAAAACATCAAACTATAAAATAATGATCAAATAAATATAATCATATTTAATTATTAGCATTTTTATTAATTAATTGTAATTCCGTATTGGATTCATTCATCGAAGGTGAATTGTAAAATGATTTTTTGATTATATTTGTATGACTATATATAGACACTAGACAGTAGGTGGGAGTGAATTTAAAGATTTCATCACAGAACTATGGCGACTTTTTGATTGGAGGTCGTCTTCGTTAGCTAACTGGGACTCCAAGTTTTAACCTCCATGTCTCTTTTTCTGAGATCTGGGATTTCGCAATACATGAGAAAAATGCTTGTTTTATTTTTGGAAATTAACTCCCCCCTACTAGATAGGCTATTTATAAACAGAAGGTCACTTGATATCACGTTTCTGTCCCTTTGAATAAAATCTGGTTGTTTTATTTAGGATCTTGAACTGGCGAAGGAAATGGCTGAAGAGGATGACGATGGATATTAATTTTATAAGTTATCATTGATCAAACCATACTAATCAATTATATCAATTCATTCCATGCATTGATAGGGAAAAGTTAATAATTTCTATGTATAATGAACCCGTATTCCAGGAACTTCTTTCTAAAATCTTCAAAATAAATTCAAGTGAACGAGAGTAATAAAAATGGAATTAAAAGTTGTCCTCTGTATAATGAATAATTTTCAATAAAATATTTTCAAAAATCCTTTTCTCTTAATTTTAAGCGGCTTGTTAATCACGTTGTATTTTCTTCTAAGAGTGTTGTATAAGGTGCTAGGCTTTTACTGCCCTTCGCGCCCATCTTCTATTTCAATTGTGAACATAATCTCTTTGTATCGCTGTAAAACAAAATTTCGCGGATTTTATATAATAAAACCTGGTGGATTTTGAAAATTTTCAAAAATCGAATTTTGTTTAGAAGCAATTTTTTGAAAATTCGATCATTCATAAACAAAGGGAGGACGGCCGAGGCCAACCACCTTGAAACCCTCGTCCTTTAATATTATTTTTTTTGAAGTGTTTAATCCTCCCAGATAAAATAATTTTTAAGAATTGGGCCTCGCTAGGGAATAAATGAAATATTGAATTTTTGTGAATCGAAAAAAAAGTTAAAATTGAATTAAAGTTTTGAAGTTTAATGTCCTTAAAAATGTTCACCTTTTTTACGCGCATTTTCAGATATTCCTGGTGTAGAATGCCGCAAATAATTACGAGTTCATAGAACTTTAATCTTTTTGTTAATTCGGTTGGTTCTATGTGAAAAATTGTAGACAGCGGTATGCCAAATGTTTTGCAATTTATGTTATATCGCGAAGTTTTAGCCATTATTGAGGCAGAAACTTTACCTAAATAAAGTTTGATATTATTCTTATGGGTTTGAATATTCCAACATGATTTTATGCCGTAACGTGGCCACTGGCCAGATTTAAAAAAATAGTTTATCTTCGAAAAATGGAAACTTAAAAACACATAAAACTCGAAAGACGAGGATTCCGAGTTGAATGTGGCTCGGACGAGAAAATGTTGTGGCTGGTCTTCCTCTCCTCCATAAACCGTCACGCGAGGTTCCATAAAAAATTTGGGCCCGATCGGTTCAGCCGTTTTGGATATAAACAGACAGACAAGCAAATTACATCTATAGATTGAAAAATTTATTCGTACAAGAAAAAGATAATATTTCACTATTTTGGTTTATAATTATAATTTATACTAGGCTTTTAGGGCGCTTCGCGCCCATCTCCTATTTAAATTGTGAAAATGTTCTTTTTGTTTACACTTATCATTCATAAACCTTTCCTGTGGTCACGTGATGTCCCACACAAAATTTGGGCCCGATCGGTTCAGCTGTTTTGACGTTTATTGGATACAAACAAACAGACAGACAAGCCAAATTAATATATAGACATTTACTAGATTTTTCGAGAAAGTATAATTGTTAGAAATTGGAATTAAATAACAAAATGTCGGAGTGCTGGGTCTGGTTTCTAAAATTTGCCAATTCAAAAATATCAAGAATTAACGGAAAATCGCTTCATTAAGTTTAGTTAGTAAGTCGACCCCCCCTCCCCCCTCCAGCTTTATTTTTTTTACAAATAAGGAGTAAAAATGATGCATTACCAGTTTTTTCTAGTTTTCTTTATCCCAATCTTCAGCCAGTTTGTATAAAACTATTTAACAAGCGTATATTTAGATATTTACATTTATTCATTTCAAGTTGGATCCGGATCCGGAGACTAGAAAATAAAATAAAAAATTCGTTTTCAAAAATTGTTTAATACACTTGTAGAATTAGCGACAGGGTTAAAGTTTCTCTTTCTTAAAAATTGCAAATCAGGACAAAATAATAATATTTTTAGAAAATCGTTGAAATTGGCCGAAAAGTCGAGTTCGTCGACAATAGCAGATTTTTAGCTCAAAATTCTAGATAGTTAAGTAAATTAGATAGATAGATAAGAAAGAAAATTTGCCCTTTTAAAAGGGCTACCCTTTTCTCCAACCGGCCCTAGGCCATGGTTACGGTTCATCTTAAATCACACACAACTGTTCTTAATTACCTAGAATTAATAACGTGTATATTATATATCTAAGGTTAGTTAGAAAAGAACTTCCAAATCTGGATTCTTCCAGATATTTTCAGTTTCTCTTGTAAATACATAGTACTCCTACAGGATAACACGTTCTATATATTACTAGCTACTTATCCCGCACTCGGTAGATTATACCGGGAATCTAAATCTTTGCTATAAAAGTACCTATACCCACTCAGCTTAGAATCTCAAAACCAAGCTAAGAACATTCCCTCCCGAGTTTCTAAATCAAAATTTGAGGCAAATTGGTCAAGGGGTTCCTGAGTTATGATCGGAAAAACAAACAGAGAATACAACTTTCCAACCGGCCCTAGGCCATGGTTACGGTTCATCTTAAATCAAACACAACATTAACAACGTGTATATTATATATCTAAGGTTAGTTAGAAAAGAACCTCCAAATCTGGATTCTTCCGGATATTTTCAGTTTCTCTTCTTTGTAAATACATAGTACTCCTACATGATAACACGTTCTATATATTACTAGCTACTTATCCCGCACTTGGTAGATTATACCGGGAATCTAAATTTTTGCTATAAAAGTACCTACCCACTCAGCTAAGAATCTCAAAACCAAGCTTAGAACATTCCCTCCCGAGTTTCTAAATCAAAATTTGTGGCAAATTGGTCAAGGGGTTCCTGAGTTATGATCGGACAAACAAACAGAGAATACAACTTTATATTTATATTAATAATAACAATTTAATATGTTAAAATCCAGTGGTCAGAATTTAAAAAATTAGACTTTCTCAAACTAAAATCCCCTGATAAGATAAGAAAATCATTTTTTCTTAACAGATAATATTATTATGGAAAGCGTGGGACTTTGCTAAGCATGGCTTTCAGGGCGTAGTTAAGTCTATTTATGCCCCTGAAAGAAAAGATAGCTAGATTTTAGTATATGTAACGGCCCAATAGTTTAGGCAACGAAGTTGAAAATAAAAATATATGGGATAATTGGACTCTACTTCAATAAATCTATCAATACATATTTCAATATATCTTACAATTTTCCCTTCTGAAAAAAACCTTCAATATATCATGTAAAGGTTACAGTTGTTGTAATTGTACAGGGTGTCCCACGAAACATGACAGTTGGAGAATAGTTTTGAATGTCTTACTCCATATACTGTATTAGGTATTAAAGACTTTTTGTAGTTTATTTTGTATAAAAAATCTTTTACTGAAATATATTTTACGTTGAAATTAGCTCATTTAAGATTTTAGCATCCGCTTACCTAGTTTACAGATTTTGGGCACATCTCTGTTTTCCGCATTCTTACAAAATATCCTTGTCATCACAATCACCAATAATTGCAAAATTGCCATGCCCATAAATGATAATAGGAAGCGTTTGTGTAGCATATCCTACTCCCTCCGTCGTAGCGGAGGCCAACGGGGAAAATCATTTTCAGTGCAGAGGAATTTTAAATTATAATTCAAAAGCTATTATTCTTTTGGAAGAGTGTAATTAGTTTCTTATTCATGGTGTCAATACCATACGGCCTTCTGATTTAAAGATAAGTCTATTAAGTGTATACTTACTAACCCTAATATTAAATGATTACCATCCCTCCGATACAATGATAAATGTCTTGAATGTTAAAAACCATCCCTCCGATAGAATGATAAGTGTCTTGAATGTTAAAAACCATCCCTCCGATAGAATGATAAGTGTCTTGAATGTTAAAAACCATCCCTCCGATAGAATTATATAGTGTCTTGAATGTTAAAAACCATCCCTCCGATAGAATGATAAGTGTCTTGAATGTTAAAAACCATCCCTCCGATAGAATGATAAAGTGTCTTGAATGTTAAAAATCATCCCTCTGATAGAATGATAAGTGTCTTGAATGTTAAAAACAATCCCTCCGATAGAATGATATAGTGTCTTGAATGTTAAAAAACATCCCTCTGATAGAATGATAAGTGTCTTGAATGTTAAAAAACATCCCTCCGATAGAATGATAAAGTGTCTTGAATGTTAAAAACCATCCCTACGATAGAATGATAAAGTGTCTTGAATGTTAAAAAACATCCCTCCGATAGAATGATAAGTGTCTTGAATGTTAAAAAACATCCCTCCGATAGAATTATAAAGTGTCTTGAATGTTAAAAACCATCCCTCCGATAGAATGATAAGTGTCTCGAATGTTAAAAAACATCCCTCCGATAGAATGATAAGTGTCTCGAATGTTAAAAAACATCCCTCCGATAGAATGATAAAGTGTCTTGAATGTTAAAAAACATCCCTCCTATGGAATTGCAAGTGTCTTCAGTGTAAATTACAATGCTAATATGCCAAGGTTGTGTAGCATATCCAACTCCTCTGTCATAGCGGAGGCCAACGGAGGGAAACTATTTTCAGTGGAGTGATTGGAAATTATAATTCAAAAGTTATTACTCTACTGGAGTCCTATTTAATAATAGCATCTCTCAGATGGGATGATGATTGTCTTGAGTGTTAATTACCAACCCTCCGATGGAAAATTTTGTGCTGATTATCATCTATGGTAAAATTACAAATTTTAATTCATCCCTGAAAAGATGCGTCCACCGTTTGCCTCCGCTTAGCAGAGATAAATCTCTTGTTTCTAAATCTGCGTACATTGAATCAAGCAGTTTATGCATTTTATATATACAGATCACGTGAAACTAAACTATTTTATATATACAGATCACGTGAAACTAAACTATTTTATGTATACAGATCACGTGAAACTAAAGCGAATTGCACGTAAATTTAACTCTTATCTGTTTTCAATCATAATTCCTTTTATTGAAGAACCAATGAGAAGAACAAAAAAATAGAATTTTTAGTTTGTAACCGGATTAATTTGATCAGCTGTCTTACTTGTGCATAAAATCGAAACTAGAGGATCTATGAGGTCCCAAAGTTGTATCAGTAATATCGAATACATTTCTCCTTCAGTCTGGTTCAGTGTGTAATGACAAGTATAAAGATCGATACTGAATATGCGTGAAACATACCGAAATTAAACCTGCTCCTGATATTTTTTTATTATGGACATACAGGGTGTCCCATGAAAATGACTGTTGGAGAATAGTTTTGAATGTCTTTTTAAATTTATTGTATTAGACAATAAAGATTTTTTTGCAGTTTATTTAGTTTTAAAAAATCTTTTACACAAATATGTTTAACTTTGAAATCCAAGTTAGCTATAATATGACTGCCATTGAATATTTTGTTTATCATTTTCTTTGGTGTTAAATAATTTATTATTTAAGAAGACATTTTAAACTATTCACCAACTGTCATGTTTCGTGGGACACCCTGTACTTAAAGGCGTCTACAAATGGCCATGTTTTCTTGGACTCACTGTACAATGTAGAAATATATGTATATTTTTGTACAGTGTCTGAAATTTGAATTAAGTAATGAAACATATGTAAAAGCATAGTTTTTGTTTAAGCAAATTACAGAAGGTACAGGATTATCTTCAAAGAATGAGGTTTGAAAGACGACGTTGAAGAAACTAGTTATGTTTTTTTCCTTTCAAGGTTCCCAGCAGCTGTATCTTGTTTTTATTTTTCCATTCAAGGTTCCCAGCAGCTGTTTCTTGTTTTTTCTTTTCCATTCAAGGTTCCCAGCAGCTGTATCTTGTTTTTCTTTTTCCATTCAAGGTTCCCAGAAGCTGTTTCTTGTTTATTCTTTTCCATTTAAGGTTCCCAGCAGCTGTTTCTTGTTTATTCTTTTTACATTCAAGGTTCCCAGCAGCTGTTTCTTGTTTATTCTTTTTTCCCAGCAGCTGTTTCTTGTTTATTCTTTTTACATTCAAGGTTCCCAGCAGCTGTTTCTTGTTTATTCTTTTTCCATTTAAGGTTCCCAGCAGCTGTTTCTTGTTTATTCTTTTTACATTCAAGGTTCCCAGCAGCTGTTTCTTGCTTAATCTTTTCCAAATCATAAGTTAGCTAACCAATGCCAAATTTAACCTTCAGATCGGCATATTTAAGACTTTCAGTTTGTCATAAAAGTATTTTTTGGGGGGGTTGTTGTTAACCATTTATAAAACAACATATAAAGTAGATTTATAAAACATCGTTTAAAATTTATATTTTTGTAATTTTAGGAATTGTTTGTGTGTTTGTCAGGATTCTTAAAGAAACCTCAAAACACCAAGTTTTGTAATTTTGAATAATTTACGAAAAACAGGAAATTCTGCCAAAATGGTATTTCAAAGAATAAACCTATTTTATCTTGAATTTATACTATAGGATAATACTGGAGAGAAGGGTGCAGGTTACTCTTAATTACAGATTTCTGAGTTTTTTAAAGGTATTGGACACCCTCCGTTAAAGGGATTGGAGACCCTCCGCTAAAAACGGCGTGTCCAATTTACAATGGTACCAGCTTTCACCTTGGTCGAATCAAGAAAAAATGAGATATTCTTCTAAAAAATGTTGTTCCTGTAATACCGTTTTATGCCTGTTGTCAAGTCCTAGCCTAGACAATTATTTTCTAGAATCATCTTCAAAAATATACTTCCTCAACCCAACCTGCAGGTATTATACCACACAATTCAGTACGCTCAACAACATAAGTTCTTACGAGTTAACTTTGAATGTTTGTTTGTTTGAGTGTGTGTCCTTGACCGCTTGACCGATTTGCCTCAAATTTTGATTTGGGAACTCGAAAGAACTTCTTAGTTAGGTTTGAAACATTTTAGATCTACAGGCAAAGCTGGGTTTCTAAGCTAGTGATTTATAAAATGCAAAATAGTAAAGAAAAATAACTGTATAACATTATGTACATTATAACATTATTGAAATTCCATTTTTTTAAGATTAGATGTACTTAGAAAATTCCAATACGATAGTTATTTTATAAAAAACCAATTTTAGGTAGTTTCTAATTATATGCCTTTCCTAATCAAAGAGGTAACCTTTTTTCGAGGAAAATTTCGGGGTCGTGAAAGAGGGACAAAAAAAGAGTGGATACAAAGCACCCAAAAACAAAATGGCCAATAAAAAAACACCCAAAACATAACACCCAAAAACAAAACACCCAAGATTTCAAAATATCCAATGTTACAAAATGTCCAAAGCAACAAAATGTCCAAAGTTACAAAATATCCAAATTTACAAAATGTCCAAACTTACAAAATATCCAAGGTTACAAAATATCCAAAGTTACAAAATGTCCAAAGATACAAAATGTCCAAAGTTACAAAATGTCCAAAGTTACAAAATATCCAAAGTTACAAAATATCCAAATTTACAAAATATCCAAACTTACAAAATATCCAAGGTTACAAAATATCCAAAGTTACAAAATATCCAAAGTTACAAAATGTCCAAAGTTTCAAAATGTCCAAAGTTACAAAATGTCCAAAGTTACAAAATATCCAAAGTTACAAAATATCCAAATTTACAAAATATCCAAACTTACAAAATAACCAAGGTTACAAAATATCCAAAGTTACAAAATATCCAAAGTTACAAAATGTCTAAAGATACAAAATGTTCAAAGTTACAAAATATCCAAAGTTAAAACATGCCCAAAGATACAAAATATCCAAAGTTACAAAATATCCAAAGTTACAAAATATCCATAGTTACCAAATATCCAAAGTTACAACATGTCCAAAGATACAAAATGTTCAAAATTACAAAATGTCCAAGGTGACAAAATAGCCAAAATTTTCTAAAATTGTCAAAATGATTAAGTTTATAATTATTAAGTAGTATTAGTAGTAAGTAAGGATTTAACCCACGGCTCAGTAACAGAAGATATAATTACAAAGAAAATAATTATACAAAATATATTGGTACATATGATATAAGAAACACAAGATATAAAGTACAAAAGTTTTAAGGCACAAAAGATAAAATTACACAATTATACATACATTTAAAATATTTATTGGTTCAGTTGAACTATTTATATGTTCATTTGAACTCCTAGTCGTAGCGTTTGGCCCCTAGCCTGTCCAAGCCGCAGTGCTCGGCTTAAGATCACTTAAATATATGCATTATTTCAGGGTTAAGTATGGTTCAGATAATTGCTGGGCCGAGCGCTGCGGATAGGACAGGCTAGGGGGCCGAGCGCTGCAACTGTTAGTTCAAATGGATATAAAAATAAAATGAGCCAAAAAACTGTAACTTTGGATATTTTTTAACCTTGGACATTTTGTAATTTTGGACATTTTGTAATTTTGAACATTTTGTAATTTTGGATATTTTGTAATTTTGGACATTTTGTAATTTCGGATATTTTGTAGCTTTAGACATTTTGTAAATTTGGGCTTTTGTTATTTTGGGTGTTTTGTTATTTGTGTGTTTTGTTTTTGGGCGATTTGTAACTTTAGGCGTTTCCAATAAATTTTCAAAATCCACGACATTTTTATATGAAATCCACGAACCTTTTTTTGTTTTGTTTTACAAGAAAAATTGTGCACAATTGAAATATAAGATTGGCGCGATGCACCCTAAAAACCTAGTATTTATATAAAAGTTTATATTATTAAATGTTTAAATTTTTATTTTTATATATATTACGTGGCTCTTGAAACTCCCCCTAGTCTTCTCAGCTGCCGCGGAGAATTCTCCAAGAAGGACGACTTTCATAACCGCCACAATTTCTCGTTAACGACGCCCGTGGCCCACCGTGTTAACGATTTAAAGTATATTGGTATGCAGAAAAAAACGTAACAAAATAGACATATTTATAATAAAACAAGACATTCGTAAATATGTTCCCTTTAGCCGGCCACACGGCTGGACCGAATGGGCTGACATTTTTTGTGGACACTCATGGATAGCGTGAGGGTTACATAGGCTAAACAAATATATCTTTTTTTCAGAATACTTTTTTTCAAAATTATTTTTTTCTCTCTACGGGCAACGCCGGGCTCTTTAGCTAGTGATTTTTAAAACAGTTCAAACACTTTTTTATGTGTCTATAAAAAATCATTTTCAACCATTAACCTATTCAGACATCGGTATCGCGTATTATTTACATATATAAGGTTTCAATCTCTGTTTGTATGTCCGATCATAACTCATGAATCCCTTGGAAGATTGAATCAAATTCTGATTGGGGAACTGAAGAGAACTAGGGAAATGTTCTTAGCTTGATTTTCAGATTCTAAGTTGCGTATCTTACGACCAAGCGCGAGTAAACCGCGGCAGTAATAGCCTGGGCAACGCTGGGTTCTCAAGCTAGCAAAGATATTAAAACTATGACAAAAACCACACATTAACAGAAATGAGTAATGCCGCCCCCCCCCCCTCCCTCCTCCTACCCCACCCAATGTGTTGACGTGCAATGATAAAATGTCTTGTCATATTTTTGTAGATATATAAAAGGTGTAAAGTAACAATTATTCTCAGTTATCTGAACATCTTCAAAGAACCATGAAGGTATATACATGATTTGACTTAAGCAAATTCAAAATTTAAAAAGTTTTTTTTAACAAACTCAGATTTTTTTGTATTATTAAAAATCTTTACATTGAAAATTTCATAAGTTGTATACTTACAAATGAAAATAACAACACAACAATAATCATAATTACCACCCAGTCTGTTCTCAACTTCTTAAGCTAAAGAAAGTTATTTCTCACAAAGCAAAATTGTGTTCTTGATAAGTTTGTTTTTATATCATTAAGCAATTATTTTTTCTGATAAAAATATAAACCAAAAAATTTTAAGAACGTAAAAAAAAGAATTTACTAATCGTGTTGAAAAATTCTTGAGAAGCCTCTTGAAAGTCTAAACACTAACGATGTTTGTTATGTCCTTGGAAAAGTAAACAAAGTTGTTCTCTTTACCCAATCAATAATGTTCAGCCTGAGGTTACAAAATGTTCATGAGCTTGATTTATCCTTGGTTGATATTAATAGGTCGCAAACATTATCAGGAAAGGAATTGAGTATTTGCCACAAAATCTGCTTTTCTAAACCCTATATCTTGGGATTCCAATGTCGTAGACCTTAGATATTTCAAACTATGAATTCTGGTAGATCAAATAATATAAGTTTTAAATATCAAAGATGTACGGCATTGGGTTCTAAAGATATAGACATTATAAATTCAGAGTTTGTGGCAAAGACTCAATTCCTTTGGGATTAAAAAAGTAGTCAGTACATAACTATAAAATATTGTAGCAATACCAAACTTGTTGAAATTTTAAAACAAAACTTTAAAACACCTAAATAATTTTATGAGCTTTAAATTGCTGCTAAATAAAACTTTTTCAAAAAGGTTTATGAAGCATTGATGTTTTGAAATTTCGAGTGATTTTAGCCCTTAAATTTCCCACACTAACCTAATTCTTTTTAAATATTAGGTCTTTGTGTTTTTGAGTATTCTAGCAACCACATCTTATGCTGACTTCATTGGTCAGGCTAGAGGAGGATTCAACCGTAATCAACTAGTACGTGGAGGGCGACAAGCTGGTGGTATTCCAGGTGGAGTGGACTTCAGTGGATGTGTTCAAGATCAAGATACTGGACTATGTTGTGTAGATAAATTAGAAGAAGTTACAACACTACAGAAGGATCCTATACTGGAGTGTACACACAAGAATACAGAACAGTGTCATTACACATATGTAACACAGTTTACTCCAGCTCAAGAAGAGGTTTGTGAGGAGAACTTTGAGAAGTCATGTCAGATCACGTTCAAGCAACAAGCGTTCAATGAGACTGTCAAGAAGTGTTATAAACCTGTTGAAAAGGTTTGCAATGGACAGGGACCTGAAGAATGTAGAACAGTTTATGAATCTTCCTGTACTACCAAATATGTTGAGAAGCAACCTGGTAAGTTTGTTGGAGACACCAGCTGTGAGAAACTACCTGTAGAGATCTGTGGAGCTGGATGTACCTATGAGGAGGGACCTGAGGAGTGCCATGATAAAGTTATTGCATCTCTTGTTGATGTTCCTGAAGAAGTTTGTGATCTCAATCCTCAGAAGACATGTAAGCTAACAACTAAACTGGTTCCTAAGCTGAAACCTGAACATCAATGTACAATAGTACCTATGAAAGCAATGCTCTTGGGTCACCAATTGGAGTTAATCCCCGAAATGGAAGGCGATAAACTTATGAACACCTGAAGCTTGAAACTATCTTTTTTATTTATTTATTTATTTATTTAGTCATCTTTCTTTGTTTTTTTTTCATAATAGTTAAATTGTTAAGTAAATTCTTTTCTGTAAATCAAATAAATGTTCTGCCAAAAATGTTCTGAAATATTATGTTCTGTTCTGAAATGATGGTGCAACTTCAGTTTCCATTTTTCACATTACAATTAATGGAATTGTTTTATCTTTCTGGTAGCGTCTGATCTGATCGTCTGGTGACGATTCAGAACCAATAGAAATAGCAACGGCTTTCTATTTATTGATCTTATCATCCAATTAGAGATGAATCTTGTAATCAGTGCTAAATAGTAAACTGAAATGAGTACTGATATTTAAACAATCTTGGTGCTTATAATCCTAGCTTATATGAAGGTTCTTTGCCACATTGCATTCGTACAAGATTCATAAACCTCAGCTTAAGATAAGGGGTCCTGCGAGCACAAACAAACTTAAATCTCACCTTATAATTGATTTGGAAAATTCAATGTGAAATCCTCGAAATTGATCCAAATACTTATAGTAAACCTAACGCTTTCCTTAAAAAAACATTAAAATAGACTCAAAAGTTATTAATTCTATAAACACAGTCCACAGTGCACACTGGATTATGAGTCCTGTTCATTAAAAATTAGATTTATCATTATAACTGACATAAAAGAGGTTTCCAGTTGAGATCTAATGGTTATGAAAGGTCAAGAGCAGACACCAAAACATAAAAATGTTAATAAAAGGGAGATGAGAGGTCAAAAGAGGGAAATTTCAAAAGATATAATTGAATGACCTGTTAAGAAATATTACATTTCCTTCTAATTAATATAATGATTTAGCATAGAAAACAAGAGTTCTGTTTAATTGCTGTTCCTATTGTATTTGTAGGATATTATTACAATGTCTGATCTTCCAACGGCGATGCAATCTGCAGTTATAATTCAATATACAGAGCGTCCCATATCATACCGGGTGTCCCAATAAACATGGGAATTCAGTGACGAATTTGATATCGTCTTTTCAAAAATTCTTTGATTTAGTATAGTGATACCTATTGAGAAAGCTGTAATCTGTAAGCGTTTCGTCTGCTATGTTCACATTTAGTTTATTTATATTTTGACTGCATACGGTTGTACTTAGTAAAACAAGAAAATTTCAGTATACAAACAGAGTAAACTTGTCCGTCTTCACTGTTCATCTTGCGGAGACATTATAGACACATCTTTACAGTATTTTACCGTTTTCATGAGTTAAACTCTAGCAGACATAAAAATATTATGGCTTTTGAAATTAGGTATTACAATGCTCATTCATAACAAAGACGATATCGAATTCGTCACTGAATTCCCATGTTTTTTGGGACACCCTGTATTAGATTATCTCCAAGTTTTAACGTTGTTAAGAAAACACAAGCTTGACACAATTTGACATGAGATCCATCTTTCACATAAACAATCAATGAAATATTCTTGTCATAAGAATTATCAAAATTTTTCAAAGTTCAATGCTTATAACCTCTTCGAATACTAAGGAACACTGATGCATCTATTCTTGTTTACAAACACAGCCCAGAGAGAACTGGTTTCAATCTGCACGCAGAGAATATACAACAGCAATCAACTTTCCTTGCATCATAACCTTGACTGTAGCTAATATCTTGTAAACAGATAATACCTGCCAAGATTTGAGTGCTGAATAGCATCAAATGCTTCTTGTTTTAAGATTTCCAAAATGTGATTTGCAAATTTTGAACCTCAATTTTGACTCAGATATTGAGAAATTCATGTAAATTTTAAGTATTAAATCCAATCCGATAGTTTTATGATACAAAGAAGGAGGCTAAATTTTACCAAGTTTTCAAGACTTACAATGTTTGTTTTTACTTCTTCAACAACTACTAATTCTACAAAAATCAAAGACAAATTTTAAGTTCAGAGCTGAGATTTTGAAAGCTAAGGGTAGACTTGAGTTTAGTAAAAACCAATCAACTTGGTTTTTCAACACTTGAAGGATTGCGTCTCCCAAGGCAGAAGATCGTAAATTTCATAAATACTATATTTAATATCTACTGAATTATCTGTAGTATTAAAATTGACTAGATTTCTAGAATTGAATTTTACACTTTTACTAGCTAATTTGAAGACCATTTTACAGACAGAGCTCTCTCATCGGTAAAATCAGAACCAATTAGAATCATTGGGTCAAATTGTAGACCCCAGTGAGAAAATTACATCAAAACTTGACTATGATATATGCATTGACTAAATAAAATATTAAAGACTGCTTATTGAATCCAGCAAGATAAGCCAATGCCAAACAATGCATGTTTTAATTGTTCAGAATATTTTATGACTGCCATCTAATGCATTGGTTTTAACTATTCTCATTTCAAGGATTGAACATAAAAAATGTTTTTAATTTTTTAATGTTATACATTTCAACAATCTTTTCTTAATTTATTTCCAATTTTTTTCTTTCTATATTATTTATCAAAGCATAAAATTTTATGTGTTTAGTCGGTTCTGGATAGGTGGGCCTCGTTTTTGTGAAAACACAAAATTTTTGAGAATGTACCAAATTTGTCATAAACAATTGTGCTGTTCATGGAAAAAAACGAACGATTGAATTAAAACCTTGGATTGTTTAGGGAATGAAAAAAACTATTGCGAAATTCACAAACGTTTAAACAATTCTAATCTAAATCCTTCATTCTTTACTGAAAATGAACAATAATTTAATAAGAAGTGGGTCAAGAGGTCAATTAAGTTAGAAATTTTTATTTTTAAACCTTGATAAATTAGTTATAACAAATAAACAAATAAAACATAACATGCATGAGAAGACTATCTGCGTCCAATAGGTGCTCCAAGAGCATTGCTTTCATCATAGCTTTCTCCAGGTGCTGCTGGAGTAGGATCTAAGCACCATCTGGTGAGAAGAGGTTTGGGAACCTGCTTTGGTTGACTAAACTTGAGATTGCAAACCTCTTGTGGTACTATTGTACATTGATGTTCAGGTTTCAGCTTAGGAACCAGTTTAGTTGTTAGCTTACATGTCTTCTGAGGATTGAGATCACAAACTTCTTCAGGAACATCAACAAGAGATGCAATAACTTTATCATGGCACTCCTCAGGTCCCTCCTCATAGGTGCATCCAGCTCCACAGATCTCTACAGGTAGTTTCTCACAGCTGGTGTCTCCAACAAACTTACCAGGTTGCTTCTCAACATATTTGGTAGTACAGGAAGATTCATAAACTGTTCTACATTCTTCAGGTCCCTGTCCATTGCAAACCTTTTCAACAGGTTTATAACACTTATTGACAGTCTCATTGAATGCTTGTTGCTTGAACGTGATCTGACATGACTTCTCAAAGTTCTCCTCACAAACCTCTTCTTGAGCTGGAGTAAACTGTGTTACATATGTGTAATGACACTGTTCTGTATTCTTGTGTGTACACTCCAGTATAGGATCCTTCTGTAGTGTTGTAACTTCTTCTATTTGATCTTGAACACATCCACTGAAGTCCACTCCACCTGGAATACCACCAGCTTGTCTTCTATGTCGGGACAGACCGGTGAAACCAATATCTGCTGTAATCACAGAAACCAGGAAGCTCAGGGTTATTATGATCTAAAACAAAATATTAGGAAGTCTGTATTTTCGTTGAAGTTTTTTTTAGGGGGGGGGGCAAATTTAGGAGCTTTTTTCTGAATTATCATTTCCATTTTGCACTGTTAGTATTGACTGTACCTTCATGTTAACAAGGTGATGAATGATGGATGACTGAGGATGAAAAGTTCCAACAGCTTTATATATGTGTGTGAGTGTATTGTATACATCTTCAATGACTAGCAATAGCTGCTTCTATATATTTCTATATGATTAACATAAATGCACACAAGTCAATAAACTCGTATAATTTAATAAGAAAAAACGACAAAATTTATTGCTAAATTATCTAAGGAAGTAAATCAAAAATGCAATACAAAAGATTCACTTATTTCTTTTACTCTACCTGATGAACATTAAGATAATTATTTTACTTTTTATCCAATTGTCTTCAAACCTTTTCTATCTCTCCCTCTCCCTTTACCTTTACATAGAAGAAATTCAAAACATTTTTTTTCCAATGGCTCTTTAATATAAGAAGATTTGATTGAATAAATATTAGATTTCAATCTTAAGTTAAGTTTACTTTGGTTTGAGGTGGAACTAGTATATTGACAGTGTTAAAAAAAGAAAGCGTGGTATACTTAAGGATTTATCAATGGACAGTTCTTATTACTATGAATAACAAATTTTCTCTTTTATTAATAATAAATGCATGTATATAAATTATTTATGTTAGGTACAGGCAAGAGATGACTTGAAAATACTCTTTAACAATTATTCATTCATGACAATATGTGCTGAAAATGTGAATCTTTTAAGCTTTCAAAATTGTGGTGCATCTCTTAGAATAAATACAAATCTAGACCACTTGCCTGTAAACCTTGTCAATATTCACAAAGGGCAGATTACAACAAGGTTATATGTGCATAGAGTGAGGTAATTTCCTAGAGAACGATTTTTGGACTCCCCCGCTCCCCCCACCCCAAGTGTAATTAGCATTTCCTTTTGCATAGTACACTTGTACCCGGAATTATATAAATAACCTTTGTTAGATCTTTTTTAGGCAGACTTAAATTACTGAGATCATATTTCCCGAGACTTAGGACTTTTTAAGCCAAGCAGGCCTTTAGTTGTACATACTGCACGAACCCTTTCCATTAAAGGGTTTTTGACTGCCATCTAACAGACACTTGTTGCATATATATGATACCCATTCAGGTATTAAAGTTTTACAATTTAAAGAAATAGCTACTCTAACTTTTAACATAAATATGAATTTAGTCTATTTTTAAAAGATTTGTATTTCGTATCCAAAGGATCCTTGAATATCCCAGAATACAAACTTTTGTTTATTGGTCGTGTACTCCAGTTGCTACAAAAAATATCGCATATTCAATCCTTTATTGGATCTCTATTTTTTATCTCTGTTCTGGCCAAACCTATAGTAAATCATTGTTAGTAAACAGTTGTAAGTGTACAGTACATCTTACTGAGTACATAGGTAAAGAACTACAGGGTGTCCCACATCATATTAGACCGTCAACGGGTCTNCAATGGACAATAAGAATTTTCTTGCGGAAAATGATAAGTTTTTCGAGTATTAAGGGTTTATTTTGTCGTTAAAGATTAGAGATTATAATCTTATATGATATGGGACGCTCTGTATCATCCCTCGGCAGATTACCTTTCAGAAATTCTAAACATGGAATATTTTTATGAAACTGTGAAGAGAAAAAACTATTTAAATTTCTTCACTTTATTCTATGCATGTTTATTAGGACATTCTACAGTAAATGTTTATTGTAGCCAAGAAATATTTTTTATGTCTGAAGTTAACCTAAAATATTTTAAGAAAAATATATCTTTGTACACTGCTGTGAAAATGAGTAAAAAAGGTTCTCTACTTACTTCTTGAAGACTAAATTTTCTAATGTTTACAAACAGAAAAAGCAAACAAAAATTTCAAAATCTAATTAATACAAAGTTTTTAAAATTTCTCAGAAGCAATAAACCTGGTTTTGAGAAAATATGAGTAGAGTCATTTAAACTAATTTTCATTTCAATTTTCCAGAAAACTCTGAAATAGGAAGATGGCTTTTATTATCAAGATATAGTCCACGAGTATGATATTATTTAAATTTTGCACTGTAAACTAACTAATTTAACTAAATTAGTGATTAAATAAGTGTCTAGTAAACTTTTTGCGTTGAAACAATGTCAAATTCACATATAATGTTGTTTCCACTGTTTTATGGTTATCACTAGGTATGTCTTGTAAATCAGTACAAATGTATTGTCATTCTGTAAGAGAACAGATTGGAAATCATGTAAACATTGAATTTAAACAATTTTAAAAATAAAATATTGAGTATTAACTCATCCCTCACTCTTCTCCTTACATTTCCTGTATTTTTAGATCCCCAGGCAGTAATCCTTCCTCTATGTAAACATACCATATATATAAAGATGCTTACTGCAATGTCATTTAGCAAAATACATATATATAAAGAATTAATAACTTCTGCATGGTCAGTTAGCATTGAACCAACAACATGAAGGTATAGGAACAATTTACACTTTAACACTTGCCATTGTATATTGTAGAATTTACAGTACTAGGTGTTAAGGGTGCTGCGCGCCCAACTTTTATTTCAACTTTTAAGCATGTGAGCATCCTCTCTTTGTACAATATATATGGGCATACATGAGTTGCATTAACAATTGTGAGCTTTATCGGTTCTGCTGTTATACGTTTATTGGATATAAACAACTAACAGACAGAAAAGCAATATATATATATATGTGTTGTGCACCCTTTTCTGGGGACACATGTACTAAAACCAGTCCATATTTATCATACCATACATGCAAAAAACAGTCAATTCCAAAACCATGCTTTACATTACGGACAACTCGAGTAAATTTCATTAAACTCCATTAAATTCCATATAACTCTATTAAACTCCATTAAACTCCATTAAACCGTATTAAACTCCATTAACCCCTATTAAACTTCATTAAACTCCCACAAACTCCATTAAACTCAACTAAACTCCATTAATCTCCAGTAAACTCCAATAAACTCCATTAAACTTTATTAAATTCCATTGAACTCCATAATATTTCATTAGCAAGGATTATTTTATGAAATAAATAAAAAGCAGGTTAGATATTTGTCGTTCTATCTTGCTCTGCAGATTATTCATGAAAATAGTTCGATATTCAAGAAATGTTTCAAACAACAAAGCAAAATAAGATTGAGATTAGGGAATTTTTTTCAATTTCCTGGAACCACTGTACTATATTTGATTATTAAAGAGAGAGACCGGCTAGGTAACTTAGTTGAACCGAGAGTGCAGTACATAAACAAAATTTTAAGGATTCATTTTATTCATTTTTTAACCTCTTACTATTCGTGCTATTGGTTTACATTAGAAATTTCTCACATTTTCGTCCGAGTTATTGAACAATTGTAAAATAACGGTACCTCTGAAGACCATCCCTTTTGGTGAAATTTTACAAAATAAATTACGCTCTTACTTAAAAATTTTGCACTGTAAAAACATCTCATCAAAAGAATCCTTTATAATACTGCACTCTCGGTTCAACTGCGGTCCTAGCCAGCCTTTCTCTTTTGTACATTTCAAATCAGCTTAAAGGCTAACAAATATTTGTTATGACCATTGAAAAATATGTTCAATCATCATTTTTTATGTATTTTTGATCAAGATATTTTATTTTAGATTATAATAACCCTGAGCTTCCTGGTTTCTGTGATTACAGCAGATATTGGTTTGACCGGTCTGTCCCGACATAGAAGACAAGCTGGTGGTATTCCAGGTGGAGTGGACTTCAGTGGATGTGTTCAAGATCAAGATACTGGACTATGTTGTGTAGATAAAATAGAAGAAGTTACAACACTACAGAAGGATCCTATACTGGAGTGTACACACAAGAATACAGAACAGTGTCATTACACATATGTAACACAGTTTACTCCAGCTCAAGAAGAGGTTTGTGAGGAGAACTTTGAGAAGTCATGTCAGATCACGTTCAAGCAACAAGCATTCAATGAGACTGTCAAGAAGTGTTATAAACCTGTTGAAAAGGTTTGCAATGGACAGGGACCTGAAGAATGTAGAACAGTTTATGAATCTTCCTGTACTACCAAATATGTTGAGAAGCAACCTGGTAAGTTTGTTGGAGACACCAGCTGTGAGAAACTACCTGTAGAGATCTGTGGAGCTGGATGTACCTATGAGGAGGGACCTGAGGAGTGCCATGATAAAGTTATTGCATCTCTTGTTGATGTTCCTGAAGAAGTTTGTGATCTCAATCCTCAGAAGACATGTAAGCTAACAACTAAACTGGTTCCTAAGCTGAAACCTGAACATCAATGTACAATAGTACCTCAAGAGGTTTGTAATCTCAAGTTTAGTCAACCAAAGCAGGTTCCCAAACCTCTTCTCACCAGATGGTGCTTAGATCCTACTCCAGCTGCACCTGGAGAAAGCTATGATGAAAGCAATGCTCTTGGAGCACCTATTGGACGCAGATAAAACAAACTTACTAAATCATCTTGTTCATGTTAAGTTTTGCTTTGTTGTCACTTATTGTTAACCTTTTATTTATTCAACTCTCTTTTTCAGCATAAATAAATTTCGCAAACCGTTCTTTAATTAGGCTTGGTTCTACTCACTACAGTATTATGATCAATTTATTAACATTTTTACAAAGAATACAATTCCACCGAAATTTGTGTAAGAAGATTAAAAGTCTTAAAAAGATATGAAAAAACTTGCATTTTTCTAATAGAGCAAATTTTTGGGATTAAAAAAAATGACTAAAATTTTTGAGGATTTTAAACTCTAGCATATATACAACCAATTTTGCTCAAGCAATTAGATTTTAGGTTTTATCATTGGCTTATCCAAGTAGTTTATAAGAAAAAATTTAAAATTGTTTTTGCCTTGTAGCCTTAAACCACCAAGGGTAATTTTTTTAAGTATCTTAATTCATCATTGTGTGATATTTCCACTTCAATTTTCTAACTTATCTCAGATAACTGGTTTATAGTTTAGAGTTTAGACCTGCTCTCTTTGGATCAAAATCCAGGAGACTCATGGTGCTCACTTCTTTCTTTGGTTCTCTCCAGTTCCTCAAAATTTGAGGCAAATCGGTCCAAGAGTTCGAGATATGAAAGGACATACAAACAAGCAAGGGAACAATCAGAGATTACTACTTTATATATATACATGCTATAAGTTTTAGAGATATACTAAATCAGAAATCAATATAATGGGAAGGTGTACGCTAGTCCTCCCTCACAGTGGGTATTTCAGGAGGTTAGAGGCGAGGGGGGGGGTTGACTGGTTCTTGTCAAAATCTTACTTAAAAAATGCATATGCCTTGTTTTTCATGATGAGAACGGACAATATAAATGTATTCTGATTTTTTTAAATTTAGAAACATTGTTTCATTTGTAGCTGCATTGTTTTAAAATGATTTAAATTCAAAATTACTTTTCCCGTACAGATGTTTATCAATAAATAAATCCTCTAAATTCGCTATATTGTGTACATTTTAGAGGTGATATACAGGGTGTCCCACATCAAATTAGACCGCGTCAATGGGTCTAAATTACGGGAACAAATCAGAAAATTTAAGAAGAATGAATCATTTTGAAAAGTTTTATAAGGCTGATAGAAATTTTTTTTGCAGAAAATGCTAGATTTTTCGAGTATTATGTGCGCACAAGATTGCACAAAAACATAAACTTTATATCTTTTTTTCAAGAAATTACAATGGATTTAGCATAATCTAGATATATAAATATATTCTTATGACCATTAATTAAAGATTTGGGGACTTCGCAAGCACCCAGAACTATTTGGTGTGTCTCGGATTCGTGTATAAAATACCTAATATAAGAATTGAAAATAGATAGGACCAGTTTTCCGTCGGATCTTAGAACTTTAACGCAATATTCTGCGGCCGAGCCTTATTTGACTCAATATTGCTGACCTCCCCTATAATATACCACTGTATCCCTTTTCCTTCTTTCACCCTCCTTAGAAATAGAATAATTAAAATGCAGGGAAGCCCTAGAACAATAAAATTCTTGTCATTTATACGATATATTAACTTAAATGCATTTAAATAATTTAATAAAGAAAACCTGCACTTTTAAGGTAACTTTCTATACATTATACAAAGGTAAGTGCAAAACGACATATCTTTATAATACCCGGGGGTTATTTTAAGAATTTAAGAATTTTTCCAAGGGGTTGAGGGCGGCTTAATTTTTTTTCTTTCCAGAGGGGCTAAAAACTCGTCGTGGTCTGAAAACCCCCTGAAATCCACAGATTTTACTGATCCCAGGGGGGGCTGAGCCCCTCTTGGCCCCCTTTCAACCCCTTGCATAGCAATCATGTTGGGGTCTACAGTCCCTTAATACAAATACTAAACTGAAGCTTGGATTAACTAATTTATTTCCTATAAATGATTAATTGAATTGGAAATGGGTTTACTTCATCTGCAAATAAACATGAACTATTTGGTACTAAAGGTCATTTCCTACTAGATGTCTTATTTACACTTGAAAAATAACTGGATGGGTCAGCTTTCTTTAAAGTCAGCCACACTGCTTGTGATTCCTTTACAGCAGCTTCAGTTACATTTTTTGTTACTTCAGAACGAGCCCCTGCCAACTCCCAAGCTGTTTGAAAAACTGACCACCTAAAAAACATGATAAAAAGCTAATGACCAACCAACATGACTAACCTTTAATCGCTAACTACCAAAAGAATCATTAAAATTGTTATTTAAAAAATCTGAAAATCAATTGTATAATAATTCTTTTAGTGGGACTGTCAGCGCGATTTCAAGTGACCTTCCATTTAAAAATAGAGAGACGTTTCAGATTCACAACAGTACTCATTAAACCTTTGATTGATCAAGATTGCCGCACATTATCCTCATTAATCTACAAAATTATCCTCATTAATCTACAAAATTATCCACATTAATCTACAAAGTTATCCTCATTAATCTACAAAATCACTTTTTATTGTTAAACACTTTGTTTGCAAGCTGTTTCATATTTTAAAAATATTACTTTTCACTTTATAGAAATTAAATATTTTCTTTCTACAGTTTCAAAATCACTTTTAACCTAAAATTAATCAGTAATTTTAAGGGATCAGCTGTATTGAGTTCACTCTGTACGTAGCGTACACCGGATACGGTTTAAGGGATCAGCTGTATTGAGTTCACTCTGTACGTAGCGTACACCGGATACGTTCTACAGAAATTCAAGCGGTTTTACTTACACAAATACTACTTAGAGATCTTTGTTGAACAATGAAAGGTATTGTTGTAAACCAGGCATTGACCTCTCTGCATGAAGGGTCACTTGTAAATGTAATTACGCGATACAGTCCCTTTAATTGCCTTCATGTCGCCAAATAATTATTAAAAAATTGAAATTACGCTTACAGTTATTTCACCTGCTAGTAAAGATGCACCCAGAACGTACAACAAACCAGTCATAGAAGTGTGAATATACTTTATACTCAGCCAGCTCTCCTGAGTTCAACTTAGAGCAGAGTTCACATGGATCTATATAGAATGAACTAAGATAACCTTCGCGATCTTGGCAGAAATAAAAAACGCGAGTTTCTTCTTTTCGTAGAGTTTAGGATTATTTTCCATATATTTCTATTCAATTTATTAATCAAAATGTAAGGATAATGTCTACAGAATACGGTTGAGTACTAGGATGGGCTAGATGTATTCTAAATTTCAATAATTGCGGTATTATATGTATAATGCGTGTATCTTTTAAGGAATCTTTTTCCTATGAAGTATGCCGTTAAAATCATGCTGTTATATTTCCGTCAAATCAAAAAAAAAATTAAACAACTTAATGTTTCCGAGGTCAATCTGAAAGCTAGAACTTCACAGGCTCCACAATTCAGAACATGGTCACCGAGACCTCCTGATTCCTGATATTTTCTTTTAACTTTAGAAAGTGGCATCTTTAATTTAAAAAATAGGCAAAAGAGTTCAAGGTGAAATGAATATTATTTGTATAAACTGACCTGGAACACTTGTAAAACTAAAAACCTCGTAATATTTCCTCCACTCAAAATATTTATTAAATGCTGCGTCATCCTAGATATATAATATGTACAAGCATTTTTATTATTTAAAAACAATTATTTTTTTAAAATGTGAATAGAAGTAAATGCATCTATATATTTATACTTTAAGAGCGATTTGCATCCCGGAAATAGAAATGAGAACTTTTGTGATATGTTTCCTGGGATCAAGCATTAGTGTCAATCTCAGCTGACATAGGGGGTTAATTTATTTCCTCTTCGATATCCTGTATTGTATAGTGGTCATTCCATGATAAGATTGATCCTCAAATTCAAAAGTGCCAACATTGGATATCAAGATCTTAAGCGTTCAAAATTAAGGATCACTCTATACAAAAGTTTGAATCTCCAATTAATGATTTAAGTTTTTATTGGTATACTTTTATCATTTTACGCGACATAATTAAACAATACCAAAATTACAACAAAAAAGACTCCATCTTACTACTAATAAGTAGAACCTAGATCTACTGTACCCTACCTGGAGTAAAGAGTAAAGGTAAGAAGCTAGATCTACTGTATCCTACCCGGAGTAAAGAGTAAAGGTAGGAAGCTAGATCTACTGTATCCTTCCTGGAGTAAAGAGTAAAGGTAAGAAGCTAGAGCTACTGTACCCTACCTGGAGTAAAGAGTAAAGGTAAGAAGCTAGATCTACTATACCCTACCTGGAGTAAAGAGTAAAGGTAAGAAGCTAGATCTACTGTATCCTACCTGGAGTAAAGAGTAAAGGTAGGAAGCTAGATCTACTGTATCCTTCCTGGAGTAAAGAGTAAAGGTAGGAAGCTAGATCTACTGTATCCTACCTGGAGTAAAGAGTAAAGGTAAGAAGCTAGAGCTACTGGAGAAGAAAACTCTCCAGCATTTATAAACGATCCTGGAGGAAGCTCTTTCGTATAATTCACTCCACCTATATTAATAAACAAGAGGGAAGTAGTTCAATTTAACTAAATTTTTTAGGCAACCGACATGAAGTTAAACTAACACAAAAAAGCAGTTTGCCTAGCATTTCTGTGTGCTTCCTTTGATTAATCGAATCAATTATAAGTTTTGATAAAACAAGACACCATGCTTCAAATTAACTTTATTTTAAACAGTTGCTTTCTGCTCTTGGAGGGGTACGGAACTCTGCTGCTCATTGTAGCTCCCGGCTCCATCGCTCAGAAGATCGTTGCTTAGAGTTGCCCATGACTTATCCTACAGGGGAGTAGCGACACATTGGAATTAAACAGTAAACAAGAACTGCATCTTCAGCTTATCAACTTATCAACTTCTCAGATGAAAGAAGGAACAAAGAAGTATGACCCCTAATAGGCATACAAGCCATGCACAATGATGCCTGTTTTTTACTCGGCTGGCTGTAAGGACTGGACTACTGTGGAAGGATCCACCTGATGGGGCTTTAAGGTTTTCAACTCCCATTTTGCATAAGTGGTGCAGTTATGGGTTTCCTTAATTCTAACTTAAGTCGGAAAGACTTCAACATGAAGGAAAGCCCTTCCTCCTGCAAAATTTTTTATCTCTTTCCAACCTGCTCCACAACTTGATGTCACAAGAACTATTTGGAGAGGCCTCAAAATATAGATATGAGAAACAAGAACAATAAAGAAAATTGAACAGGGAAAATGGAAGATAACTTTTCGATGATAAGCTTTACACAATTAATTTATATTGTTAGCAAATGGAGACAACATTGGAGATGGGGGTGGGAGACGTCCCGCCCTCCATTTCACCCTGATAGAAAATACTCAAGAAATATGTGTTGTTTGTAGCAGAATCAGTTCAAACTTAGTTGCTAACACAGCTAATGTGTGTACTGTAGAAAAATAGGAAAGCTGGCACCTTAACCTAGTTCTAAAGCTTGAAGCTTGGCAAAACTGCTAAGACGTCCCAAAATTATCTTTTTTTTCAAAATTAGCTGAAATAAGATTGAAAGATGTATGAATAAGAAGAAAATAAAGAACAAGAAAAATAGAAATGTCAAAATATTTGCATTTGCTATCATATAACTATGTAAAGAATGTTGTTGAAAATTTAAAATTTTAAAAAAATGTTAAAAAAAAACTTCATTTTAAAATGTTAATTTATGTAATTGCCAATCAAAAGTCTAATTTATCAAAACAAACTGGCATTTTCAGGTAACCATCTATTTATAGAGGGTCATGCTTGATTCCCAATGGTGCCCTTTGAACCTTTGTTTGAGAATAAATTATGGCTATCCTTCTTTTTCTATCTAAAAATAGATAATTTTGCGGTTCTTTTAAAAGTAAGCTGAAAATTAATGCTTATGCATCTAGGAATTGTCAGAACTAAACTCTTTTCCAAATAGGAAACGCTAATAACTTTCTTTATTGTACTGCTTAGGTTTAAAGGGTACCGTTGTCAATCGGACATTTAACTCTTTATATCAAGGGTCATCTGAAGCCATGTCCTTGACCAAAACTTACGCCAAATTTAAAGAATTTGAGCCACGGCTTAAATTTGAGATGCTGCTCAAATACGATTGGTTCCACTTAAAATTGTATTCAATGTTTCTAAATTTAAGCCGGCGCTCAATTAATACCGTTTTTTGGTGGTTTTGAGACGCGGCTCAATCTAATTAAATTCGGACTCAGGCTTACCTAAAACAATTGGAATTGTATTGAGTTTAAGAGCATTATATGTTTTCTCTGTGATGTAATCTTTACAGATTGAGTTCTCAAAACTGATGTAAAACTTATATCTCGAGTTCACCATTGTAAAACATGGATCTTGATTTAGGGTATAGTTCTCTACCATGTTTTTAACTCCTCCACATTGATAGTTTCCACATTTACCGAATATATCAACTCCAATATAGTTCTGCAGATATTCTATATACCTCTCTCTTCCACTGCGGGTTGAACAGTGGGATACAAACCAGGCTATAGGAGATACAGACTGGTTTTTCACCTTAAAGTATACATTATTTAATGTGGTAATTTTATTTAAAGAAATTGAGTCTTTACAACAAACTCAAAGTTTCTAATCCCATTTACTATTGCTCGTACATACAACCTGGTGGTGTAAATTTGATATTACAGAATTCATAGTTTTGAAAAATCAAAGGTCTACGTCATTGTATTGCTAAGATATAGGGATAGTAATATCTGAATTTTTTAATAACAGTGGACACCATTAAAGGGACTGTGAGCGTAAAAATAAGTGACCCTCCATGTAAAGATGAAAATGCCCAATTCACAGCGGTACCCTTGAAATAAAAATGTGGAAGGTACTGTAGTTTTCTGACTCAAAAAGTGTTTAATTTTGATGTTTTCTCCAGTACTTCTAATAAATAAAATGCGCAAGTCATTTTTGCACTTTGAGACAGCATGTCATTGCTACTTGAAAGTACGTGTACAGTCCCTTTAAAAATGTGGATAGGTAGACGACTGTTAGACTTCCATTTTGATGCATTATCTAGTCCAATGAACATGAAATACATTTCATTTATCATTACAATTTGTTTTAACAATAATAACATCAAATACACATTATAAAATTTTATGGGAATTTAAAATTTGATTTATGTAATTAAATAACACTTATTTGAAAGAAAAAATTATGAATTATATCTTATATCGTGCTTGCACTTCAGTGCTTGAATGCATTTATACCGTTTGATAAAAGTTGAAGTTGTAGTGTTTAAAATCTGGACTTGGAACTGGACTGTATATTTCATCAAGTTCAGCAGTGGATATTGGAACCTTTCGTTTTCTGACATAACCATGCCTGAATTCAGTCTTTTTGGCCAATTCATCCATAATACGAGAAATGTAATAAGTTCAGAATAATAAATTAAAAAGGAAGATTAATTAATAAAATTCTGAATTGCCTAACAGTGATATCAGAATCTTTTCTAAATGACATTGTTCTGTTGAATAGGTTTCTTGTAATCCACCAACTCATTGGTAGTGTACCGAAGTTAGTGCTCCGGTCAATCACGCTGAAGAAGAAACATGATCAATATTGAAATATAGCCAACAGCCCAAGGTTATAATGCAAGGAAAGTTATTTCAGAGGCGTAAGCATTCTTTGTACTGCAGTGTACTGTCTCTGGGCGGTAATGTAATGGAAGCCTGACATGGGATCCATCTTTTACATAAAAAATCAATGAAATATTCTGATCATTGGTAACTATTATGTGAATTATCAAAATTATTAAAATCTAATGCTTTTCACCTTCTCGGATACTAAACGAACACTGATGCATCTATTCTTGTTTACAAATTCCGCCCAGAGAGAACTGGTTTCAATATGTAACTGTCAATTTTTTATCAAAAATTCAATGAAGGTTAAGAATTATATTCGTTATAACAGATACATTAGAATAGATGTTTGTACAGACTGCTGAAATTGTTCAAGGCCCCTTGACACTCGTCATATAATAAGGTCAATGAACATGTTTTACTTATCGGGGTCAATCTGTAAAACAAAATTTTTACTGGTCAGAATCTTGTCATTCTGAATTGTGTGCATTACTTTTACTGTAGAGCCCGAAATTTTAAAGAGTATCGTTAAATAAAACTTCCAAGTTTCCTTTTTGGGGTCTTAACATTTGTGCAGATTTTGATTTAAGAGATTCGAAAAAAATGGAGAATATAAACAAACTGAAAAAAAAATATTTAATTTCAAAAATATTGATATTCCTAAAACTGCCTAACCCCATCCTTGAAACCCAGGGTTTAAAACTGGTTTTCATAATGATATTTTCAATTTCATCTGAAACACTCCGGTATAGTGGAGAGGACATTAGAGCTATAAAGTCTAATTTATCTAGTGTTATAATAACTGATAACTGAGAATTCCATTCTAAATTCCATCCCGTGTGTGTGTTTACAGTGTACTTCTTCTTTAAACTTTAAATGAAAACCAAGTACCTCGTAACACCTTCATATGTGAGTAGAATCCATGGAACAGCAGGATCCCTATAACACACACATGATGAGGATTTCAGAAAGAAATGTTTATGATAAAGTATAAACAGAATTGAGAACTCCCATTCAGAAATCCGTGTTGGTGTACTAGCTCTGAGTGTGACCGAATTTAATGAATTTGAGAGAACTTGCTAAACTTTAGCCACTGTCGATTAAAATACTTATCTATAGTACAAAAAGAATCAAGTCCTGAATCACTAATTCAAAGTTCAAGTCCCTGGACAAGTCCCGGGGCCAGATTCAATAAATAGCAAGGAGTAAACAAAACTTCTGAGTTTCCTTTGTTAGGTATTACCCAGGAAATATTTTTACCGACTTTATGTGCCGATGGCCAAATTGTCGGGTAAATAATTCTTAACTTTATATGTTCGCCAATGGTTTGTCGGAGACTAATGTTTGCGGGGTATATATTTGTGTAGATTTACATTAGGAAATACCAAATGAAAAGGGAATATAATACTAACCATGAAATAATATCTCTTGAACAAAAATTTTTATATCCACAAAATTGCCTGACCCCATTCATGAAACCTGGTTTCCGATACAGGGTTTCATAACAACACCTTGTCTTAAGTTTTGGCTAATATACCTGTATTCTGGAAGAGAATAGTTCTCCCAGTGCAGATTTGGAAGGTGGAAAAGAACTGCAGAACTTTGATTCAATAATTCACGATCCGTGGTAAACTACATCATCATACAAATTGATTTGTGGCAAATATATATGGAAAGGAAACGAAGAGGTAAAGCTTACTTTAGATGTTCACAACCGACCACTCTATAAATTAATTAATAGGGTTGTCGGTTGTGTACATCACGATATGTTTACGTTTCTAACACTGTACATTTGACAATTTTAAAATATATTTTATGGATTTTAACACAATTTGAAATCAAAGAGGCAAAATGTGCTTGTAACGTATTTTTTTCTGATTCAGAATTCCATCAAGTGGAAAAGACCTCCCCCTCCCCCCCTTGTATTGTTGTGACTTTGAGAGTAACTTAATAATGTACCATGTATAAAGATAGCTTCATAAGTTTGCAGAAAGAAAAAAGCAGTCAACTATGGACATCAGGAATATTTTGATGAGCAATCTACCGGACAATAAACCTGAACAAAGGGGAAATCGAACCTGGCCAACCTCACGATGCAATATTTGTCATTTTTGTCTTAACAGAAACAAACAACTGAACTGGAATGTACTGCAGTTTATAATCCTGTGATTACTAAACTACATCATCATACAAATTGATTTGTGGTAAACTACATCATCAAACAAATTAGTGAAGAAAATGAAATAAAGTTTTACCTATATTCTTAACTAACAGACTAGATTATGTAAGAAATTGAGTCTTTGCCACAAACTCTGGTTTATATTTCTATATCTTTGCAACCCAATATCGTATGCTATGAATTCTGTTAGATCGTATAATCTAAGCGTAAAATATCAAAGGTTTTCACCATGATGTTGCAAAGATAGGGATTAAACAACTTGGTAATATATAATTGAGCGATCTGGATACATTGTATATATGCGCTGAAGCAGTTAAAATTATGGGGTACGTTTATGCCACAATATCGATTTTTAAAATCATTTTTTTAGGTGAGAGGTGGAGGGGGGGTTACCCAGAAAGGATGAGCCTTGTTTCTTTCGTTGCCAAATCAATTAATAAACCATTTATATTTTTATAAACCATAGATATTTTAAGATTTTTCGGTTGTCATTGCAGTATCATCCTTTGTGGGTAACCCTGTAGGTTAACAGTTTTAATTTGTACTTCCTTGCAGGCGCTTATAGGACAGTTCCCTTTAGTAATCCTTTGGAACATGTTTTTATAAACACTCATTCCAAGCTTCTGATATTCATTCCAGATTAATACCAGCTTAAACCCATCTTCAACACTTTCCTAGATTCAATTAGTTATTTTTGTTTTCATATTTTGTTTGTTACAGTAAAACCCATAAAACTCTGGATTAGGAAAACGACATTAAAGGGACTGTAAGCGTAAATTCAAGTGACCCTCAATGCAAAGATAGCATGCTCGATTTGCAACGGTACTCTTTAAACCTTTATCTGATCAAAAATATGGAAGATATCCTCGTTTTTCTGACTCAAAAAGCGTTTATTTTTTCTTATAGTAAGAATTGCGCAGGTCACTTTTGCTAAGAAACCAGAAATAAAAATAAACAGTCAAAATAATAAAAAAACATACAAATTTAATTCATTGATTGAACAACGCTTTCTAGGGTACCACAGTAAATCAGCCGTTGACATCCTTGCATGAAGTTATACGCTTACAGTCCCTTTAATCAAACTTATCTGTGTTTGATGTTGTTAAAGCAAAACGTTAAATCAGTTGCTTTAAAATTAACTTGTAAAGTACTATGGGTTTGGACTCTGGGTCCACTGCACAAAACCCATGTTCATGTACACAGGACTTTTTAAAATCAGATTTTAGGTTTACCATGGTTGTCTTTCATTTTCCAGTGTTGTATGGGTCTTGCTGGAGTATCACAAGTTAATGTGCCAAAAAACATTTCAGAAAATATCTAAACCAAATAGACTATCAAATACAATAGGTAGCAACAGAGAAATGGACCAATTATAGACGACGTCACAAGTGTCAAATATAACAAGGAAAACGAAATTTTCTCACGTTTGTTGCCATTTTTCCAAGATAAAATAAATAAGTGTAAAAACAGAAAATAAAGAATACAGAAAATTGCTCTTATTTAACTGTAAGATAGCACTTTATTCTAAAATTATCACTATTATTAATAATTTTGTCATACAAAAAAGACTGAATTGACACTTGTGTCGTCAGAATACAGCTGTACTGAGAGTGTACAAATTCTACGTTGCCATCTATTGTACTAGAATCTATTTGATCTATACAATTACCTCTCTCATGATGAAATTTGATTTCAAGGACATGGGAGTTTCATTTTTGATAAAGTCTATTGAGACTTGAATCCTATACAAATATATTCATTTTGATAAAGTCAATAATTGAGACCTGAATCCTAAACCTACGGTGGTAGGCGATTTTACCAATACAATAAAGACGACTTTCGGTTTCAATTTTAATTTATATTAAGCTTTTAAACAGCATGGATACACAAACAAATAGAAGCTGTTAATAAAAAAGCTTCTCTTTAATTACTTGTAAACTTGTAATTCGATAAAAGCTAGTTAGCAATAAAAACTTAGACAAAAAAAAGTTGTCTGCATTATATTGATACTATCGCCTACCACTGTATATATTTTTTTTAATAAAGAGACTTGAATCCTAAACATAGATACATATTTTCTTTCGGCTTCTATAACAGGCGTCCAAATATTCCAAGAAAAGAAAAGGTTGAAAGTGAAGACCCACTGAATATCAAATGTAGACGCATGCATTGTGACAGTGCTTAAATTGTAACTTGGTCATTAATCTATCTATACACGTTGCTTGTCTGTCTGCTTGTTTGTATCCAATAAACGTCAAAACGATCAGGCCCACATTTCGTGTAGGACCTCTCATGAACCCGAGGAAGGATTTATACTTTATGGATACTAAGAATTACAAAATGTTTTATCCAATGTTGTGAAATTTTAAAAATGGGGGAACGAATATTAGAAATTTTGCAAACTTTTTGGTTATTATTTCATACTGTGCAAAGAGAAGATGCTCACTTTAGAAACACACTTAAAAGTTAAAATAGAGGATGGACGCGAAGCGCCGTAAAAGCCTATTAGTAATGATATCAAAGTTGTATTTTTACTAGTTTAGTGAGTTTAAGTTTAAAGATTATATAAATCAAAATATAGAAAAGATGTAGAAACAGCTGTGGACTTTCAGGTTTATTCAAAGGAACCTGGTCATTAATTCAGCTTAAAGGGACTGTTATTGAACTTTCAATCGAACTTTAAATTAAAAAGAGAAAGTCCATCGCCTGATTCACAACGGTTATTTTTTAATCTTTATCCGATATAATCAATTTTCAAAGAGAAAAACATTGATCGTTTTTTTTAAAGACAGCTGTAACCAGAACGTTGTGAATCCACACATCAGTATAGTTTCAGTAGAAGTAAATATTTCCATTTACAGATAGTGCAGATTGAAAGATTCATAATTCTGATTGGATAATGAGATAGATAGAAAGATAGATGTTACCGCCAAACTATTTCTATTGGTTCAGAATAGACAACAAACACATGACTGAACCCTGATTGGATCAGGTGCTAATGGACTCGGTATACAGGAGTGATGACACTCTCTAAATTAAGTGTCCCATAAGTCCCTTCAACGGAAACTTTCATGCATCTGATTTTTGTGAACAGAGGCAGAATTTTAAGAATTTGTGCTGCGGCTCAGACATAGTTCGTTCCACGACCGGTTATTGGCGGTTCTACGATGCGGTTCAACTTCTTTAAATTCCACCTCAGTTTGCAGTTTGCAGTTTGCAGTTTGTGAAAATAAATGAATTTATCTATTTACCTGTTAAACATGGTGGAAGGCAAGGTAATGTTGAAATAAATAACATCAAGAAGAACAACACAGATAAGGAAAATCAGACTGACAACACTGGACATTTTTTTCAAACACATCTAAAAGTTATATCTCTGCTCTCTGATGATCCAGTCTTAATCAGCTCTTGTTGCAGAGTTAACCCCTGTTGATCCAGTCTTAATCAGCTCTTGTTGCAGAGTTATGCCCTGTTGATCCAGTCCTAATCAGCTCTTGTTGTAGAGTTGTCCTCTGATGATCCAGTCTTAATCAGCTCTTGTGGCAAAATTATCCTCTGATGATCCAGTCTTAATCAGCTCTTGTGGCAAAATTATCCCCTGATGATCCAGTCTTAATCAGCTCTTGTTGAAAAGTTAACCTCTGATAATCCAGTCTTAACCAGCTCTTGTTGAAAAGTTAACCTCTGAGTATCCAGTCTTATTCAGCTCTTGTTGCAGAATTGCACTCAGATTTCGTTGCATGAACAGTACTATTGGCAATTCCTGCTTTAAGTATATTTCTAACTGAATAAATATAAAGATTATCCATATTACATTGTAAATCAGCATTGAATTACGGTTGGGCCCCCTCTCCCTTTAATAAAAAGTGATCGGTGTATGTATCAATACAATGATACCGATATTCTGTCACTGTTTTGCTATTTAAAATACATCGCAGAGGCCCATAAACAATCAAACAAAAGCAAATATTTTTTAGCATAAAACTTTTATGATTTTATAACATTAGATTGGGTATAGTTAGTTTTATTGACAAAGTTATTTAATTCTTATTTGCAAAATAGGAACGGAAATTTTATAGTTTGAATTTTCTAAATATTAAAAGAGAGAATTTGTCTAAAATTCTAAATCATTAAAAAAATTGCCACATTATTCTTACTATAAAATATTGGATGTCTCTAGAAACAATATTTTTTGTCAAGGTTATCTGTATAATACTTTACTTGTCTGTTTGGGTGTTTGTTTGTTTGTTTGTTTGTTTGTACACAATAAACGTCAAGACGGCTGAACCGATCGGGCCCAAATTTTGCATGGGACTTCACTTGTCCCCAGGAAAGGGTTAAATAAAGGATCAAAATTTTAAAATCTTGCATCCAACAAAATTCGATTCACAAAATATTTTTGAAATCCACGATTTTTTTTTAGAAAATCTGCAAACTATTTTTGTTTTTGTTTTACAATGAAAACAAAGAAAAAATGTTCACAATTGTTTTTCGACAGATTGACACCATTCCTTGTAAAATTCAGTAAATAAGAGTAATTGGATTTTTTATTTTGCATGACTGAGATCGTTAATTTCAATTACATTTTTATAATTTCAGAAGAGTCTAAAAAAAGACAAATTCTTTGAAGAGATCTATAATATTGCAGGCATTTAGTCAAGAAAAAAGGTAAAAACATAATTTTGTCGTTACGACGATCAGAAATGTTTCGTAGATTTTCTAAATGCTCAAAATTCCGTTAGGTTTTTTCCTATAGAGTTTTTGAAGGTTTTCACCTTGCAGTAAATAATGCTGGACTGAATAAAATATTTATATTAAACCTTTACCTTGATTAATACACGTGGACATAATTACACTTGTCAACTAATTACCCCCCCCCCCCGTTTAAAGTGTAGAACTACTATGCAATGAATGCAATGTAATAAATACAGTGCGTCTTAAAACAAGTGTTATCCCAAAAACATGTTTATTGCAATAACCTTTGAACCGTTAATGACCGTGTATTCAAATGTTTTGACTTTTACAAAAAGGTCATATCGGACTATCTTGAGGTGTGCATGAAAAAAAAATTGTCAAACATTTTTATTGAATAAGGCAAGCATTTGCACAGTTTAAAAAAGGCTTTATCCAATGCATTATTACCAACTGAAAACGTAAAAAGTTTACGATACTCTTAAGAAGTTTATTTAAGTTTAACTCGCGAATTGTGCTTATATTTTTATCCTTTGTAACTAATTGTATTCCGTATCGTTAACTCACTCAAAACCCTACTCAAAACAACCTAGCCTGGTTAGGCGGGTCCAAACTGCATAGTAAATTGTGATTGCTTATTTGTAATAAAAATATGAATGAATGAATGAACATTTACAATTTATTAGACATTATTTTACAGAGGTAATCAGAAAACAATGTTTCACAAAGGTAATCAGAAAACAATTAAGTTACAGAGGTAATCAGAAAACAATGGAGTTACAGAGGTAATCAGAAAACAATGGAGTTACAGAGGTAATCAGAAAACAATGGAGTTACAGAGGTAATCAGAAAACATGTGAGTTACAAAGGTTTTCAGAAAACAATACAGAGGTAATCAGAAAACAATGGAGTTAAAGAGGTTTCCAGAAAACAATACAGAGGTAATCAGAAGACAATAAAGTTACAGAGGTTTTCAAAAACATAATACAGAGGTAATCAGAAAGCAGTGGAGTTACAGAGGTATACAGAAAACAATGAAGTCACAAAGGTAATCAGAAACAATGGAGTTAAAGGGGTATGCAGAAAATAATGGAGTTACAAAGGTAATCAGAAAAAAGGATTTACAGGAGTATTCAGAAAACAATGAAGTTACATTTTTTAACATAAATTAGTAACAAACTGCAAAATCTTAAGATGTTTTTCATGATAAAAAGAAAGGATTTAGAAAAAACTAGTTTTCTCTATTTTCTGCATCTAAACATGTATTTTTGGCTTATTTGTTTGTATTCAATAAACGTCAAAACTGTTTTTTAAAGCAATCAAGAAACAGAAAATCTCAGAAATCTTTATAAAAGAGGCGGGAAGCGCCTTAAATTCCTAGTAATAAGGAAACTCATTCGAAAAAAAGGAAGAAATACAATCCACACTAAAAATCACATTATTAGTTTTAAAATAATTATTTTTTGCATTATTATTACTAATTTCAATCTTTATTTTATAAAAGGGACTGTAAACGGAAAGTTACCCACCTAGCTCCATGATCGATTAACAACGGTACAAGCATACAAGTTAAATAAAGTTAAATCAAGAATAAAGGAGATTGAGTTCTGAAAGTTACTTGCGGATTTTGTGCTTCAGAGATAAGGAATTTTTCAAAATTAAGCAAGTTTTAAGCATTAAAGATTTTGCTCGTTTAAGCATCGTTTCTTGATATTTTTTTGTTCTATTAAAGACATAACTTGTCATGGTGTAAGAAAGGTAAATGTTTAAGGATAAAAAATAAAATAAAAACATTTGTTTCTCTTACGGTATGTCGACCCAAAAATGACCTAACTGAAGGCACGTCATATTGCCCAGGTAGAGATTAGAAATTTTCCATTGTACCACTTGGAAATCAGGGTCACTGAAAGGGAGCGTTCGCGAAAAATGAAAGGGGGTGTAGGGTAACTTTGACTCGAATTTGATGATGAGCGCTTCTAATCTTACTTCTAATCAGTTGCGCCTAGATATGGAGAAAATGATTAAACACGACTCATACCAAAGAGCGCTGCGTTCATCAATTTCATGGAGTTCCAATACTTAAATCAGATCGTAAATAATTCAATTTAATTTAAAACAAACCATTCATAAATTATGATTTATTGTTATCAAACTTTATTAGATGTATCATACATAGCAGATATTTCATAATATTTTTTATTTAAACGATGATTACTTTGTCGCCAGCTGTTGCCAGGTGTCTTTCAAACCCCTGAAGCATCCAGAGCAGAGACACCTAGCGACCAAAAAGTAATCGTTTAAAGTAAATTGTATATAAAACAAATAAAAAATATTATTAAATATTGACTATTTATGACTGAATCGAATTGAATTCGATGATAATAGGTTGCAATATCTGAATGATTAATTTAGATTTAATTGGATTATTTAGGATCTTAGTCGAATAATGCAACTTTGTGAATTTGTATGGACGCTACGTTCTTTTGTATGAGCCGTGTTTAACCGTTTTCTCCTTAAAGGCGCAACAGATAGAAGTGAGATTTGTAGCGATTACCATCGAATTCTATGCGACGTTAGCCTAAATCCCCTTTTATTTTTCGTGAACACTCCCTTTAAAGTTAGGTCTACAATCCCTTTAAATAAGTGATTTTGTTTGAAATATCTGCTTTTATGAAATACGAGTAAACCAGACAGCTGTTGACTCCCTGACAGCAGCAGCTGTGATATTACTGGTTGTGTGAGATCTAGCCCCAGCTAGTAACCAGGGATCCTTGAAATCCGTCCTACTAAACATTACAAGAATCATACAGTGGTTACCAGAAAACAGTGGAATGATTGGCATCTTCATTTTATCTTTATATTTTAAAATGGCGATGAGACATTTCATAATTAGTTACATTATAATATACAAGATCATTAGCAACATTACTTAATCAAAAGAAATAAAGAAAACTACAATTATTCAATTAGTTTCTGGGAACCACCGTATTACAATATACAATAATATTTTGTTTTGTTTAAACAATTCAATCTTGATAATATTTATACTGAAGTTTAAGTGTAGACAAGAGTTCAATCTTAATTATCTTTACAGTGAACTTTAAACAAGAATTTAATCTTTATAATATTTATAGTGCAGTCATAGACAAGAATTCAATCTTGATTATCTTTACAGTGAAGTTTAGACAAGAATTCAATCTTGATCATCTTTACAGTGAAGTTTAGACAAGAATTCAATCTTGATCATCTTTACAGTGAAGTTTAGACAAGAATTCAATCTTGATCATCTTTACAGTGAAGTTTAGACAAGAATTCAATCTTGATCATCTTTACAGTGAAGTTTAGACAAGAATTCAATCTTTATTACCTTTACAATGAAGTTTAGACAAGAGTTCCATCTTGATTATCTTTACAGTGAGGTAAAGACAAGAATTCAATCTTGATTATCTTTACAGTGAAGTTTAGACAAGAGTTCAATCCTGATTATCTTTACAGTGAAGTTTAGACAAGAATTCAATCTTGATTATCTTTACAGTGATGTTTAGAAAAGAATTAAATCGAAACGTGATTTTGTCACAACTGATTCAAAAATGAGAATCTCAAAAATTTGATACAATCAAAGTCTTCAATTTATTTTCATGTTTTTTGGGACACCCTTTAGTATTACTACTAGTTTTTTATTACCTGCTAGTAAAGATGCACCCAGAACGTACAACAAACCAGTCATAGAAGTTTGAATATACTTTATACTCAGCTAGCTCTCCTGAGTTCAACTTAGAGCAGAGTTCACATGGATCTATACAATATATAAACATAGAAGTGTGAATATAATTTATACTCAGCTAGCTCTCCTGAGTTCAACTTAGAGCAGAGTTCACATGGATCTATACAATATAAAAACTTATTTTAATGGATGAACTAAGGACCTTTTTTTGAGTTTTCTTCCGAAATCAGTTGCTGCTTGGATACAAAAAAATTTCTGAAAAAAATGTTATTCCCTGTTCTCAAGGAGAAAATCACTTATTAAACATTTGAATACTTGAATAAAAATATCTAAGAAGAGGATTAATATTATATTCACATTAGATATGTGTCTACTTTTTTATACGTAGATATTACCAAACAGATTATCAAATACTTGATAATCTATCTGTCCAATACAAGGAAAAAATTGTGAGAACCTCTAATTAAAACGATAAGATAAAAATTATAAAGAGGAAAAAAAATCTAAAAAAAATCTAACCTGGCACACTAGAAAAGCTGTAAACATCATAATCTTTTCTCCATTCAAAATACTTATTAAATGCTTCATCATCCTATTTAATAAAAACAAATTAAATCATAATTAAATGGAAAAATTATTGTTACGTTTGTTTAAAACTGTATTCCTGGATCAAAGTAAACGGTATACCTGGAGCAAAGTGAATGTATAACTGGAGCAAAGTGAACGGTATACCTGGAGCAAAGTGAACTGTATACCTGCAGCAAAGTGAACCGTATACCTGGAGCAAAGTGAACTGTATACCTGCAGCAAAGTGAACTGTATACCTGCAGCAAAGTGAACTGTATACCTGCAGCAAAGTGAACTGTATACCTGCAGCAAAGTGAACTGTATACCTGCAGCAAAGTGAACTATATACCTGAAGCAAATAGTAAAGATGCTTTGAGAGATCTTCTGGAGAAGAAAATTCTCCTGCATTTATAAATGATCCAGGAGGAAGCTCTCTTGTATAATTAACGCCTCCTAGGAAAATATCTATACATAGAGCTGAAATCTTTAGAATTGTGGATATCGAGATCAATGCTTGATTTCCTTTTTTCATTAATCTGAAAACTAATTTAATCTTAATTTAATCTTGCCATAAACTATATTTTCACAGCCTGATAAGTGCGAACCTTTAATATTCAGAATTCATAGCTTAAATAGTAAAGGCCTACCAAATTTGGGTTGGAAAGATATAGAAATTTTAAAAAATATGTTAATGGCAAGAACTCAGTTACTTTATCATTTCTTTAAAAATATTTGTAAAATTAGCTTACCTAAAACAATTGGAATTGTATTGAGTTTAAGAGCATTATATGTTTTCTCTGTGATGTAATCTTTACAGATTGAGTTCTCAAAACTGATGTAAAACTTATATCTTGAGTTCACCATTGTAAAACATGGATCTTCATCAACGGAATATTTCACTTCAACATTTTTAACTCTACCACACTTGTTGCGGCCACATTTACCATAGATATCCACACCGATATAGTCGCGGAGAATTTTTACATATTTCTCCCGACCACTGGGGGTGCCACAATGCGAGACAAACCAAACTATCGGAGATACAGGCATTTTTTTAGCCTAAATATAAAAATATAGCAGATTTTAAAAATTCTCAAATATAAAATCTAAAATCTAAAAATCTAAAATTTAAAATCACTCAAGTGCGGGTAAACGTCGGGATTAACTTTTAGTAACCTTGGCAGCGCTGGGTTCCCGGGTTCCCAAGTATATAAAGTTGTAATCTCTGATTGTCTGACCATAACTTAGGAACCCCCTGACCGATTTGCCTCAAATTTGAATTGGGGAACTCGGGAAAGCCACGGGAATTTTCTTAGCTTAGTTATGAGATTCTAAGTTGAGTGGGTCTTTTTTAGGACTTTTATAGTGAAAATTTAGTTTCCCGGTAAAATCGACTTAGAGCGGGCACACGGCGGGAGTAACAATGAGTACCCTGGGCAACGCTGGGTTTCTGAGCTAGTATAGGAAATGATATACGAAAAAATGATAAATCTGAAAGTTAGGATTTTAGAGTTTTTTAATGACAGAAACAAGTGGAAAATTGAAATCAAATCCAAATAAACCAAATAATTTGATATACTTCATGAAGATGATTAAATATTTCTCTGGGGGGAGGGGGGAAAAAATTCGGCATCTTATAATCCCCCCCCCCCCCTAGGAAATCATTAGCTACGCCCTTTATTGAAGGGTTCCTTTAATGCATAATTCTTTAAACGTAGATTTCTTAGAACTAAATGAATTCTTGTTTTTGCATTTTATAGATAACTCATAAACTAGATTAAACCTGTTGAAAGTAGGTGAAGTTGTAATGTTTGAAGTTTGGACTTGGCGTAGAACTGTATATATTCTTACTCTCCTCTGAGGAAAGGGGGGTATCTCGCTTTTTTACATAACCATGCCTTAATAATCAGTAAAAACAAAGGACATAAAGGACTATCCACAGAAAATGAGACTTCAGAATTAATCCATTATTCTTCCAATTTATTCTTGCTTTGAAAAATAATTTTCTAATGTCTACATATATAACGATTAGAGCTAGGATTAATGTTAAACCAGAAAACCAAATTCAATCTTCAGATCGATTCATCTAAAAGGTACTAGTGTCCGAATTTTATGAATTTAAGACACGTCTCAAATTCCGTTTTAATTGAGCGCCAGCTTAAAGTTTGAAAGATTTAATACAATTTTAAGTGGAACCAACCATATTTGAGCCGCGGCTTAAATCTCCGATTAACAACGTTACCGCAAAAATGAAGGAATAATCCCTGTTGTTCTCGCTGAAAATGAATTTTCTTCAATTGAGATTTTCTATGAAAGTTACTTGCGAACTATGCAGCAGAGGATTGAAATTAAATTAATATACTCGACGATGTCTAATGACGACGAATAATGTATATGGCTGACGCTTAAAATATATGGTCACTTGAAGATACATTGCCAGTCCCATAAAAGTCTATGGTATGTAATTCTAATCAGATCTTCTCTCTATATCTTTGCTACCCAATGTCGTAGACATTAGACATTTCAAACAGGAATGTTGTAAGATCAAATATCATAAGTTTAAAATACCAAAGGTTTACACCATCGGGTTGCAAATAAATGGGCATTAGAAAATTTCAGTTTATTGCAAAGATTTGATTTGATTTGTTACCTTTAGAATTATTATTAAATTTTCCACCTGACAATGATATCTGAATCCCTTCTAAAATTCATTGTTCTGTTGAACAAATTTCTCATCTTTTCCCAGCTCGAGGGGTCTGGTCCCAATGACTCTCCAATGGCTCTCTCAATTACACTGGAAATTGAAAAAAAGTTTTTCATGAAACCAAAGAAAAACAAATAACATTTGATACTCGACACTGAATCTACAAAACCATTTCATTTTCATTTCATTTCCTAGTCCTACCTATAGTTAGGAAGCATGAAGTTTACCTAGTCCTACCTATAGTTAGGAAGCGTGAAGATTGCCTAGTCCAACCTATAGTTAGGAAGCTTGAAGTTTGCCCAGTCCAACCTATAATTAGGAAGCATGAAGTTTACCTAGTCCTACCTATAGTTAGGAAGCGTGAAGATTGCCTAGTCCTTCCTATAGTTAGGAAGCGTGAAGTTTGCCTAGTCCTATCTATAGTTAGGAAGCGTGAAGATTGCCTAGTCCTACCTATAGTTAGGAAGCGTGAAGTTTGCCTAGTCCTACCTATAGTTAGGAAGCATGAAGATTGCCTAGTCCTATCTATAGTTAGGAAGCGTGAAGTTTGCCTAGTCCTACCTATAGTTAGGAAGCGTGAAGATTGCCTAGTCCAACCTATAGTTAGGAAGCGTGAAGATTGCTTAGTCCTACCTATAGTTAGGAAGCGTGAGGATTGCCTAGTCCTACCTATAGTTAGGAAGCATGAAGTTTACCTAGTCCTCCCTATTGTTAGGAAGCGTGAAGATTGCCTAGTCCTACCTATAGTTAGGAAGCGTGGAGTTTGCCTAGTCCTACCAATAGTTAGGAAGCGTGAAGATTGCCTAGTCCAGCCTATAGTTAGGAAGCATGAAGTTTACCTAGTCCTATCTATAGTTAGGAAGCGTGAAGATTGCCTAGTCCAACCTATAGTTAGGAAGCATGAAGTTTACCTAGTCCTACCTATAGTTAGGAAGCGTGAAGATAGTCCTACCTAAAGTTAGGAGGCGTGAAGTTTGCCTAGTCCTACCGGTAGTTAGGAGGCGTGAAGTTTGCCTAGTCCTACCGGTAGTTAGGAAGCATGAAGTTTGCTTAGTCCTACCTAAAGTTAGGAAGCATGAAGTTTGCCAAGTCCTACCTATAGTTAGGAAGCGTGAAGTTTGTCAAGTCCTACCTATAGTTAGGAAGCGTGAAGTTTACCTAGTCCTACCTATAGTTAGGAAGCATGAAGTTTGCCAAGTCCTACCTATAGTTAGGAAGCGTGAAGTTTGCCAAGTCCTACCTATAGTTAGGAAGCGTAAAGTTTGCCTAGTCCTACCTATAGTTAGGAAGCGTGAAGATTGCCTAGTCCTACCTATAGTTAGGAAGCATGAAGAATGCCTAGTCTAACCTATAGTTAGGAAGCGTGAAGATTGCCTAGTCCTACTTATAGTTAGGAAGCGTGAAGATTGCCTAGTCCTACCTATAGTTAGGAAGCGTGAAGTTTGCCAAGTCCTACCTATAGTTAGGAAGCATGAAGATTGCCTAGTACTACTTATAGTTAGGAAGCGTGAAGATTGTCTAGTCCTTCCTATAGTTAGGAAGAGCATAAAGTTTACCTAGTCCTACCTATAGTTAGGAAGCATGAAGTTTACCTAGTCCTACCTATAGTTAGGAAGCGTGAAGATTGCCTAGTCCTACCTATAGTTAGGAAGCGTGAAGTTTGCCTAGTCCTACCTATAGTTAGGAAGCATGAAGATTGCCTAGTCCTATCTATAGTTAGGAAGCGTGAAGTTTGCCTAGTCCTACCTATAGTTAGGAAGCGTGAAAGCACCTATAGTTAGGAAGCGTGAAGATTGCCTAGTCCTACCTATAGTTAGGAAGCGTGAAGATTGCCTAGTCCTACCTATAGTTAGGAAGAGCATAAAGTTTGCCTAGTCCTACCTATAGTTGTGAAACGTGAAGTTTGCCTAGTCCTACCTATAGTTAGGAAGCATGAAGATTGCCTAGTCCTACCTATAGTTAGGAAGCGTGAAGTTTACCTAGTCCTACCAATAGCCAGGCCCAGGTTGGGAGGAGCGGGAAACTGCAGAGTCTGTTGAAACTCTGCGGGGTGGTGCAGATACTCTAGCCAACAGTTTAGCATTATCTAGATCGGGTACACTGCCACTGCTGCCACTACTCGTATCTTCTGACAATCCGCTCCACTCCTACCAACTTATACGCACTTTTCTTATCAATGTCTTGTTCTATCAGAAGATTGCCTAGTCCTACCTATAGTTAGGCAGCGTAAAGTTCACCTAGTCCTACCTATAGATAGGAAGCATGAAGTTTGCCTAGTCCAACCTATAGTTAGGAAGCGTGAAGTTTGCCAAGTCCTACCTATAGTTTGGAAGCATGAAGTTTGCCAAGTCCTACCTATAGTTAGGAAGCGTGAAGTTTGCCTAGTCTAACCTATAGTTAGGAAGCATGAAGATTGCCTAGTCCTACTTATAGTTAGGAAGCGTGAAGATTGCCTAGTCCTTCCTATAGTTAGGAAGAGCATGACATTTTCCTAGTCTACCTATAGTTAGGAAGTGTGAAGTTTTCCTAGTCCTACCTATAGTTAGAAAGAGCGTGAAGATTGCCTAGTCCTACCTATAGTTAGGAAGCGTGAAGTTTGCCTAGTCCTACCTATAGTTAGGAAGTGTGCCTAGTCCTATCTATAGTTAGGAAGAGCGTCAAGATTGCCTATAGTAAGGAAGCGTGAAGATCTGCCTATAGTTAGGAAGCGTGAAGATCTACCTATAGTCAGGAAGCGTGAAGATCGACCTATCGTTAGAAAACGTGAAGATCTACCTATATTAGGAAGCGTGAAGATCTATAACCTATCGTTAGAAAACGTGAAGATCTACCTATAGTAGGAAGCGTGAAGATCTACCTATAGTAAGAAGCGTGAAGATCTACCCATAGTAAGGAAGCGTGAAGATCTACCTATAGTAGGAAGCGTGAAGATCTACCTATAGTAAGGAAGCGTGAAGATCTACCTATAGTAAGGAAGCGTTAAGATCTACTTATAGTTAGGAAGTGTGAAGATCTACTTATTGTAAGGAAGCGTGAAGATCTATCTATAGTTAGTGAGGAAGTGTGAAGACCTACATATAGTAAGGAAGCATGAAGATCAGCCTATATTTAGGAAGAGTGAAGATGTACCTATAGTGAGGAAGTGTGAAGATATACATATAGTAAGGAAGCATGAATATCTACCTATAGTAAGGAAGCGTGAAGATCTACCTATAGTCAGGAAGCGAGAAGATCTACCTATATTCTTGAAGCGTGAAGATCTACCTATAGTAAGGAAGCGTGAAGAGATACCTATAGTAATGAAGCGTGAAGAGATACCTATAGTAATGAAGCGTGAAGAGATACCTATAGTAAGGAAGCGTGAAGATCTACTTTTAGTTAGGAAGCTTGATGATCTACCTATATTTAGGAAGAGTGAAGATCTACCCATAGTTAGGAAGCGTGAAGATCTACCTATAGTAAGGAAGCGTGAAGATCTACTTTTAGTTAGGAAGCTTAATGATCTACTTATAGTTAGGAAGCATGAAGATATACATATAGTAAGGAAGTGTGAAGATCTACCTATAGTAAGGAAGCGTGAAGATCTACCTATAGTAAGGAAGCGTGAAGATCTACTTTTAGTTAGGAAGCTTAATGATCTACTTATAGTTAGGAAGCATGAAGATCTACCTATAGTAAGGAAGTGTGAAGATCTACCTATAGTTAGGAAGCGTGAAGATCTACCTATAGTTAGGAAGCGTGAAGATTTCCCTATAGTAAGGAAGCGTGAAGATCTACCTATAGTCAGGAAGCGTGAAGATCTACCTATAGTCAGGAAGCGTGAAGTTTTCCCACTCTAGGTTGGGTAGATGGAAGAGAATAGCAGTGCTTTTATTCAGAAATTTACGATCTGTTGTAAACTAGTTAAATACAAATTATTTCAAAGAACGCATGGTTTTAACCTTATTCATATCAATTTTCATCTAAAAAATAAGGATTTTTTATTTACTCTTGAAAGACAACGTTTACAAGGGTACCGTTGTGAATCGGACATACCACTCTATCAAATTTTGTTTACTATCGATCTCTTTATGTAAAAAAAATGAAAATGTTCATGAATTATTTGTATTTTCCTTGCATGAGCTGACAGGGCATTTCCCATCAGTAATTCTGTGAAAAACTCTATTGTAAATTTTCTTTCCCAGCTTGTGATATTTATTCCAGATTAAAACTAGTTTTGGTTCAACCGTATCCATCTTTAGGACAGGAGTGTCATCTCTTATAAAATCTATTGACAACTCTATCCTAGGTAATAAAGCTAATATTGATATGAATCATTGAAAAATGTGTAACATCTTATCCTGAGACCGAATTTAATTAATTGGAGGGGTGGCTGAACTACCTACCGCTGGTTCAAGTCCTGTATCGACCCAACTCAAGATTTGAACAGGCGGGAAGTAGTTCAACGACTTAGCGCTCATTCATAAAATTTGGTTCCTGGAAAAATATAACTAACACGGTTAATATGAACACAATGAAAACAATGCAATATTGTGAATATTGCACAGTGCACAGTGTGTTGGAACATTTCATACAAACACATCTCATAAATGGTTCGATTCAAATAAAGTGATAATCAATTAACTTTTCAACAGGGTTCAACTGTTCTTAGCCATGTGTTCAATCACATTTATTCAACAGGGTTCAACTGTTCTTAGCTGTGTGTTCAATCACATTTAATCAACAGGGTTCAACTGTTCTTAGCTATGTGTTCAATCACATTTATTCAACAGGGTTCAACTGTTCTTAGTCATGTGTTCAATCACATTTATTCAACAGGGTTCAACTGTTCTTAGCTATGTGTCTATGTGTTCAATCACATTTATTCTACAGGGTTCAATTGTTCTAAGCTATGTGTTCAATCACATTTATTCAACAGGGTTCGACTGTTCTTAGCTATGTGTTCAATCACATTTATTCAACAGGGTTCAACTGTTCTAAGCGATGTGTTCAATCACATTTATTCAACAGGGTTCAACTGTTCTTAGCTATGTGTTCAATCACATTTATTCAACAGGGTTCAACTGTTCTTAGCTATGTGTTCAATCCGTTAACAGTGGATTCACGGCTAAGTAAATCCTAGCTTTAATTCTTTATTTGTCACAGTTTGGTTTTTAAGTCATTTGGAGCTGAAATAAATTCGACAAAAGTTAAAACACGATAAAAGCACCTATATAATACAGATTACACAGATAAAACAAGATAAAACACTTCTATTACAGATTACACAGATAAAAAATATAAAAACACCTCTGTTACAGATTACACAGAGAAAACTAGATAAAACAAGATAAAAACACCTTTATTACAGATTACACAGATAAAATAATATAAAAACACCTCTATTACAGATTACACAGAGAAAATAAGATAAACACACCTCTATTACAGATTACACAGAGAAAACTAGATAAAACAAGATAAAAACACCTCTATTACAGATTACACAGATAAAATAAGATAAACACACCTTTACTACAGATTACACAGATAAAATAAGATAAAACAAGATAAAAACACCTCTATTACAGATTACACAGAGAAAACTAGATGAAACAAGATAAAAACACCTCTATTACAGATTACACAGATAAAATAAGATAAACACACCTTTATTACAGATAACAAAGATCAAACCAGATGAAACAACTATATTATAGATTACACAGATAAAAAGAAATATAAAAACACCTCTGTTACAGATTACACAGAGAAAACTAGAAAAAAACAAGATAAAAACAACTTTATTACAGATTACACAGATAAAATAAGATAAAACAAGATAAAAACACCTCTATTACAGATTACACAGAGAAAAGTAGATAAAACAAGATAAAACACCTCTATTACAGATTACACAGAGAAAATTAGATAAAACAAGATAAAAACACCTCTATTACAGATTACACAGATAAAACAAGATAAAAACACCGCTATTACAAATTCAACAGATAGGACTGTGATAACTAAACCATGCATGAGTAACAGGTAACTTTTGCTGAAGTTCTGTAAACACTAAAGTACATATACAGGACATGGTCCTTATCAAGGAAGATCAAGTATATTCCTCGACAATAAAGTGAACTGGAATATTTTTGGGACTTGTAAATTAACGTTGTCATTTAATTTTTGCTGAATTGGTTTTTTCTCCTTCCGGAAATTGCAGTACACATTTTTGTAAACAAAGATATGGGAGTTCCCGGTTTATCTTCCTTGTCCATACAGGTAGAATAGCTAGGGTTAAGGNATATATGTATTTGTGACCAGAATATATGTATTTGTGAGCAGAATAACTAAAACTAACAAATAAAGTGAACTTTTTATTTTAGAATTATACACTTATTCAGCTAGAAAACGACGATATATTCCACAGTATGGAGCAGATGAAGGGTTTAAACAGCCATACCCTTCTTCTCTGTCGATCAATGCAGAGTCACTAGAAATTTCAACAATAGTCCCTTTAAATTTTGTCTGTATAATGCATGACGAATACAGATTTTAAGTTTTAAAACCGGAGAGTTCTAGTTCTAAGCAGTATAATACAGTATAACGCTCTCCCTACATAAGTTGTACTTTTCAATCGCGACTCTCTTTGCAAACAATTATTTAGCCACATAAAAATATCCGATAAAAAAAATATTGGATCCACAAAAAGCTACAAATACAATATGTCTAAAATATAAAAAGATGAATGTTGCAAATAATTACTTTTTCTTCTCTTAGTGTAGGTTGCAGAGTGACCGGAGGACAGTGCAATATAGTACGGAGCTAAGTTGGTAGATAGAAAGATAGTAGAATTCGGTTTATAGCGGATTTTTCATGTTCCTCACTGTCGAGGATATACCCGGTGTAGTCACTAGTCTCCGTGGTTAACAGAATCAGTTCAACAAGAAACGGAACAAAGAAAGGCCGTTAAACACATAAATAGTGAAAACAAAAGTTTGGTTTCTTTTTAATAAACTATTACGGTAAGCATATTTTTTCATATTCAAACATTACTATATACTTAAACAACCATACTTACGTGTCAAACTCTCTTATACAAAAAAAATCACAACAAAAATTATAGTACTTTAGAAATGTATTATACAGTTAGATATATGAAGGATGGTATAGAGAAATGTATTATANTTTCATATGAATTCATTATTATCAGTTTTCATATGAATTCATTATTATCAGTTTTCATATGAATTCATTATTATCAGTTTTCATATGAATTCATTATTATCAGTTTTCATATGAATTCATTATTATCAGTTTTCATATGAATTCATTATTATCAGTTTTCATATGAATTCATTATCAGTTTTCATATGAATTCATTATTATCAGTTTCTATAATGAGTTTAACTTACAAGGCTTAAAAAATATTTTGAACATTTTTTCAACCAAAATTTTCAAATCTTTTTTTAAAAGTTGAGGTTTTTTTGATACCTTTTTTTTAGATTGCCGATTTCGGGTTTAAGTAATATATATAAAATATGTTAAAAAAACAACTTATAAGTTAATTTAAATAAAATATGTGTATAGATATTTTGATTTATGTTTCACACAATTATTTAAGAGTGAAAGGACGTTTAAATATTTTCTTCATTTCAAATTAAGCTCTGGTAAAAAATCTCATTAAAAAAGTCTCGACCCCTCTCGAAAAGATAAGTTTTTGCTCAAATACTTTATAACTCGCCTCCCTTCAACCAGTAGGGTTATAAATAATTAATTTTTACTTTTTGACAGTTTTTTTGACCTGCCATATGATCGAATTGACACACATAAAGATAGGTTTTGACCATTTCGGTGTCGGGAATGTTTTAGACTAAAAAAATAACCAAATAGAACATTTTTGAAAAGTATTTTTTAATCAATATTATTATATCTTATTATGAAAATTATCATTGTTTGAAACAATGTGAAGGCGACTAAATAAAACATTAAACCGTAATTTTGGGTGAAGTTTAAAGGGAGTGTTCGCGAAAAATGAAAGGGGGTATAGGCTTAATGCGATAAAAAAGCGCTTTTGATCGCTACTAATCTTACGTCTATCTGTTGCNGTCCCACAAAAAGTTTTGGCCCGATGGTTCTGCCGTTTTGACTTTTATTGGATACAAACAAACAGAAGACAAGTAAAGCATATATATATAGATATACCCTGTAAATCCTGCCAAGCCAAGAAGTACATACATTAAGAAGCCCCTCATATACTCACCACTGCACCAAATGTACAAGCTAAAGATGTAGAGGCTGTTTAGAAAAAATGGACCATCATATATGTTTTTATATTCAAATTGAATACACCCAAAAAAACTATAAAAAAAACTACGGAAAATTCACAACCATTTCGGGTTCGAAAATGAAGGCTTACCGACATATTAAACCCCTACGTTTGAAACACCCTTTCATCCTTTATTTGAGAACCGTTTCTCTATTGCTAGAAAAGTGTTAGATCTTAATAAACAATCTCCTCTCTTTATTTCTTCAGGAGAAAATTTTTTGACTTAAAAGACTCAAAAAGAGTCAAAATTAATGACTAAAGACCAGAAAACTAGATTTTTAACTTTTCACACATTATAGTTTATTAAGACAGATATTTTTCCTGTTTTGCACTAGCTGGTTTCTTTCCAGCTTATTACATATACATATACATATACATATACATAAACATATATACATATACTTATACATATACATAAACATATACATATATATACATATTCATATACATATACATATACAAATACATATACATATACATATACATATACATATACATATACATAAACATATATACATATACTTATACATATACATAAACATATACATATACATATATACATATATACATATATATATATACATATACTTATACAAATACAAATACAAATACAAATACATATACATATACATATACATATACATATACATGTACATATACATATACATATACATATACATATACATATACATATACATATACATATATACATATACAACATACAGCATACATACATTTATACATCGTAAACAAACATACATATCTCTAAATTATATATACATATAACCAATACCAACACAGTCTACATATCTGTATACACACATCACTAATATACATGTAACATGCCGGATAAAACACAAAGGATGAGACTTCAGAGACGATTGTACGGAATTTATATCTTCTGAGCTGGGAACTTTTGAATGGTGGATATCGGGATTAGTGCTTAATCCACTCCTTTTCTCAATCTCTAGATTAAATAATGCTTGTTTTCCTCTTGTTATTAATTTCCAGATTAAATAACCGATCGGGATTAAGGATATCCCATTCTAAAGTTTTCAGCTCTGTTTCCTAATATTAACGCTTCCTACAACTGTAAACTAGTTTGTTATATTACCAAATCATTAGTTTTTGATCAGACAATGATTTCAAGGATACCGTTGTGAATCGAAAATGACACTTTATAAGTGAAAGGTCACATTAAATTAGGTCTACAGTCCCTTTAAAATTCTATTTGTGTCTAGGTCAGCAGCTGGGAATGCTGCCATCTTTAAAGTTAAAAGACGAAGATCAGCTTCTTATAGCGGCCAGCTGTAACAGTAACAGCTTCCAAACCTCAACTGGAAGCAGCTTTTATACAAAAGCCTCAGCTGGGAGCAGCTTTGTTCGAAGCAGTTCCGAAGGGAGCAGCTTTGTCCGAAGCAGCTCTGAAGGGAGTAGTGGTGAAGGGAGCTATTACAGAGGATCCTCTCTGAATCCTAGTATGCTCCTTAAACAGGAGTTTGATGGAGAAGAGGAGAGAATAGCCTCCTCAGAGGAGTATGAGTACCTGGAAGGGGGTGAGGAGGGGGATATGATGTATGAAGAGGATGGAGGGCCAGTTTATCCAGAGGGAGAACTCCTGAAGGAGAATGAAGGTGTAATCAAGAAGAAAAGGAAACCTGTAAACTTGAATATACGGTGTCCAGTTTGTGGAGGCCTGGCACCAGATCATCTGCATTTTGGAGGTAAAATTGAATATTTTGGAGGTAAAATTGGATATTTTGGAGGTAAAATTGAATATTTTGGAGGTAAAATTGAACATTTTGGAGGTAAAATTTAATAGTTTGGAGGTAAAATTGAATATTTAGGAGGTAAAATTGAATATTTTGGAGGTAAAATAGGATATTTGGAGGTAAAATTGAACATTTTGGAGGTAAAATTTAATAGTTTGGAGGTAAAATTGAATATTTAGGAGGTAAAATTGAATATTTTGGAAGTAAAATTGGATATTTGGAGGTAAAATTGAAAATTCATAGGGTAGAAATTAGAATTATTTATTTTGGAAGCACAATTCGCAAATGACTAATCTGACTTATGAATTAAAAAAAGAATTATATGAAAAAAATATAAAAGAACTGAATACTTGCCACAAACTCTGACTTCCACCTATGAAGGTATGGGTTATTCTATCTGACACAAATCAAAGTTTGGAATATAAAAAAAAGGTCTAAAACAAATGTTACAAAGATATACGGATTAGCAAATCAGTATTTCTTGTAAGTTATCAGTTCCTTTAATATCTATTTTAGTTGAAACAAATATTTGTTTTAGGCCAATGTTGCTACTCCTGTCGTGCTTTTTTTCGACGGACGTCGCAGCGACCAATCTCCAGTTTCCGGTGTCGTGGTGGTAAAAATGATTGTGTTGTTACTTCCGGAAGTAAAAGTTGCATTCCATGTAGGCTAAGGAAATGTTTGAAGGTAAATGTTTACAAATATAGTGATGTTGATATTAATTATAATCAGAGGCGCATTCTGATTATAATAATAATGATATTAATGATGATAATGAAAATAACTATTAATAGTAATTATGATTATGATAATTATAATAAAAACAATAATAATGAGAATGATAATCTTATCAATAATAATACTGACAATAGTATTAACAATAACAATAATTTTTATGATGATGATATCATGATTATAATGATAATGATAAGAGAAAATAATGATAATGATAATGATAATATAAAGAAAATATTAATAAAGACATTGTTCTAAAATTTTATTTCTTTGATTAAGGTTGGTATGGACCCTACACTGGTCCGGGGCAAGAAGTCTGAGAAAGGCGCGGAGGAAGGTGACGACGACCTAGAATTACCTCTTCCTCCCCTCGCCCCTCTGGGAGAAATGAATGGAAGCACCTGGCTACAGTTTAAAGCCGAAATGATGAAGTATCAGGGCTTAAAGCTACAATACCAGGCTAAACTACTCTCCAAGCAGGCCAAGCTGATTAGCAAGGACCAGACGGACTCCAACACCATCCTTGAGGTTGAGAACATGAAGCAAGGATTACAGATCGGCGGATACAGACATCAAACCGACACCAATCTAGATTTTTCCCAAGAAGACTTTGCGGATTTTCCAGCCCTTGGACTCATTCCTCGTGAAGATCAGTTTACCCGGCGGCGGGATGAGTCTACCCGCCAAGGTATAGTTTCCTTGGAACGGCGGTGTGAGGAACTGGATTTTGTAGATCGTTCTTCAATCTCTCAGGAGTTGAATTATACACCTGGATCTTCTCCTGGATCTTACCTAGTCAAATATTCATCTGCGCCTGTCCTGTATCCAGTCGATCAAACCAGGCTCATCTTCTCATCTGCAGCTAATCAACCAATACCCTCATCCAACATCTTATCATCCTCATCCATTCATCCATACCCATCCTCGTACAGTCATTCCACTTTCTCATCCGCATCTAGTCATCCTGTGTTTCTATCCTCATCCAGCTACCCACTATACTCATCCACATCCAACCAATCAACTTTTACATCATCCAATACGACTAGGTGTGAGAGACCCTTAGAGCACTGTAGATCCGTCCCAAGGAAACAAAACAACTCTGCTGCAATAGAAAAATACAACAATTCTGCTGCAATAGAAAAATACAACAATTCTGCTGCAATAGAAAAATACAACAACTCTGCTGCAATAGAAAAATACAACAAATCTGCTGCAATAGAAAAATACAACAATTCTGCTGCAATAGAAAAATACAACAAATCTGCTGCAATAGAAAAATACAACAATTCTGCTGCAATAGAAAAATACAACAACTCTGCTGCAATAGAAAAATACAATAATTCTGCTGCAATAGAAAAATACAAGTACTCTTCCCCCATTGACAGCTACAAATACTCTCCACTTATGGAACGCTGTAGGTATTCCCCCCCTGAGGAACGCAGTAGGTATTCCCCTCCTGAGGAACGCTGTAAGTACTTCCCCCCTCAGGAACGCTATGTTCCTCCCAAATCTAGTCTGGTGGTAAACTACTCCCAGGGCAGCCCTGTTGTATCCTCTGATTATGAACCTCTAGATCTAAGTGTAGAACGAGGATCTACCATGAGGTTGACCGCTGGGCAAAACTATGGAATGGACCAGGCTGTCCACACTCAAATGACCGGTATGCCCAGAATATTCTTCAGACACTCGGACCAGGAGAAATAAACATTCACCTCAAGCTAATCCCTATATCTTTGCAACCTGATATTATATAACATTTGATATTTGTCACTTTGACAATTTTAATTTTGCAGTATTCATAGTTTAAAAATATCAGATATAAGGATTAGAACACTTGTGGCGAGTAAACAGTTTCTTTGTGATTTATATGTGAGCTTTTCTTGTGCTTGTTTGACAATCACATATCAGTCATTTTATCAGTTTCCTCTTTGTGATAATTTTGAACAATTCGAAACGAAATTAAGGGTCATTCGGAAACAAATGGGACAACTTTTTGACAATTATGGAAGTGACTTTACCTCCGATTTGACTGAAAATTTTAAACAGTTTTTTTTAAATCCCGTAATTTTTTCAAACAAAAAAGTTGCAGGATTTTTAAAAACCATCTTTTAAGTTATTGCTGCCCCCATAAAATTTTATTTCAAACATTAAGATGTTTATAAAATTTTAGCAAAAACGGAGATGGTTATTTCTGTAAGCTGTCTCTTTTGTTCAGAATGACCCCTTGTTGTTCATTTGAAGAATTTGACCCAGAGTACAATGCACTTGATAAAGAATTTGATATTGTTAGTAAACACTTACTGGGTTTCTTTCATATGTATGTTATTATATATTATTATTCGTATTTTTTCACTTTTAAAAATGTTTGTAGCACTTAGACTTGAAAAATATCAATGCATTTTAATTTATTTACACGAGTCATTGTTTTTTGAAGAAAATGATATAAATGTAAATTGGAAATAGTATATATGTATAATTATTTATGTTGTGAAAAAATATAAAAAAAAGTTTTGATTGTTTTTAATTTTGGGTCATTCGATAGAAAGACATTGCACGAACAGGACATTTTAAAGATGACATTTTGTAGAAGATATTTCATGAAAAAGTTTAAGCATTACTTCAAAGCGATCTTATTCAATAAATCAATCTAGATGCGATCTATCTTTTGGAAAACAACCAGATGATCGATGTTCAAGAGTTGATCCGAAATTTGTTTACATTGTGATTTGTTAGTCTTGCCTATCTTTTCTTTACTTGCATAAACTATTTGGAGTTCAGTGAAAAAGGGCTCCCTAAAAAATGGGATATCAACAGGATGGGTACGTTTATGGGAAACTAAGTTTTAAAAGGAGAAGATGCATGCAAAAAAACTAACCAAAAAAGGTTTGTTAGTTCCTGACATTTTTATATGATATAAAAATTTTGAATAACTTAATTTAATGTAACTTTGCCCATCTGCACTATCTACAATTTAAAGTTGGGAATCTTGAAAAATGATAAAAAGCCTAGAGAGACCAAGGTTGCACTTGCATCATATTCATTGATTATTCGTTTTCAACCATTGTCTGTTTAGAGACGCATGCAGATAGAACTTATCAAATTCGACTCTGTTTAGGATTATGCGAACACTCCTTTAAAATTTACGCAAACACGCCTTTTAAATTTACGCGAACACTCCTTTAAAATTTACCCAAACACGCCTTTTAAATTTACGCAAACACTCCTTTTAAATTATGCAGACACTCCTTTTAAATTTACGCGAACACTCCTTTAAATTTACGCAAATACGGCTTTTAAATTTACGCAAACACTCCTTTTAAATTTACGCAAACACTCCTTTTAAATTTACGCAAACACTCCTTTTAAATTTACGCGAACACTCCTTTTAAATTCACGCGAACACTCCTTTTAAATTTACGCGAACACTCCTTTTCAATTTACCCAAACACTCCTTTTTAATTTACGCAAACACCCTTTTAAATTTACGCGAACACTCCTTTTAAATTTACGCAAACACTCCTTTTAAATTTACGCGAACACTCCTTTTAAATTCACCCGAACACTTCTTTTAAATTTACGCGAACACTCCTTTTTAATTTACGCAAACATCTTTTTAAATTTACGCGAACACGGCTTATAAATTTACGCAAACACTCCTTTTTTATGGTACCTATCAAGCCAGGCAATCTCTTTTTTAACTGGGAATTCACTCGAAATAAAACGGCAGCCAATTTTATCCTTTTTCTTTAATCCCTTTGAAATATTTTTTCCGAACTTTGAAAGCAAGGCATCTGAAATATAACCAAATTACCACAAATTGATTGCATTCAAACATGATAAATATGTTTTTTGTCAAATATTGTGTTTAATTTAAACAAATATCTTTAAGAATGGAAGTAGGACAACCCTAAAAGTCTGATTTGATTTGACACATTTGTCCCAATGTTAATTTACAACACTGGGCTTTCAGGCTGCTGCCCATCTTAATCTTCTATTTCAACTTTTAATTTTTGTACAATATCAAACAAAAACAAAAAAGTTTGCAGATTTAATGATCTTTTTTCGTGGATTTTCAAAATGATTAAAATTTTATCGGATACAACCAGACAGACAGGCAGGCAAAGTATATATATATATAGAATCCTAATGTCTACTCAGAAATGAATCGACTGTGTTACTCATTTGTGAAATCTGTCACAAATGAAAAATGGAATTATCGTAAATCGAAACAAAATCATTTTTAGCAGAATGAAAATTCTTTGTCTATAAAAATGTTTAATTTCTAGTGTAAAAGGCTGCTTATCACTAAAATCTAGACTACTCTGAAAGTTATCATCAACTTTTTAGACAGCATCGACATTAAAGTGTCGCATCGACATTAAAGTGTCGCATCGACATTAAAGTGTCGCATCGACATTAAAGCGCGTTTACCTCACCAACTCACTCATACTTTTTAATTTTTTTTACAGCCATTTAGAAAACTCTGGAATAGGAGGTCGAGCTTTAGACTCAATTTAAACAGTCCAATGAATATGAGGAACAGCAATTGTGTAGTGTACACAGACTCATTTTACTTAATAAGTGATTTAATAACTTACTATATAAGCTATTTGCTTCATAACAACATAAAAATCACTTCAGTTTTGCTTAAATGTCGTCTTCCTATTCTACTTTTTTCTGGTTATCACTGTATACATTTAAAAATATTAAGCGCTTATTTCTAGCTGAGGTTCAGATGGACTAATTTGCGAAATATTGCTTGATTTTAGCGTGAGAGCATGCTCATCTTAGTTTTTAGTGTTATCAATCATTCTGAGTTCATGACACTTTTCACTTTTTTAAGAATTTTATCAGATTATCTCATTATTATTGGTGGTTTCGTGGGATAGGGATAAACAAAGATAGAGTTATGACTAACGATTTTCTTTTCAAAAGTAAAAAAGTAGGAATTAGTCTCAAACCCCCTTTCATTTTTTTACGAACACTCCCTTTAAGAAGAAATATCAAGGATAAGCATTAGGAGGTAGCTTGGATGACAATGTGGCTCGGACGAAGAATTATAGTGGCTGGCCTTCCAGTCTTCGATGAACCAGAGTAGTCCAGATTTATGCTGTTTAAATGAATAATATATAAGATATCTAATTACTTAACTACCCAAATAGGTTCAGGGCAAAAATAGTAATGTAGAAATACCAAATATAAAAACTAATCAAAATTTATATAAATATTTATTTTTTAATGAATTTTATGTGTATAATTTTAGTTTGAGTTTCGTCAGCTATCAATGTCAGCACGGACATAAGCTCTCAAACTATCAATGCCAACCCACTGGGCACCATGTCGTCAGCTATCAATGTCAACAGGGACACAAGCTCTTAATCGATCAATACCAAACCATGATGGGCACATTGAGGAACAAATTACCTCCCTCATCGTAATCAAAGAGAAGTATATTCCAACTGATGTGTATTTAGAAATCTATGTTACAAGTTAACATTAATCGACATAATTACTGTATTATGTCGATATAAATATATATGTATGTACAGCGTAGTTTAAGTTTAATGTACATATTTACAAGATTATCGCAGATATATATAAGCGTAGTTAGGCTAATCACAATACATGTTTGATCATGTTACATAGTTGAATTCTGCCAATTTAGCACCATCATGTCGCAAAGATATAAGGCCGGATTTAAAACTTTAAGTTTACGGATATTAATCAGTTCTTTACATAATTAACAGAAAAAAAAACAATATGAATTGTTCAACTTACAAGTACAATACCTATATGCCATACAAATAAAAAATAAACAAAAAATATGAACAAAATCATTTCCAGCTTTTTAATAGAGATTGTCTGTAAAATTATTTATCGCTGGTCAAACATGAGATTTTACTTACGATTTTAGTTTTTCAATCTATATGAGATACGTTATAATATACATAGCTTGGGAATGGGAACCCAGCTTTGGTTGAATACTGAAGTCCGCCCACTCAACCGAGTTCTTGGAATCAAATTTTGAGATTACTACTATATTTCAGCTATTCAGGGTTTCTAACGCAGGATTGGATTTTAATGACGACCTAAAACTCAATAATTACTTTTTAACAGACATTTTTTTGTCCCCAGGACTAATTCTGAAAACGTATCCACCGTCAAAGTAGTAGTTTTGAACGTCAAATTTGCGCTCAAACTCAGGATTTACAGATCTTTAAAAGTTTAATATGTCTCAAATGAATCCGAAGTTTTCCACTACAGGGCATACTCAATTCGACTACCTTGCATTTAAGCTTGTATTGTATAAAAAATAAATAACAAATATTATGAAACATTGACTGTATAATTTTTCAAAAAAAAAATATATAGGCAGCATTCCATTATTGCTGTAGATTTATGGAAACGACATTTTATAAATTCAATCGATGTCTTCAAAGTTCTGGGTTTAACTGTAGGCGTCAGGCGTCTAGTAGTATTACAATGTGCAGTGCAAATAGACTCTAGTACAATAGATGGGTAATGTTGAGCCGCTCTACTTCCCATCCGTCCTATAGCCCATCCGCTATACTGCCCATCTGATCTACTCCAACATCTGACCCAAGTAACAATTTTGCGGAAATTCCCAGGAATCTTTCCTGGGAATCCNGATGGTAACGAAGAATGTGTAAACTCTCAGTACAGCTGTATTCTTACGTCACAAGTGTCAACTCAGTTTTTGTGTCCGACAAAATTATTTATAATAGTGATAATTTTAGAATGAAGTGTTATCTTACAGTGAAATAAGTGCAATTTTATGTGTTCTTTATTTTCTGTTTTTACAATTTTTTATCTAGTCTTGGAAAACATTTCAACTAATGTGAGAAATTTTCGTTTTTCTTTTTATATTTGACACTTGTGACGTCGTGGATAGTTGGTCCATTTCTCTATTTCACCTATTGTACTTTGGTGCAGTGTAACATCAAATACAATTCATCATAGCTTTAATTGCTTTCTATTCCATTGTTTTCTGGTTAATGTATGTATACAATTTTTATATTAGTCGTTTCTCGAGTTCCAAAGCTTCAAAGTGAAATTTTAATAGTTGTAGTGTAGACAATGAGGTAGATTAGATAACAATTAACATCAAATTATTGCATAAAATAACCAGTTTCATACTCAAAATTATAAAGTAAAATTGAACGAGAAAAAATATTTTAATCTAAACTGACTTTTTTTTTTTGTAAACAGTGCTTTATTTTGACAGTTGAACACCTTAAGCAAAGATTATTACTAAGAGAATTCCACAATGAAGTTGCATATTAAATGGCTATTTTTTTACAATCACCGAGATTTATCCTGTTAATGGGGCTAAAGTTATAATTTGATTCTAAAAGTCGTCTTCCTATTTCAGAGTTTTATATTAAATTGTTTAGACGAAATGTCAATAATTTCAAGCAATATGATTCTACAGAGTAGAGATGTCAACGTTTTGATTTTTCTAGATTTTAGCTTTCGTTACGATAGTGTTCATCAAAAGTATTAACGTTTGAAACTTTACGTTGCACATTATGAAATTTTATGGCATAGAGTAACGTTACGTAATGAATTTTCTGCATTTGAATATCTTATACAACGTTAAGCTTTAGTAAATGTTAGCGAAAAAAAACAGTAAGCTCCGTTACGCTTTTGCATTTCCCGTTTTAAAAAACTTTCCCAACGTTGTCTTAAAGCTTATGTAATATAACCACAATTTTTTTACGTTCCACTTTCATGCAAGGTAAATATTTTCAGAGACCTTACGTTACACTTTCACTTGGTTTAAGATCTAAAAGATGATAAAAACTATGCAACTTAATGCACCCAGGCGCGTAGGAGGGGGGGGGGGCGGTACCCCTGTGCCCCCTAGAGCCGGAGGCAGGCTATAATTTATTAAACTAACATATATATATACAGATTTTTTACTTTTCTTTTCAATCGACAATGTCACAATTTGTCCATTTTATGATTATTTCTCAAATTCTTTCTTAATTACCTCAATCTTATTTACAATATTTTTTTCGGGGGTTTTATTTAAAATGATTGGTAATTATGGTCAGATGACTAATAGTCAGCCTTCAGGTAGATTAATATAGATTTCAAACTTTTTTTCTCAATACCGGTTTTTTTAGGGGGGTGCACAATGCACATCAACCGTTAGGGGTGCACAAAAAAAAATTTCGAGGCAATAAGTGCACCCCCTAGGCTTAATATCCACTATGCGCCTGGGAAGGTAAAAGGAGATAAAAGAAAATGGAGAATGTGAGAAGAGATAGAATAGGTGATTGGAGAGAGGAGGGGAGAAGGAGATGATAGATTAGGTGATTGGAGAGAAGATGAGGGGAGAGAAGGGATGATAGATTAGGTATTTATGTCTTTTCTCTGTATATAAACAGAATATAGTTTATATACCTGGACTTGTTTTGTTCACCATAAAATACACCAAAAAGACACATTTTGGGTGTTAGTAATTTTATAGAGTTTAAAAATGATTCCTTTGCTTGAAAAAACTAACTTTTTAACTTTGTAAATTTATCACTTAACTCCATCACAGCTAACTAAATCAATAATCACAGCATCATTAAAAATTATATTTTCACAAATAAACGACTCAATCTACATATTCACCAACTCTTTTAAGCTTTAATTTTTTGGGATTTGCTTGCACAAACATTTCAATGATTTTCTCAGTAGAGAGCTCAGACAGCCTATAAGGGTGTAAGGCTATAAGTGCAAGATCGTTAAGTCTGCTCTCCGTCATAGTACATCTTGTGTAATGAAGTATTCTCTTTAGAAGGCTAACACTTTTCTCTCCTTGTATTAACAATGAATTTAGACAAATCCTTAGTCTTTGTCATTGTCAGGTGTTACTTTTTAAACGTAGTTTCCAGGGGTAGCAAGAGGACTACTGCCCCCCTTGGTACGCCACTGTGCCTGGCCTGAGGAAGGGAAATGCAAGCAGATGTAAAATTAAAAGAGCCTCCCCCCATGGGTGCCCCCCTTGAATGTTGCATTAGTAAAAATAAAATCAGTTAAAAGAAAAGATCTAAATGAATAAAAATAGGAGTGATAAGAAATAAGTGAATGAGAAACGATAACAGGAGGAATAAAATACGACATTTGAATTTCTAAAATAAAGATTTAACATTTATATTTAATATTTTTATTTATTTAGTTACTATCTTTATTGAAAAAAGTAGAGAATGAAAATATTTAATTTTTTGCATTACCTTGAATTCCAGAATTTTTCAGTACATGCATATTGCATATCCTCTTCATTTGAAGGAGTAATTACTTCATCCTTGATAAAACCCATCTCCTCCTTCATTTCACACTTTTCCTTATTTATATCTTCTCTCTGTATATAAACAGAACATGTGTTCTCTTACTATAGTTTGAGTAAAAAAAAATATTTCCATTTACTAATAGCGCTGATTGAAGAATTCATATCTCTAATTGGATAATGAGATATATAAAGATTAATATAATAGATGTTCCCGCCATACTATTTCTATTGGTTCAGAAAAGACAACAAACACATGACTGAACCCTGATTGGATCAGGGCTAATGGACTCAGCATGGATTTTACATTAGAGGATGGAAGGATTTATTTTTTCTTAAAAACTGTCTCTTCTTTCATCTCAAACTCTTTCAGATTAATTTCTTCTTTAATTGTCTCTGAAAACCTTACTGGATTTTCAAAAACAAATTAAATTAAATAAATTAAGATGGGAATGGAGAAAAATCAGGAAAAGAAATAGGAAGTGAATAGGAAGTGAACATGTTTGTTTGTTTCAACAAAAAAAATAATTTACCACAAGGGATAAAAAAAAATACTGACATCTACAGAATATTACTCGGCATTTGAACTTATATAATATTGTCTTCCATAAAAACTGTTTTATTCAACTCCAACAATATAATTTAATATGTCTTAAGTTGGGTTACTGTTTACTCCATACATGCTTCATTATCTGTTGTGCCTCAATCAAGAAATAAAGCAGAATTATGATTTATTCTGAAAATTTGTAAAAAAAAAAAGGAATTACAAAAGAACAACATTAGGTATTAAAATTGTTTTTAGGTGCACACAAATTAAGAGAGAGGGGGGGGGGTAAATCAATCATATGAATTCATCCTATCAGAAATTGTTTAACTCTATACTTTATTTCCATCAAATTTTTTCAGTCCAAAAGTTCTGTCCTCAACTTCCTCTAATTCTTTTCACTACTGTTTCCATTTTTGCTGATTTCCTTATTTACCCTTCTCTTCTTTGTATCACCATTGTCTTCACTGTCTCTACTATCCCTCTCTGCCTTTCTCCTCTCCTTCTTCCTTATCCTGTCTGCTATTCTAGACTTTGCTCTAAAACAAAGAGCATTTGAAAAAAAATCATTCTTGGAAATCAAATGTCTCAAACCATCTCTTAAATTCCATTGCTTTTGTCCTTCATTTATAAAAGTATATACACAAAAAAAGTACTGAAAATATCCTTAAGCAGGGAAAAGCCTTAGGGTGACATAAAGACAAGAGGGAGGAGAGAGGGGTTTTACAAATTTTGATGATTTTCCAAGAAAACGTATATACCTGAATTCATGAATAAAACAAAACATATGGTTACCTGTAGAACACAGAGTAGATATATAATTTAGCTGCTCGTCTTACTCCACCAAAAGTTGCAAGTAGTAGATTGCAAAGTGTTGGACATACTTGTCTGAACCTCTAAAATTGTAAACAATAAAATCAAAGTGAACAATATTAAACATACATGAACCTCCACTTTAATGTTCCCAACTTTCTGTACTTCCATTTTCAATTGTCAATTAAAATATTAATCAAAAAATAGGGGTTTTAAAGGAGCTCTTAACATACTTACAAGTGACTCCTAATTTAAAGAATTTTAGGGTACTGTAAAGTTATGTCAACAATCACTTTAATTACAATCTTAAAGGCTGCTTTATTGATTGAAAAAAGGCATGATTTGTTTCTAATGTGGTAAAATTAATTCATCTCTCAAATATCTGTATTATAATACATGCAAAGTGGTTTCTTACCTCTGCTGTTAAGTCATTGCATTGCACAGTATTTACAAAATAAATAAAAATTCTTCTTAAAGATTATTTAAGATGTAAGCTCTATTAAATAATTTTGTTTCTATTGAGGATTGAAAAGTAAAAAAAAGTTAGTTTTTCATCCTACTCCACTTTTATAACTTAAAAGATAAATGAAAGATAAGTTTTTGTCTAAAATTAAAGATGGTAGTTAAGTTTTAAAATTAGTTTAGTCATCAGAAATATGACGTGGTTATTGCATTGTTTTACATTTGCATGCTTGCTAACTATTTTTACCTTCATTGTTGCTTAGATTATGTTTCTCAGTTTTCTTGGCCAAGTTGCTATAATATTGCATATAATTTCAAGAAAAAATTAAGGATTATGTTTTCTTTTTGTATGTCTTTTAAGAGCTTTTGCTTGTGTTGCAGCATATTAATATTTATCCCACAGATATATCACTCCTTCATGTTTTCTATGATTACTTGAGTTCTCACATTTATCAACAAGATATCTCACTCCTTTATGTTTGTTTTCAATATGTTCTGTGAGATGTCTTCGTTGCCAAAATATTGCATTTAATTTTAAGATAAAATCAGGGAATGTTTTCTTTTTGTATGTTTTCTAAGATCTCCTGCTTGCGTTGCAGCGTACTCACATTCAACACAAGGATATCTCACTCCTTCATGTTTACTCTCGACATGTTTTCTAAGATCAATTGCTGTAGTTGCAGCGTACTCACATTTATCACAAGGATACCTCACTCCCTCATGTTTACTCTCAATATGTCCTCTAAGATACCATGCTGTTCACAAGGATACCTCACTCCCTCATGTTTACTCTCAATATGTCTTCTAAGATCACTTGCTGTAGTTGCAGCGTACTCACATTTATCACAAGGATATCTCACTCCCTCATGTTTACTCTCGACATGTTTTCTAAGATCACTTACTGTAGTTGCAGCGTACTCACATTTATCACAAGGATACCTCACTCCCTCATGTTTACTCTCAATATGTCTTCTAAGATACCTTGCAGTAGTTGCAGCGTACTCACATTTGTCACAAGGATACCTCACTCCCTCATGTTCACTCTCAATATGTCTTCTAAGATACCTTGCTGTAGTTGCAGCGTACTCACATTTATCACAAGAATACCTCACTCCTTCATGTTTAATCTCAATATGTCTTCTAAGATACCTTGCTGTATTTGTAACGTACTCACATTTATCACAAGGATACCTCACTCCCTCATGTTTAATCTCAATATGTCTTCTAAGAGATCTTGCTGTAGTTGCAGCGTACTCACATTTGTCACAAGGATATCTCACTCCTTCATGTTTACTCTCAATATGTTGTCTGAGACGACATGTTGCGGAAGCAACGAACTCACAAGGATATTTCCCTCCACCCATTTTCCTCTTTTTTCTCCTTGAATCCCTCACTCCATCATGATTAATCTCAATATACAATTTAAGTTTACTTGCACTAGTATCAAGGTATTCACATTTACTACATGAATAGTGCCATTCTTCATGTTTACTCTTTACATGAAATTTAAGATCACGTGCAGTAGATCCATTGTACTCACACATATCACAGGGATATACTTGATTTTCATCCTGTTTACTCACAATATGTTTCATCAAGTGTGAACGCTTAGAAGTAGAATATGCACATTCATCAAAGTTGTATAGAAGTTCAGAAGGATAATCATTGCTTGCTGACCCATCTGCTGAAAGTAAAAGAGAACTAAAATTTAAAGATTAATATACTATCAGAGCTCAACTCACCTTTAATATTATTTATCTTTTATCAATCAGAGATAATGGTGAATACATTTTTATTAGATTATTTTTATAGAGATTGTGGATCTTCCTTCAAACAATGTTTTTTTTTTAAATTTAGAAAATAGTTAATTTCATTATTTTATTGAGTAAAAAGAAATTGAAAAATTAAAGACCTGCATCTCCAATATTCTCCATCTTGACATCTTCTCCCTGTACATATACAGTACATGTATCAAGTACCGTAGAAGGAGTAATTACTTCATCCTTGATAGAAACTATCTTCTCCTTCAACTCACACTCTTCTATCTTTATTTCTTCTCCCTGTATATAAACAGAACATGTGTTCTCTACAGTAGAGGATGGAAGGATTTCTTCTTCCTTAAAACCTGTCTCGGATGGAAGGATTTCTTCTGCCTTAAAACCTGTCTTTTCTTTCATCTCAAACTCTTCAACCTTTATTTCTTTTCCCTGTATATAAACAGAACATGTGTTCTCTACAGTAGAGGAGGGAAGGATTTCTTCTTCCTTAAAACCTGTCTCTTCTTTCACCTCAAACTCTTCTACCTTTATTTCTTCTTCCAGTATACAAACAGATGTGTTCTCTACAGTAGAGGAGGGAAGTAGTTCTCCTTCTTCTAAAACCGTCTCTTCTTTCATCTTAAACTCTTTTAAGTTGATTTCTTCTTTAATTTTCTCAGACATTCTTTTGACGGCGGCGATTAGGGGGATTCCACATTTGGGATCTTACCTAGATCATTTCTTATTTATTTATTTAGTACATAAGTAAATGCATATTTTCATTTCTAAATATAACAAATTTTAGTGAGGGACCTGGATTTGCACAAAAGATGGTTGTGAAAAAATAGCTCCCAACTTAGAATTAGCTTTTTTTTGTCATTTAGCGTTAAATGTTAATTCATTCTCACAATCATGAAACTAAGAAATTGCTTATTTTTTTAAATAGATTTTTTTAACCTGAACTTTTTAAAAATTCTCATTTCCTATTCTTTTATCAGGGGCGTAGAAACGGAACAGGGGCCAAAACGTATACATTTAAATATTTTTTGATGTCAATAAATCACACTTATTTTAAAATTTTAGGTCTGTCAGAATGTCAGGATATGAAAAAAATGCCTAACAAAATAGATTCAGCATGCAAGATTTTCCCCGATATGGTTCTGACATCTGAGTCCTGAAAATGAAGAAGAATTTGTCCATTAACACAAAATCATCTCAGGAAAATAAAGAAATTCTAAAAAAATATTTAATATCTTATAAAATGATCTAAAAAACACTTTCAGGGGCGTCAAGGGGAAAATATCTATCAACTCAATTTCAGATTTAAATTTTCAATATCATAGAAATTAGTAAACTTTGGCAATTTTAAACCTAACCATCTAAAAAGAAGAATCTTCAAAGTATGAAAGATCCAAAATGCACAATTTTCATCAAAAGGAAATCCTAGAAATTCAAAATCAGTAAACACCCAACACTTTGATTTTATTTTTTAACAAAAGGTAATTTTTAAATAAATTTTTAATTTTTTAAAACCATATTATTCTGTAAGAATAGTCTTCGATATCTTAAAAATCCAAAATGCTCCAAGTTCCTCGAATTCCAAAATAAATTAATACCCCCACTCACATATCATCTTAGATATCATCTCAGATATCATCTCAGATATCATCTCGCTAAAACAAAGAAAATAATAAATTCGGATTATTTAAACCAAACCATTCTTTAGGGATCACCTTTAAAGACTTGAAGATCCAAAACGCACCATTTTTCGTAGAAAAGGGTGCGTAGAAATTTAACATAACTTTACACCCCCCTCTTGAAAGTCATTTGTCAAACGCAGAAAAAATAAAAACTTTCAGTTATTTAAGACACTCCATAATGTAAAGGATGGTATGGTCTGGCAAAATTATAGATTAACATTTTCTTTGATTTTGACAAATGAAATACTAGAGGGGAATGTTCAGTGATATTGAATTTCTAGGCACGCTTTTCGATAAAAATTGCGAATTTTAGGCATTTGAAAACACTCCCCACATGCATGATGGTATGGTGTTACATTGTCAAATATTTCTTTAGTTTTCGCAAAAGAAATCCATTAAACATAAGAAATCCAATTGGAGTGTTTTCAGTGATATTGAATTTCTTTCTATAAAAAAATTGTTTTTTTTTCTTGGATCTTTAAGCTATTAAAGATACTTCCTCAAGGAAGGTATGATTTAGAAAGATTTATATTTTCTTTGTTTGTGTCAGGTAAAATATAATCTATTTAGTGATATTAAATTTTTCTAAAAAAGGTGCATTTTGGATCTTTTACCTTTAAAGACACTAACTAAAGGATGATATGGTTTTAAATAATTTGAAATCATTATTTTCTTTGATTTGAGAAATTGAATTTCTAAACTATGTAAAAATTAAAAATTAAAATTAAAAACTATGCATTTTGGATATTAAATGATTAAATCTATTGAAGGCTCCAAGCTTCACACTTCTTAAAAGGTTGGATAATTAAAAAAATTATAAAATCAATATTTTCTTTTTTTGTCAAAAAAAATTTATGTGATGTGTTGAGCGATATAGAAATTCTAGGTGCCCCTTTCGTTAAGAATGGTGCATTTTGTCAGAGTTTACTATTTACTATAGTATTATTATTATTATTAAAGGACAACCCATCATTCAATGAAATAGGTATTGTAAATAAAATCTGGAATTGAGATATAAAATAGATTTTTCACATGACTCCCCTGAAAAAGTATTTTAATTATTCTTTTTTAAAGAAACTTTAAATATTTTTAATAACTTTATTTTCCTTTCCTGATTTGATTTTGCATCAATGACACCGATTCTTAGTCTTTTTCATGAGTCTGTTGCAGATCAAACGATCCTCGGCACAGTTGGCTTTTTCATGAGTCTGTTGCAGATCAAACGATCCTCGGCACAGTTGGCTTTTTAGTCCGTAAGTCTTACAAGGCTTATCTTGCATGCTGAATCTATCTTTGTTAGGCTTTATTTGCATGGCCTAAAATTCTAAAAGACCTAACATCTTAAAATAAGTATTATAAATGGACATGAAAAAATATTTATAAGAATACCTCTTAAGCCTCCTGTTCTCTGTCTACGCCCCTGATAAAATAAGGGGAAAGAATTGAGCATTTTCCCTGTTCCTTATTGATTTAAAGAATACAGGGGCAAAGTTATTATCCTTTAACTCTATTATTACAAAAGTTATTTCAAATTACTGAATACTGGTCCTTTCAGGTTAAAATATAAGTGAACAATGTAATTCTGGGAATTTATTCAAATCCTCCAAGAATGTGGTATAATATTATTATGCGTAGGAAGAAAGTGTAATAATCAAAATTATTGTTATAATATCAAACAATAATATTAATATTAATTATAACAATAATTTTGATTATTACACTTTCTTCCTACACATAATATACTATTATAGGGTATTAATTTTACATATAATTTCAAGGATTTTTATCATTATTCAAATAGATTTTCAAAACATTACCTTGTATTTCAGTATTTTCCATCTTGACATCTTCTCCATGTACATATTCAGTACATGTTTCTTCTACAGAAGAACTAAAGGATTCAAGGGTTTCTTCCTCAACCTCTTCTATAATCTAAATATCTTCCATTATTATTTCACCATTCAAATTTCCTGCCATTAAATACAACGATTTTGTTTCTTTTTTTGTAAACAAATTTCTTGTTTAATAAATGTAAACGAAATAAGAACTTTATAAGAATTGAACACCCCTCCCCCCCAAAAAAAAATGAAAATTTATTCAATTACCTTTTTCATTTTGGAATTTGAAGGCACTCTTCGGCTGATATTTCTCTGTTATCTGAAAGAAAAATAATTTATTAAGTAAATAACAAAAACATAAATATAAATTCAGATTCGATCTCGTTTACTCATTTTGAGTCTTGAATTATATATAGGGTATACCGAATCACCTTCAACCTATATAATAGATTTTACAATCACATTTATCACAAGAATATCTCACTCCTTCGTGGTAACTCTTGCAATGTCTTTTGATAGTGATTTCCTCTGTTGCAGTGTGTCCCATTTCTTACAGAATATCTCACATATCAATTAACTCTTCTTTTTATCTTTTTTCAATATTTTACGTCCATTGCAGTGTAATCACAAGGATATCCTCAATCCACGATGCTTACTCTTAATATGGCTTTTCAGAGAACCAGATGTAGTAGCAGCAAACTCACAATTATCACATGGATATCTTGCGCCTTCATGTTTGCGCTTAATATGTTTTCTTTAACTACTTTTTTCATTGCAGCGTACTCACATTTATTACATGGATGTCTAACTCCTCATGATACGCTTTCTTAAACTAATTTCTTCTGTTGCAGAGTACTCACATTTATAACATGGATATCTTGCTCCTTCATGAATACTTCCAATGTGCCTTCTGAGACTACTTGCTTGAGTTGCAGCGAATTTAGTCACATTTATCACAGGGATATCTCACTCCTTCGTGGTAACTCTTGCAGTGTCTTTTGATATCACTCGCCTTTATCGGAGTGTAGTCAAACTTGTTTCAAGAACATCTCACTCCTTCATGTTGACTCTCAATATGTCCTTTAATATTATTTTTGGAATCAGCAGCGTACTCACATTTATCACAAAGATAACTCACTTCTTCATGACAACTTTTAATAAGTCTTCTAAGATCCCAGGTTGAAGTTGTAGCATATTAACATTTATCAAAAGTATATCTCTCTCCTTCTAATAACCTTTTTAATATGTCTTCAAAAATCCCAGGTTGTAGTTCTAGGGTACTCACATTTATCACATGGATATCTCACTCCTTCATGTTTACTCTCAATATGAGTTTTAAGAATACATGCTCACACTTATCACAAGGATATCTCACTCAAAGATCTTTTACTTTAGTTGCATTGTACTCACATTTATCACATGGATATACATACGACTCCTAGTTTCCTCTTCTTGGTTATCTTTGATCCAAACAGCATAGAATCCTCTTCATTGAGAACTATTTCACCCAGTGCTTATGATCCGGATCCGTTGGATCCGCAAAAATATGCGGATCCACGGATCCAGATCCAAGGGGCAAAATATCAACCAAAAACTGCAAAAAAAACTGTTTTACTCCTAAACCCCAAATCTGAACTTTTGAAAAAAAGAGATATTATAAAAATTTCCACATTTCTGAATGGTTCATTAAGTTTTAGGATAAAAACAAGCGAAAAAAATGAAACAAAAAGCTTGAAAATTATTTTTTGTTAAAAAAATTCAGTAAATCTAAAAGAAATGATTTGGATCCGGATCCATTTTTTCCAATGCGGATCCAGAATCCGCATCAAAATTAATCTCAGTATTTTCCATTTCAACATTTTCTTCCTTCCAGTACATGTATTCTCTACAGTACATGTATTCTCTACAGTACATGTATCCTCTACAGTACATATATCCTTCACATTAGAGGATGGAAGGATTACTTCTTTAAAGGGGCAGACCGGCAATGTAAAGTAGTTAAACTGAGTATGCAGTGTTATGGGCAAATTCTTTAGGATTCATTTGAGACATATAAAACGTTTCCACGATGTATAATTACTGAGTTTAAATGCATGGTCGACGTTCAAAATCATGAATTTGAGTGGGTACGTTATCAGAATCGGTTTTTTTCATTTTTAAATAACGACGACGAAAATAAAGTAAAAATTATACAGTAAACTAATTAGATGTTTAGGAGCATATCTCTCAAAAGAAATTTGTCAATAAAACAATGCTAGAATCAATTTCATCAAATTATATTAAATTTCTTATTTTCTATGAATTTATTCGCAGATATCTACAAATTCTTCAAATGTCGTCTTTTCAATAAAAATTCCAGAAAATCTTTGTGCATAATGAGAGATTATAGAAACTAACAATTAAATAACATTACTTAATTTTGATGATAAGATTAATTTTTATTTTCTCAACCCGTTCCTAAACAACTAATTAGTTTACTGTAGAATTTTGTTGACAATTTTGTCCGTCGTAATTTAATAATTAAAAAAAAAACTATTTTGAAAATTTATCTACGTAAAGGTACGATTTTGAACGTCGACTTTGCGCTCAAACTCAGGATTTACAGATCTTTAACAAGTTTTATGTGTCTCAAATAAATCCTAGAGAACTTGTCCACAACACTGCATACTCAGTTCAACTACCTTACATAGACGGTCTGTCCCTTTACTCTCAATATTCTCTACTTTCATTTCTTCTTTTCTCATATTTCCGACCATTCTCTCTGAAACAATTACTTAGAAAGTATTTGGGTCAATTGAATGAAATTCAAACACTTTCCTGATTTGTTACCATGGTTGAACAATTATATTACATATTCTATAGTTTCATTTTTATTTAGAAATCTCAGAAAAATCAATCAATTTAAAATAAAAATTCGGGAAATTATAAGCTTTACAATCAAACGGAGAAAATGGTGGCTTAAAAAACAACATTTAACAGTAAGGTGAAAATAGAGAACGAAACACCCTTCGAGCCCATTTTTAAAAGAATTAGTTTTAGTTTGAAAATCTGTTTTCTTTTTGGAAAAAAAAACTTTAAAATACATATTTGTTGATTAGTTTTACAGTTTGTCCCTTTATTTGATTCTTTTTAATCTGCTTCAACGTTTGTAAATACTTGGATAGAATCAATAATGTTTTCCTAAAAACAGAAACACAAAATATTTAATTAACTGGATCAAAACAGATTGAAATAAATGTCTATTTAGTATTTTAATTTGAATAGGTAATGGAAACAAAAGGAAACATATTGAAAAATGATTTTGATAAGCCTAAATCCCTAGACAATAAAACTCAGTGAGGTTGATTGAAAGAATTCAAATTTATCACAAGGATATCTCACTTATTTTTGCTTACACTCCATATGTCTTTTGAGCTATTATGATTAATTTAAAATTAAAAACTAATACTTAAAGTATATAGTAAGCAGGACTAAGTCCTGAATTGGACTGGGTTGGATCAAACAAAACATTCCAGTCAACACTGCTGTGATCGGCAGCCCCTTTCTCATGAGGGGGGGAGTCCAGAGTTTCTCAAATAGTAATCACCGCCACCCAAATCTGTTTCGCGGCAAGCGCGCTCCTCAATTGGTAATCTCCACCACCTTAATTAGTAATCACTGTAAAATTTTGTTTTCTGTGATTTGAATTTAATGCACTTTTAACACAATTTTCGACATCTATCGGGGTTTTATGGCATCTGTATTGACTTAAACTAAATTTTCAAATTATTGATTACTATTTGAGGTGGTGGAGATTACCAATTGAGGAGCGCGCTTGCCGCAAAACAGATTTGGGTGGCGGTGATTACTATTTGAGAAACTCTGGACTCCCCCCCTCGTCTCATCATGGCTCATAACTGGCTCATCAATAAACAGTACACCAACCAAAAACCAGTTTCTTGGAGACAATCCTTGTAAAAATAATAAACCCCATGTTAAAGTGAAGTGAACAGAAACATGTGATAAAACAACCAGACACTGATGAGCTCTTGGAACTTTGAAGACCCCTTTGTGATTCATCAATCACAATATTAAAACTGAAAGTAAAAGCTTGCTTTATTCTTTTAAATATTTGAAATATTAATGCTTCAGAGTGATTATGCAAGGATAATCGGCATAAGTTTTGGACATTCTTCTAACCTTAAAGGTCTAAATAACTTTTATAAACATAGATAAAATAGCGTAAATTTGAGCATTAATACTTGAGCATAATCCAAAAAAGGCATAAATTAAAACATTAAAAAACTGTGCAGGTCGTGCAGGTGAAGAGTGATAATGAGAACTGATCAAAGGTCCTAATCGAGGATTCGGGATCCATCGTAAACGGATCAAGGATCAAGGACTCAACAAATCAAGGATCAAGGACTCAACAAATCAAGGATCAAGGACTCAACTAGACAAGGAAATCTTCAAAGAAAGTCAACATTGAACAGGAGAAGTCTAGCCTGGATGTTGCCAACGTAAGTCCTTGTGTGATTATGTATTATTATTCTAAAAAGTTAAAGATCCTCTGATTTTAATATTGTTCAAACAAACTTAAAGATTCTTTATTATGCACTAAGTTTAAACTGATAAAAAAGTTAACAAAAGAAAAATCTAAACATTTTAAACTCTAACCTTTTATCTAGATTGGAAAATTGTAGGAAGGATATATTTTAAACATAAGTATGTAGACAATTATTGTATAAAGATTTTAATATTTCTTTATTTAGGTTTTTTGATCGCTCAAAAATTAAAATTCCAGATGAGCGCATACGAAAAATTGGCTTTAAAAATGGCAGGCTGGTCATTCTGCAGATAAAATATCAAGAAAAGGTTTTGACAATCCTTTCTTTTAAGAGACTATGCTAACTTTCCTAAAATGATGATCCTAAGCTAAAATGATCATTCTAGGTTTTAGGAAATCATATTCATCCCAAGAATATCTCACTCCTCAGTGTTTATTTACGGTATGTCTTTTAAGATGTGAAGGTGTAGTTGCAGCGTATTCACATTTATCACAAGGATATCTTACTCCTTCGTGTTTATTCTTAATATGTTCTCTGAGATAACTTGGCTTTGTAGCAGAATATTCACATTTATCACAAGGATATTGTACTTTTTCGTGTTTATTCTTAATATGTTGTCTGAGTTGAATTTCGGTGGTTGCAGAATACTCACATTTATCACAAGGATACCTTACTCCTTCATGCTTACTCTTGATATGCTTACTAAGATAATCTCGGCATGTTGCGGTGTATTCACATTTATCACAAGGATATGTCACTCCTTCGTGTTTATATTCTTTATGTCTTTTAAGATGATTAAGTCCAGTTGCAGCGTATCCACATTTATCACAAGGATATCTCACGCCCTCATGTTTACTTTTAGTGTGTTTTCTAAGATCCCCTGCTGTAGTTGCAGCGTATTCACATTCAATACATTTATATCTTACTCCTTCATGTTTAATTTTAATGTGTTCTCTGAGACGATTTTGTGTATTTGCTGAATATTCACATTTGTCGCATTGATATCTTACTCCTTCATGTTTGTTTTCAATATGTTGTCTGAGTTGAATTTGGCTGTTGGCAGAAAACTCACATCTATCACAAGGATACCTAACTCCTTCATGCTTATTCTCAATATGTTTTCTTAGACTAACTGGATATGTTGCAACATATTCACATAAATCACAAGAATATCTCACACCTTCATGTTTAGTTTCGGTATGTGTTTTAAGATATCTTTCTGTAGTTGCACTGTAATCACATTTATCACAAGGATATCTCACTTTATCGTGTTTTAACTTAATGTGTTCTCTGAGATGATTTTGCATTGTAGCAGAATACTCGCATCTATCACAAGGATACCTAATTCCTTCATGCTTACTTTCAATATGTTTTTTTAGATTACCTCGGGAAGTAGCAGCGTATTCACATTGATCACAAGGAAACCGCAGTCCTTTATGTTTATTCTCAATATGTTCTGTGAGATGACTTCGTTTTGTAGCAGAATAATCACATTTATAACATGGATATCTCACTTCTTCAAGTTTCCTCTTCTTGGTTATCGTTGATCCAACAAGAAAGGGATTCTCTTCTTTTAGATCTATTTCACCTAAAATATACATTTATATAATTATGAATTACTGAAAATTTTAGAAAATAATGAAGCTTCTCTATAAGTTAATAAGTACGTAAGTAGTAAGATAGTAAGATGTACGAGATAAGTTTACCGCCTAATCCTGATCAGAGATTAGTTTTCGACCCAATCTTTACTACGACACCGTAAGGATTCATAACCACGAATAGAGAAAAATCATTTGATATAACATTATACTATTGTTGTTTGAGAGAAATCTTAGACCAATAGGTAGGANACACTGCTGAAAATGAACCATCAGGTTTCAAGTCAAAACACCTAAACCTAAAAAGTTATATTCTCAATTTTCAGAAAATGCATCCTAGGGAATTTTGAACAAATCAATTTTTGATAAATTGTAGGATTCAAGTGCATTCACAGGTCTTAAATTAAACAAAAATTTCATTTCAAGACATGTATCTGCTTCTTCTGGTTTTTTTGACGATATTTTTTTAACGGTATATAACATGGTCTCCAAATTCCAGTCATGAAACTTATTGTAGCAAAAAAATCAAAACCCTAACTCAACTGTCTGACTGTCAAAATTCGGCCCGAAAAAGTTTTTTGATGTAATTTTTACCGATTTGCTTGAAAAAGTCTTTTTAGGCAGTAATTGGGCAATTATACAGTTCACTTAAGGCTTTGATTTTTTTGTTGAAACATTGAGGAAAATTCACAAAATTTGGGGACCTGCCTTCAACGGTTCTAAAAATATCGCAAAAAACACAGAATATCTTGATTCATCTTTGAACCTACAGTTACGATTGAGTTTAGACTTAAAAAAGAACTTTATTTCTATAATTCTTTAAATGGATTTAATTAAAATTCCCTAGGTGGCCTTTTCTGAAAACTTAGACTATAACTCAAAAGCCTGCATATTAATAAATTCCGAAAAAAAAATTGATGTTTTGACTTGAAACCTGATGGTTCATTTTCAGCAGTGTGGGGGGGAGCGGTAGGTTACTCCGGCTCACGCTACCTCTACTTGCGCATAACACTTTTCATAGCATATGTCATGCTTAGTCACTAAAACAGAACTTGCCTAAGAAGGCATAAGATGGAGTGGTGGGACGAGTAGATACCTGGAAAGCATTCGAGTAACCAGGCAGTCATAATAAATAAATAAATACTTTATCATTACCTTTAATCTCCGTATTTTCCATCTCATCATCTTCTTCCTTTATATATACAGTACAAGTATCTTCTTCAGTAGAAGGGGAGGGTAATTCCTCTTTGATAAAAACATTTTCTTCTTTGATCTCTTCCTTCTTAATTTCTCCTTCTTGTACATATACGGTACATGTCTCCTCTACAATAAAGAAATAAATCTTGGAACTTAAAGGGACTTTAGTTGTACAATTTTTGCATTTCTGTAGATAAGCATATTTTCAAAGTGTTATTTTTCCTTTGTAAATAATCAAAACATTTTAAAGGATTTCCAATTCTTTAAAGATACCTATGAGAGGACGAGAGGAGAAAATTACAGATTAATTTTCAAGATCTCCTCTTTCTTGATCATCGATTCACGGTAAAACGTAATATTCAGATGTATCTATTTTGTCTAGAGTGATACGGAAAATTTTCAATGCAAGGAAATTTAATAATTAAATTTTATTTCAGTATCTTACCTTGATTAGGTTCACTTATCTCAACCTTTACATCTTCTTCCTTTATATAAACAGTACATGTTTCCTCTACAATAGATGTATTCTCTACAGTACAGGTTTCCTCTACAATAGATGTATCCTCTACAGTACATGTATTCTCTACAGTACATGTATCCTCTACAGTACATGTATCCTCTACAGTACATGTATCCTCTACAGTACATGTATCCTCTACAGTACATGTATCCTCTACAGTACATGTATCCTCTTCAGTACATGTATTATTGTTCTCTGCTATGTGTAGATATTTGTCAGGAAGAGCATTCGGGAGCAAAATCTGTCGAACTGGAAGGCCAAGCAACTCATATTGGAAATCACGCTGGGTCTGGTTTTCAGAAAAATGTTTACTGCAAATTCTGAAATATTGCTTTGAAACTTTCCCAGTATAGTTAATTGTTTGTTTCCATAGCATGAACTGTTCCTCACTTTTACAACAATGTAATACATGGATATTCGTGCAACCTTCGACTGCACACTTCCGTGGCATTGTGAACTCTGAAAAATTGAACATTTAAATTTTAACCAAAAGGGCATAGAACCGATTAGACTAATGATTGATGGACTAATGCTCATTTCTGGGCTGAGCGCTGCGGCTAGGACAAAAAAACAAGTTCGGCAACGTACAGCCCAAAAAAACATTGATTTTATACGAGAATGACGAGTTTGACCATAACGGACTTTGAAAAAGGTTATTTTCCTAGAGAACAATTTTTGGACCCCCCCCCCCGTATCAATTTTGTACATGAATGTAAAACATGTGACTGCAGCGCTCGGCCACCTAGCCTGTCCAAGCCGCAGCGCTCGGCCCAGAAAGTATCTTAACTTAACCTAACCCGTGGCTGCAGCGCTCGAGGCCCAGAAAGTGTCTTAACCTAAGCTAACCCTTGATAAATAATAATTTAATTGAAAATTTTTGAAAAAGTGGTCATGTACAAAATTGATAGGAGGGGGGGGGGGGCAGGGGGGTCCGAAAATCGTTCTCTGGGACGGACCCTAAAAAAGCAAAATGCCGGCTCAATCTGCAATTAATGTAATTTTTATAAATGGGCAAAGTATCAAAACAAAAAAAGTCGTTCGTCCTGAAAATCTTAAATTTAATAAAAATAAATCAGTTTCTTAGCCATAACCTCCAAAATACTTGTCAGAACGCATCGCGCACAGTGATTTTTGTGTCCTTCCGGAACTTTTATGTTTATGTCAAACTAATTCATTTTTCGGGGAAATTGGAGTAGTTAAAAATCCATTGTGCAACAAAATAAAATTCTATTTCTGCAACGCAAGTTAGCCCCTCCACCAGCCCCCACCCCTAATCTAAATAACATTGCATGTCGGATTTCAAGAAACATCTTAAAACTATAAACTTTAACTGAACGTAGGTATTTCAAACAAATGCATGGGTACTATCTTAAACAAATGAAAACAATGCCGCAGCCCGCAATTTGTTTCGATTGCGCATAATACCGCAAACCTATTTTAAAAGTATGACGTCAGAGGGTACAGATCTTCCCCCCCCCCCGTACCGTATCGACCTTTCATTCGTGCGCGAGCCTCGTAGCGATACCATATTCCAGTACCCATGAGGCTACTATTAAATAATTAAAGTAACATTGAAATTTTGAAAATGGGTTTATACACTTCATTAGGCAGCGGCTAGAGTTAGTTACGTGCGCATGCCGCAATGAATTATAAGACAGACAGAGATTCAGTTCTAGTCGCGGCGTTCGGCCCCCTAGCCTGTCCTAGCCGCGGCGCTTGGTCCCTTAGTCTGTCCTAGCCGCATCGCGCAGTCCGAAAATTGTCTTATGTTGACTGTTGTGTTTAAAGCTTACTTTTGTGGAGAGTGAAGCGGCCGCTTAAACACAATCCCAAGGTCTGAAGAATACGGAGCAATTGCGCTCATACTAATAATATTATTATTATTTTTAGCAAAATTCAGAGACTATATTTCTTTTCTCTTTGGTCGTATGCTAATTTGAAAATATTGAGAGTTGTTTATTTTATGTTATATTCTATTCTGTTTTCTTCCATCAGCAAATATATTTGTCAAATATATATTAATCTCAAACTTGGCTTATCAGAAAACCATTCTTCGCAAAGATCTCATAAACCATAAAATTTAAATACTCAGATAATAACCTGCCTCAAAATAGACTTTATCTGAGTATAAATCTTATCGTACTAAAACTTGTTGAATCTGTTAAATGCCTCCCGGTACTTTATAAGATGTTAACATATGTACGTAATAGGGTCCGTCCTAGTTTACGATTTCTGGACCCCCCGGCCCCCCCCTCCTATCAATTTTTTACATGACCTTTAATTTAAAGTTATTTTGTATTATGGGGCAGAAATCGTTCTCTAGGAAATTACCATGTAATATAACCAGGAACCAGATGACACTAATTTTCTTTCTGGTGAAACGTTCATTTTTTGAATTTTTCTTGAACTTCACTATTTAAACATTTATGCCTAATTTGCCTGGATCTCATAAAATCATATAATTACAATACTCAGATCCATTTTTCTATGGCTTAGAAGTTGTTCCTAAATTTGATTTTTGTTGATTGTTTTACTGCCGCCTTAAAGTACGTTTAAAAATATTTTTTTTTGCAGACTATGCCTTAATTTTTTAATTTTTTTGGTTCTATTCATTTTTTCATTCTTCACTATGTAACACTCGTTATATCGTATCTTAAATACGAGTAAATGAATAAATCTATACGATAGTCTGTGATTATAATGATAATAATTCATAATAATTACATGTATCGCCTAGACCCAATAAAGACTTATAATTATAATATTTTTAGCAAGTTGAAAAATCAAAGGTTACGTTGGAAAATCTTCTTAACAACTTTATTCAATATCAAAATAAATCAACAATAGTATATCTTATTTATCGAATAATTTTGCAAGCGTTGGAAAATCAAACATATTGCTTAGCATGGTTCTAAGTGTAATACAGGATTAATAAAAAATTTCTTCTAAACATAAAGTTATCATTACTTGTTTTCTCTCTGAATTGGTTGTAATTGTAAAATTAAGTTCATTTTAAGAAGAAAAAAAATGTATACAACTTTTTTTAAAAACTTTGATGGGAAGCATACCTCTAATCTGTTTGTTCTACAATAATTTATTTTAGAATGTCTAATATATTCTATCATTTTATTGTGTCTATCTTATCGAACGATTTTCGGCCCCCCCCTGCCCCCCATCAATTTTTTTTATGACAAGGAGCATGGGGGTCCGTCCTAGTATACATTTTTTGGACCCGGCCCCCTCCCCACCCCTCCTATCAATTTTGTACATGACTAACTAATTTTCAGCAAAATTATTATATTGATTTTTCATTATTTTAGGGTTAGGGTTAGGCCAAGACAATTTCTGGACCGATCGCTGCGGATAGGACAGGCTAGGGGGCCGCGCGTTGCAGCTATATGTCTAACTTTATTCATGAACAAAATTGTTAGGGGGGGGGGGGGGGCGAGGGGTTCAAAAATCGTTCTCTAGGAAATTAGCATTTTATCATTTTTTGTTATTGATATATTATGAAAGGACAGCGCCGCTATGGGACCGAGCGCCGTGGCTAGGGCAGAAGCTAGGTGGCTGGGCGCGTCGGACACCCTGTGTATTTTTAATCAACTTAAAGGGTGTCCCACATCATTGTGGATCTTAAATAACATAAACTAAGTTAAAAATTTTTAAAAATGATTGAATCCTTGTTAAATATTGTTTAAGACATAAAATAAATTGAAGTGAACAAATTTGAATGCATAACTTACAAGTTTCTTAGAGTATATTTTAATAATTGTTTATTTAATGTTTTTAAAAAATCTCTGTTTTAGAAAACAAAAGTGTAAACATGACAGCTGCAGGAGTTGCTAACAAGTTTAAACTAGCTCTTATTCAACTAGCAGTTGGTATCAAAAACTACTTTCTTCTTTGAAGTTGCCATTTTTTAGTTTTTCAATATTTTTCTCCACCGATACCTAAGCCCCCCCAAACTTGTTAAAATTGATCATGTTATAAAGTATAGCACTGGGTAAAAAATTGCTACAGGATGAACCTTAAAACCGTGGAATAGAAAGATGACTGTCAGACTCAAATAGTTGAAATGAATTTTAGAAATTGCACAGAATTCAGTGTACATCATAAACAAATATGATTGCCTAAAATCGTTTTCCTATTCCGCGATTTTATGGGAATTCACTGTATAAAGTTTTTTTTTCAGTCATACGAGAGATTTTTGAATAACAGTGTTTTTAAATTTTGTTTTAATAAAATAATTGTTAGATAAATTTTCGTTAAAAAACTTTCTAAATGATTTTGTTGACCAGGGCCTACTAAAATTATTGAAAAATTATTGCTTTTGACCGGTGATTGATCAGAATTGAAATTCTCTAATTGCAAGGAAAGAATATTGTATGTATGATATTTTATTTTAGGCAGCAACAAGACAGAGAATATAAAGCGCGCGGCTCTTAAAATATCTGAAGCGGCTCAAAACGGGGCGCACGTCATTTCTTTACCAGGTCCTTAAATATACCATACTATTTTGGGAACCCAGCGTTTCCCAGGATACTCATTTTTACTCCCGCCGTTTTACCTGGAAACTAAATGTTAGTTATGAAAGTCGACACATTCAACATAGAAACCCGAAACCAGAACATTTCCTTGGTTCTCCCGAGTTCCCCAATCATAATTTTAGGGAAATCTGTCAAGGGGTTTCTGAGTTATAATGGGACAGACTAGCTCAAATGCTCGGCGTTGCTCGTGGCATTTCCAAAATCGTCGTTATGTCATATTTATATATGTATGTCTTTATTTTTGTCTTTCAGCCATATGTTCCTGGAATTATTAGAAAATAAAACCTCAACACCTCAAAGTCGGAATTTTTCAAAATGTTTTATAAAATAACCTTGAAATACTAGAAATATAGTTTTCAGTTTTTGGTATTTTTGCTCAAGTGAAGGGGTCGATGAAGGGGGGGGGGGGGGTTGGCCATATTCTTGAATTTACATTATTTTTATTTTAGAATGTTTCAATAGTCCATACGGTACGAAATACTTTCAAGATTACTCTGAATCTATTCCTGATGGACCAAGCTCAAAACTTTTAAGTGAGACTGCTAGGTAAAGACTCTGAAAGGATTTAGGAATATATATATTTTCTTTAAAATAACATTCCCACCCTCTTAAAACATTATTTTTTCTAATAGTATGATAACATTTTTTCTATCACTGAATGTGAAAAACAGATAATATTTTTTTTTTTTTGGGGGGGGGGGGGGCGTAAAAAGTAATAAAAAATAACCAATTTTTCACCCTCCTTCCTTCATTTTTCAAAATAATTACTCTGAGTGAATATTGTACAGTGTATTGTACAGTGTACCCTTAAATCTGCCACAAATAATATTTGAGTTCATTAAATCTGCCACAAAATATCTATGTGAGCCTCTAAAATCTGCCACAAATAACATCTTAGTCCAAGGAATTAAGTCACTAATGTCTGCCACAAATACTATTTCAGTCGTCCATTAAAATCTGCCACAAAAGATCTATGTTAGTTTAAAATCTGCCACAAAATAGCTATTTGAGTCTAAATCTGCTACAAATAACATATATTCCAAGGAAGTAAGTCACTATGTCTGCCACAAATACTATTTGAGTCGTTCATCAAATCTGTCACAAAATAGCTATGTTAGATTAAAATCTACCACAAATTAGCTATGTTAGTTCCTAAAATCTGCTAAATATGCCACAAAGAGAAATCTTACACCTGCCAAAAAATCTCTAGATGAACCCTTGGTTCAGTAACGTCCTCAAACCCGTCTTAAATCCTTCATATATAATTACTAACGACGTTTGTGACGAAATTATTGTAATTTGTACAAGTCAAAGAATGAGACACATAAAGTAAAGTAAAAGAAAAGAGTCCAGAAATAATAAATTATGATTTCGAGTTCTTGGATTTTGATGAGCTAGCTGTGAGATATGAAGAGCCGGGATCGGGATGTATTCATCTAGCTCATTCTGTCCACCTGTAGGATGTAGTTCTGAAGTGGTGCAGATAGAAGTAAAAGAATTTAGGGGCCCTTATTGTGAAAACAAAATAAGAACTAGATAATGCATCTTTCTTTACACCAATTTGATGCTTGGTTTATTTATTGAATAGTTTTTGGTGAATTTAAGAGGTAGGCGAGGGGGGTGTCAAACTTGGGGTCGGATAGAAAGCGCTATAATTCAATAAAATAAAGTTGACTAAATGCCTTGAAGTTTTGTAATTCAAAGGCTCCCCCAGATCTCTGCCAAAAAGACCACCATCAAATAGAAAACATGGTTTAGAAACAGTGCGAATCATGTTGATTCCTGCTCCATTTCCATGTTATTCAAATCAAATCAAATCAATTGATATATTTTCTGCAGTAAAAATAAATCATAACAATTATTAACTAAACATTAATTAATTAAATATATGTAAAACTACTTCAGCATAAATATTTTTTTAAGAAGGTGGCAGTTGGAAGTGATTGACTGTATTTGTAAACTAACTTTTTAAGCGATTATTGAATTCTGTTTTAAAATTTTTTATTTTCAGAGCTTGTAAAGTTTATTTGATTGGAGGATCTATTCCTGAAACCTCAGAGGGTAAACTTTACAATACTTCAACAGGTTAATGACTTTTATTATGATTTAAAAGGACTGTCTACACATTTTCAAGAGACCAATCATATACCAGACTCACACTTAGACATTTTTAACCGTTTTTTCAGAACAAATGATTGAGAAATTGTTTTTTTTCGTTCCTTAAATTTGATAATGTTCATTTAATTTCTTTAAAAAAACGAATACTGTTTCTCAGATTAAGGTTTCACTACCATTGTGGAAAGGGGCAAGTAACTTTTAAGGATAGTGTCACTTAAAATTACCATTAGAGTTTTTAAAATAAACAAACATTTTATTAAATACATTTTTTTATATTCCCTTTTTTTACCTTTTTTTTTACCATAGTATCAATGTTGAAAAAGCTGGACGGTTTACTTTCGTCTATTGTCAACAAAACAGCAGAATATCTCTTAGATATAAAAAGAAAATAAAGTTTTTTGAAATCTCAAACAAAACAGATTTTGTTATAGTTTGGTGTCCTGAAGGGAATTTGCTGGTTGTACACAGGAAAATCCATCTTTTTGATATAGGTTAATTGTTCTGGTTTTTATTTATTTCAATATTATTATAAGATTTATTTTTGATCGAATTATTGTTTTAATTAATTTTTGTTTCGATTTATTGTTAAAAGTAAAACTCAATATGTTAAAATAAACCAAGAAAACGCTTTATTCATTGATATACCGTAAAACCTCTTAATTTTTGTTTAAATGTACCGAAAAATCTCAAATTATTGTTTAGATGTACTGGGAAAACTTCCATTAATTCTTTAAATGTACCGGGAAAACTCAAATTATTGTTAAGATGTACCGGGAAAACTTAAATTATTGTTTGGATGTACCAGGAAAACTTAAATTATTGTTTAAATATACCAGGAAAACATAAGTTATTGTTTAGATGTACCAGGAAAACTTAAATTATTGTTTAAATGTACCGGGAAAACTTAAATTATTGTTTAGATGATCCAGGAAAACTTAAATTATTGTTTAGATGTACCGGGAAAACTCAAATTATTGTTTAGATGTACCGGGAAAACTTAAATCATTGTTGAGATGTACCGGGAAAACTTAAAGAATTGTTTAGATGTACCGGGAAAAATTACATTTAAAGAATCGGATGCATTGAGCCCTGGAAACACCTTCACAACCTTTGATACTCCCTGGTGCAAGGTAGAGTGGATGGGGCCCTTGATTCCCTGTTTCAACAATTTAAAGAGACCAATATTTTAAGTTAGGACTGTATTCCTTAAATTTTTGTTATAGGATGGTGTAGACCTTTGATATTTCTATTTTGGCAAGCAGAATTAAAAGTTTGAAATATTAATAATCTACAATAAGCGATGTGCATTCAGTTGGTTCGTTTTTTTTGCCTATATTTTTGTAGGGTAAAAATTTGTCAACGAGTAAGAAAAACAAATGTTTTCTAAATTGTTTATTCTATACTTTGCTTTGCATTTCTCTTACTGTCAAATTTTTACCTAGACATAAGGTAAAGGTAAAGGTAAAACGATTCAATAACAAACTTACAAAATGAAATTTTGATCATACATATTTTTATTTTAGATTGGAGTAGGTATCTGCTACGACATTAGGTAAACTTTTATTTTACTTTTCTTGTTGGAAAGTATTTATTTTTTCATTGTTGAGTATCTTTTTGAGACATTTTTGACATAATTATTAACTTGGATTTATTGTTTTCTATTTCATGTATTATCAAATAAATTGGCATTTGTACTCAGATTTAGTGATGGAATAAATAATTCTGATTTATTTATATTTTCCTTATTGTTCCATTGATATTGATAATTCATTTAATTTTAAGATCAATTTGCTCTTTGACTTCATTTATTTAAAGTGTGATATTTTCTTGAGAAATTGTCTCTCCCCCTGATCTGAAATAATTCTCCTAATTGGTTTTTAATGAATAATTAATACTTATAGATGAGAATGACCAACAATCGGCAATCGGCATGCACTATAAGTATTGCATTGTGCTGTCATTGATTGATTTATCTAATCCTAGGTTTGCTGAGTTAGCTCAGGTGTACCGGGATAAAGGCTGCAAGCTTCTTGTCTACCCTGGAGCATTTAATATGACAACTGGTAAACCATTCATTGTTTGTCGTTTGATTTTTTTTTATTGTTAACATTTGCTTTCTTTCATGAATGTCTAATTTTGACCTCGGCAGAAGATAAATGTAAGAAACGACCCAAAAACGATCCAAAAATGATGCAAAAAAGAACATGTTGTAACCAATATTTTGGGATCATTTTTTAAATTTTTTTTTTAGGTAAAAAATGTGGCAAAGTTTAATGTAAACTTTTAACATACATACAGTTCTGAAATCTAGGAAGTGTTATTGAATTTTTTTCTAAAAGTATCCAAAACGATTAACAACACTACACTTTTTCTCAAATGCTAAATCTCTGTATTCATTGTGGAGTGTGGACACTTGATTTTCTTCTTAACTAAAGTTTTTAGCTCAGGCTTTCTATACCTGTCAGCGTTTCCAAAACAGTGCTTAGGATCTGGACCCGAAAGTTTTTTTCACTGATTTTGTTTTCTGAGGCCACATTTTTTCTTCTTTCTTTTTTCCCCTGATTTAAAGAGATATCTAAGTGTTTTAACAATCTCTCAAATAGTACGGATTTGTGTTTTAAAAACAATAGGTTTTTTTTTGTATATTTTGCACCTTGGATTCGAATTCGGATCTTGCCCCATGGATTCGATTTCGAACCTTGATCATTGTTTACATAACAGATTTATCTTTGATATGTCAATCCCCGAGACTTTCTTTATCTGCTCAGTGAACTTTTCAAGTTTTTCTTTTTATTCCCATTTTTAGATTTTTTTATTTATCTGCTGAGGTGTAATTTTTTGAATGGACAAAATGGGGTTAATCTGTTATTCTTATTAGCTTATCGATCATTGGTCCTCTAGAAGAGAATGAGTTTATCTGACTCTGTCCATTTAAAAGTCCTGAACTGAGATTTATTTTAATTTGCAGGTCCTGCACACTGGGAACTTTTGGGGAGAGGCCGAGCTTTAGATAACCAGGTTTGGCTAAAAAGATTAGAATGTATATAAAGGGTAGATATTTATCAGAATTATCTCCTCTTTGGAGAGAGAGGTTAGGGGGAGGGGGGGATTATCTGAGATTTTTAGAATTAGGACTTTTGAGAGAGCACAAGAAGGAAAAAGGAAATTTGAAAATTGTGTTTAGAGAAAAAAAATATTTTTTCATCGAGAATAAATAGAAAACTTGTCTTTTTCCCCACACGTTAAATCTTCATACCCGACTATCACATTTAAGAATATTTAATTCCAACTGATTTTGTCTGCAAAAATCATTTATGAGTTATGGCTTTAGGAAATAATATGAAAAATTAACAACCGCAATTAGATCTCTTAGTTCCTCCCGAAACTTTTAATTGTCTTTTTTCGAAAGCATAAAAAAACATTTGTTTTTGTAGGTTTATGTAGCCACGCCAAGCCCAGCCCGAGATACCTCTTCAGAATATATAGCTTGGGGACACTCATCTATTATCAGGTTAGTCTGTGGAATACAGGGTGTTCCAATAAAAATGGGAATTTAGAGACGCCGCTTAAATTGTCTGTGATTTTTCGAAGGTTTATAAATGACAGAGTTTATGAAAAAGGTTGTACAAAAATGGCAGATCACATTTTGTAGATCCCGAATGCAGGCATTAAATAAAGGACAGATGCGGTCAAAATTCACTTAACTCCCAGGTTTATTGGTACACACACTGTATACATTATTCCTCAAGGCACGTTAAACTAAAGGAATTACATAAAAGATTGAAATCTTTTATGTATTTAATCATAATTCCTTTAGTTGAAGAGCTGTTGAGAAGAATAAAAATGTTTTGAATTTAATATGTAACCAAAAAAAATAGTTTTTCTTATACTTATACGTAAAATCACAGATAGAGAAGCTATAAGGTCACAAAGTTGTACCGGTGAAATTAAAGATTTTACCCACTCCTCCTGTCTCGTTTGTAGTGAAGGAACTCATTTTAAGACATTTTAAGTGACCATGCGATTGTAGATTGAGATGGCAGGTTCACAATGGATCCGTTAATCCATTGTCTGATCAATGATGACGGAGATATCCTTATTTTCTAGCGGAGAATTTCAGCCTTAATAATTTAATTTTTGGCCGAGGAGTTTTGAACTATCAAATTTCTGCAAGAAAAATGGTATCTCCGTCAATAAGACTTAGACAAAGGATGTGACTTGAAATAAGAATTAATAGATTTTGTTTTTGTTGATGTTTACACTGGGACTAATAAAACTGTGGAATAGTAAATCTTATCTGTATTTGACTTTGTTTTGAAGCAAATAGTTACTCGAAAATCAACTTTATTAAGTGAAATGGGTCCGTGTATACTGCTTTAATTTCTGTGATTCATGTTCATTGTACTAAAGTCGTCTTCCTATTCCACCCTTCCACAGTTTCATGGGTCACACTGTATCAGGGTAAATTTTAAAGTTATGACTACCTAAAAACGTGACTTTTAATGAGCTTCGGTTTGTAAAGAATGCATTATTGTTTGAGAGTAACTACTGAGTAAATTTTACAGTTATAAGGTACAATTAAGCACAGTGATAATCAGAACAGTAGTGATTAATGGTTATTGTCGTCTTATTTTGTTTTACAAAGAATGTCAAGGCTTTTGTTGCTTTTAGCAGATTGCTTCGTAAAAACGTGCTCTGATATTTTAACAATTTTGTTTTAAATTAACTGCAGCTAACAATAATAATTACGAACTATACTAAACAAATGCTGAAAAAATACGACAACATTTATTTCACTGCTTTCTGCGTTATACAAAAATATTTCCATTCTTATATAGTCCCTGGGGTGAAGTAGTTTCTTCCACGGATGAGAAAGAATCGATAGTTTACGCTGATATTGATCTGGACTTCTTGGAATCCGTCAGGAAATAATAATACATAATTCATGAAAAGTCCCTGATAACTTACGATAACAGCCTTTGTTCATTGCTGATCTTTTTCTGTTTCTCTATTGTTATAGCCTGGTTGAACAATATTGCCATCATGAACATTAGTTCTGTTGATGTAACGCAAGTTTATTAATTGATTGTTGATTATTGATTCTACTAGAAAGTTACGGTGCATTATTTAGGTTCATGCGCAGTTCGATCCGACTCCGTCCCAAGCGCTAAACTTTCAAGTTTCAATCCGACCTTCATTTCATTTCTGAAATAATTCGTATAGAGAGAATCTTATGAATTTACTTTAAATTGCATTCTAACGAGAGATCTGTAGATTAAATGTGAAAAAGAGCAGGTAACCGACTATCCCAGGTTTTGAACTGATCTTCCTGAAGGTTTGGGGTTTCCTGTTTTATACACAAATGCTTATTATTATTTTGAACCAGAGGACAAATACCGATTAGTAAACAGAAAAGATCAGATTTGTATGAAACCCGAGATAAACTAGAAGTACCGAGTGCAACAAGGTGAATTTTATTATTAATTGAGGACTGCAGGTAGGCGTTATTTCAAGAGACCTTGTATATAACTGGGCACATGACCGATTCACAACGGTACGCTCTAAACTTTATCTGAAAAAGCGTAGGATAACTGGGGTCCGATCTAGCATACGATTTTTGACCTGTCAATTATTAAATTAATTTTGTTACATTACCAACTAATTTTCAGCAAAAGTATTTTGATGTATTTTGTATTTTTTTGGGTAAGGCTGGGTTAAGACGATTTCTGGGCCGGGTGCTGCGACTGGGAAAGGCTAGGGGGCCGAGCGCTGGGGTTAGTACAATCAAGGGGGACAGGCGCTGAGGTCAAATGACCTATTATTTCCATGTGTCACCTATGAGATGCATCTACAAAATTTACAGTGGGAGGGAGGTCAGGGGGGATGATAGTTCTCTCGGTATGGTTGATGGCCTATACAATTAGTCAAGGATTAGCGTACATCATTACTCTACACACTATAACCTCGTTGGGGGGGGGGGGGGTTCTAAAATTCGTTTTTTTTCAGGAAATTAGCTTGGGAGTAATTAATTTCATAGTTTTCCTGTAGCAGTAATACGCAAGTAATGTTCACAGAGACGCCTTTATAAAAAATATAAAGTTTGGATATATTATTTACACTTAATCAGACATATTGCTTTTCAGGGTATCGTTGTGAATGGGACTTACCACTCTTTAAATTGTTCAATTAAAATTATGTTTAAGACCCTTTATTTAATTCATAAACAAGCATAGACACTTCGTCAACTCATCTCACGAAACCTCTGTTCAAAAGAGGAAGTAGGGTTCATACAGTACACATACTGCAGAGACTGCATGGGTTTGTTTTAAACTTCGAATTTGCATATATTTAGATCATATATTAGTAGGTATTTTGCAAACAAAAAATAAGAGAGTAAACTACGGAAGCACTGGAAAAATAGCTTGTTTTTAAGAATACGTAGACAAACAACCTTAATTTTTCTAAAATTGTACAATAGTTTTGCCCAGCTTGCCTGCTGTACTCAGTACACTGAACCTCGATCAATATATTTTCTGTGCTGCTTTAATCTTATAAATATATTATAAATACATTGTTATAAATTTTCGTTGTTCATAATTATTGGTTTTAGATTAAATACGAGATACAAGCTCGAGTCTTCTAAGGTTGTGGACACTGTAGACCTTGAAGATTTAGGTAGGTTTACTTATTTGTTCTTTTTATAACTTCTGTGGACAAAAATAATGAGAAACTAGCAGTAGTTAAACCCTATGCATTAAATCCTACCTCCGACAGGGTTGGCAAAAAAACCAGCCCCCTAAAAACCCATTTAAAAAAAAACCGCCTGTCAGTGGGCTTTTTTGTTTTTTTTTTTGTTTTTTTTTTCCCATGACCAAAACGGAACATCAAAGAGGCATTGAATAAATCTGGAGGTTTGCATGAACGTTCTGATCCCAGGGTGAGGGCACGTTTTAAATACATTGAAATTCAGAGCCACATCTCCAAATAAAAGATTGAACGAAGAAGACGATCATATTCCCCCTTCTCTGGTTTTCTCTGTGAAATGTAAATATTATGATTGTAGGAAAGCGAACTGTTTACTGTCGGTGTTGGCAATCTGCAAAGTTTCCTCTGTGTGACGGATCCCACGGAAAGTATAACAAGGGGTGCGGAGATAATCTTGGACCTCTCATTATAAACAGGAAAAATACTGTATTCATCTAGAGATATTAAAAATGGAAGTTTCGCAATTTAAGAGGACTTTAGATGTAGTTTTTGCAGAGTAGCATGTCCAATTCACAACGTTACCCTTCGAAGCTTTGGCTTGTTGTTACTAAATGGAGGAATCTGTGGGAGGACTTGCCAAGCCTATAAAAACGACGATGTATTCCACATTATTTATCAAATAAAGGTACCGCTGTGAATCGGGTTTACCCCTCTTTAGATGACAACGTCAGTCCTTTCAGTTAAATTCTCATAAGATTATTCGAAAAAATTGAACTTTCAAACATACTTCGCTTAATACAGCGTTATCTTAGACGAGAGGAGAAGTAAGAAGCAGTAACTCGATATTGACATTTTATAAAAAATTCTTGTTTTAAACTTAAACCTTATTCTTTACTTGTAAATACTTTCAGAAAAATGGGAGACAGTGGTTTAAGAAATAGAACATAATTTGCTATAAACTGTCAAAGAAACCCAAAACGAGTTTTGAAATCTAATCCAACTAAAAGGATAATAGTTACCGTTTCAAGATGAACAAACTCTTGACCTTTGAAATCCTCCTCTACCTCAATATGTATTATTTTGGACTCTACTTCGGAATGGAGTTCCTCTTCTTGTTCCTCAAGTTCCTTCTGGTAGAGAGCAGCCAAAGTTTTGAGTTCTGGAACGATTTATTCCTTCTGGTGATCCTAGGGGTGATAGAGTCTGGCAGGCTGTATATTTCCCAGGTGTGAATATACAAATAAGCATTTTAAGCTTTTATGACGATTCTTGTTTTTATTTTTTCTTTCTTTTTGTGACCTCCAATTTTTTATGCAAACTTTAGATTTTGGCCGTTCAATAACCTTTTTTGGGTCATGTGAGGTCCCTGCAAACTTTTAAGTCCGATTGGTCTCCATGTTTTGACGTTTATTGGATACTAATAAACAACCCTGAAAGAAGCCTAAATAAAGTACAAGTTACTAAAAATGTTACTTGATCATACAAACTTTAAGGTATCCTGGTGTAAATCGGGCATATCATCTTTGCATGAAAATTTCACGTCCCTTTAATTATAATACTTGTTAGGTTGAGGATCTTGGAATGAGTCTCAATGTTATTTTTCGAATTCTTGTTTTAACAGTTCCGTCTCAGTACTTCGTAGCATACTTCACATTCTGGCAGTACAGGTAGGCGGGGGGTTTCTTCAAATGTTAAATTTTTTTTTTGATATTCCTGAATCGGAGAAAATAAATAATCACTAAATTGATGTATTTTTTGGTAAAAAGTATTTAACTGGGTTGAGAAAAAAACTTGCCTTTTGATGACCAATGTTTTGTTCAACCATACCCCTTCGAGTTCATACTCACAAACGTATGAATTTTTAGTTTATTTTTTATGAGGGGCGCGAAGCTGAGTGGATTCATAAATGATTGATTGTTAAGGTTGACTCAGTTAGACGTAGTGATGGGTCTAATAATGCTGGTTACCCAGTTTGTCCAGCTGGTCTGTGCCTTCCTTTGCTGTTTGCCGAGTAGGAGTAGAATATCTTGGAGACTTCTTTTCTCCTAGTTCATCTTCGCCTTGTTTTTCTCTTATTCAAGCTACCAAGTTCTTTTCTTACTGTATTCCTGTTTTATTCTGAACCTCTCTGTTTATTCTGAACCTCTCTGTTTATTCAGAACCTCTCTGTTCTCCAAAATTTTCCTTCCCTTGTTCTTTCCTTGTTTCCCTATATATTTCCTTCTTGTTTCCCTCCTCTTTTCCTGTTATTTATGTCAAACTGTTTCTTATATTCTGTTTTATCTTAGCATTTCTGTTCGTGCCATGTTAAATTTATGTATCACTGTTCTGTTCCTGTTCTAACCCAATTTCTTCTAGTTTAATTGACATTTTTAGGTTTACCTGTTTCTCTTGTATCCCTTGATTTAAACTTATCCATGAGAATTTCATCCTTATTCTTTGATTACATTTGACTTCATGTCCATTTCTTTCATTTTCTTATCATGACTTTTCTCTTCTTCTATGTTAATCTTTGCGTCTTTATTTATAATCATTTTATTTAAAAAAATAAGTCTAAAATGTCATATCATAAGAAATCTCATTTATGCTTATGCAATTTGCAAAAACAAACTATCTAGTCATTTGTTACAGTTTGTTACAATTTGTTATGATTTTTGAAAACGGAACTTTCCCAGCTGCCAAATAAACGGACGCAGTTATGCTCTTAAATTTTGTTATTGAAATACTCCGTTACAATGGTAACCAGAAAATGATTGGCGTCTTTTTCCGTTCTTGCATGCAATCAACAAATGTTATGAGAATTTTATGGCACAACTAAAGACTTTTCAGATTTTCTTTATTACAAACGTCAAAATTCTTAATAGAATAGAGCATCGTTTATATCCTTTATTTTGTGTATTCGAGATTTAAAAACAGAAAAAATTAGCACAACTCAGTCTTATTCTTGGCAAAAATTATTAAATAGTTTTCAGGTCACCACTGTACGATTTAGAAACTAATTCTAGTCATGTTTTCAAGTGTATTCTGACGGTTAATATATTTATTTACATTTTGTATATTTACAGATAAAATGGCGGCAGCCCCACATGAAATACCAGAATTACTGAAGTGTCCCGAATGTTCCGCCTTGTTAAAGAATGCAACTGAATTGCCGTGCTGTCGGAAATGTCTATGCAGACCCTGTGCGTACAAAAAGTTAATGGTGAGAGCAGATTTGTTCATGGAAATATTTCCTCCTTTTTCGTGTCATCATTTTTTCCTTTTCCTGGTCCTCTAAATATTTATATTTCTCCCCCCTCTTCTGTGAGTCGTTAATTACCCCCCTTTTCCTAGTCCTCCAAATTGAGTCATTATATATTCTCCTCCCCCCCTCTCTTCTGCGAGGATATTTACTCCCTCTTTTAGGAGTCATCATTAAATACTTACCCCCTCTTCTTTGGAGGCGTTTTTAAGATCCTCTTTTGAGAGTAACTTTTTCCCCGTCTAAATGAAGGGAAGGGGAAAATGAAAAGGGAGGAGGAAAGGGAAAAGGGAAAGGGAAAGGAAAATGGGCAAGAGGGAAGGGGAAGGGGAAGAGAAAGGGGGAAGAAAGAAGGGGGAAAATTAAAAAAAACCAGTATCAGAAATGCTTAAAAAAACTCAGGGGGGGGACTTTGAAGTTCACCTTTTTAGGGCACCAAAACGCTCCATTATACTACTAAGATCCTAAAAAATTCTTTTCAAGTGGGGCTCGGCCCCTCCTCCCTCCGTGCCGGAGCAAACTTCTCTGTTGTTTGCGCGGGCTTCAGTAACCTGTAAAATATACCTGTTTTTTAAGTTGTGGATTTGGGGAATAAATATTGTACTGAAAGGGGGGTTGGGGCAAAAATACCAGTCTCAACAACTAATTTACACCTCTCTAATTCTTACCCTTCTTTCGGGGTCATTATTTTACCCTCTCTTTTTTTGAGTCTTATAATAAGCCTGTGTCTTACACTCAGATCGTATATCATCATCGAATATAAATTGTTGTAGAATCTAACTATTTATAGTCCGCAAATATCTGCGAACACTCCATAATAGAACTTATAGAATGTTTTTTTCAGTTGAACAAGAAGCTGTGTTGGTTTCAATCTACTTCACAATGTAGTTCTCCACTCTCTCTAGATAAACTATCACCGGCTCTAGAGGTAGGTTTAAGGTTAACGTTTATTCTTGTATGAAGATTAGGAATGAAATAATTTTCTTAATTAAAGAGACTGTAAGCGCAATTTCAAGTGACCCTCCATGTAAAGATGGCAATGCCCGATTCAAAATGGATCCCGTAAAAGTGATGTATTAAGTATGAATTAGATCTCAATGGTTATATTTTGAGTAAACTGAAAATATATTTTTAATCGTAATTTCTCTACAAAGGGAACTTGAGAATTTCTACCACAGGAAAACATATGTATAGGCTGAATTATCAGATTAAAAACTTTTTAACCCGAAAAAATGACAATATCTTCTACATTATTGATTAGATAAAAGTGTCAAGGTTATCGTTGTGAATCGGGAATTGCCATCTTTGCATATAAAGTCCCTTAAATATGTATCGATAATTAATGTTGGTATAGATCAAAGCTAAGTAGACTGAAATCTTTAAAATGATAAAAATGGGGAGCATTATCTACTAAACCGCCTCTAAAAAATCTGCAAACTTCCAAAAGAAAAGAATTCTTTAAAAAACTGTAAAGTTCGGTGTAAGAGACAAAGGTATGAACATAAGTGCGATGTTTCTTTGTTCAATGAAAAAAATTAACCTTCAGGAAAGAAATCTTGAGGATCTGGATCCTGATTCTTTTTTCTCAATAAGTATCCGTTACATATGGAAAGTATCCGGTACATATATATGGAAAGTATCCGGTACATATATATGGAAAGTATCCGGTACATATATATGGAAAGTATCCGGTACATATATATGAAAAGTATCCGGTACATATGGAAAGTATTCGTTACATATGGAAAGTATTCGGTACATATGGAAAGTATCCGGTACATATGGAAGGTATCCGGTACATATGGAAAGTGTCCGGTACATATTGAAAATATCCGGTACATAAGGAAATTATCCAATACACATGGAAAGTATCCGGTACATATGGAAAGTATCCAATACATATGGAAAGTATCCGGTACATATGGAAAGTATCCAATACATATGGAAAGTATCCGGTACATATGGAAAGTATCCGGTACATATGGAAAGCATCCAATACATATGGAAAGTATCCGGTACATATGGAAAGAAAATGTTTCCAATAATAGAAGAAGACTTAATATAACTCCGCCCATTTAAGTTGAATTGGGGGAGTGGTGAGGAGCTCAACCCTGAAGCTCAACGTAATATAGCCTACAGGACATCATACATTGACATTTGGTTTAATGATAACAATGATGATAATAATAATAAATAATAATGCTCTATAAAATTGTGGATCCTTGAATTAATTAAGATGCGTGAGCTTGTACAAGATTTCATTGACGGTGGAACTAAATATAAGGACAGGGAAAAGGAGGTAAATATAAATATTAAAATATATATTTTTAATTTTCCAATAAAATATTCATTTTCTTCCTTTCCTCATAAATTCATCAAGGTGAAAATGATTATCTTGTAAACGTGTGATGTAAGCTTGATTTCACATTAAAAAAGAAAAAAAGGAGTCTCGAGTTTTTTTTTCATTACCATATCTTATGAATTTTTTTCTTCGGAAGTTTTGGGGAAAAGTTGAAATTTTTTCTCCTCTTTTTTAAACTTTCATTTATTTTTCTTAATTTAGCCACCGAACAAACCCTAAAAACATCCCTGTACGACTGGAGGAAAGCATAACAAATTTTTTATAGAGGAGACGGGGTTTGAGGGTGGAGATAATTTTTTTAATGAAATATATACCCCTTTATGCATAGGATGAGGACAGGAGTATTCCTGAATATATTGACTGTGTCGATGTTTCTTTACCTCGTCTTCCTGTTATAATCAAAACAGAAACTCCCTGCCAGGTAGGGGTTAGATTATCATCAGATTTACCATAAAAAAATCTGTGAAAAATAATAAAATTAAGAAAAAAATATAATCAAAAACGTTAATAGTGCGACCAAAAAGGTTCTCAAAATTATATTAATATTGGTATGAAAGTATCCGGCTTGTAACAATGAATTGAGAAAGTTTAATTTCACAGGGATTCGTTAAAATTACAGAAATGATAGACAGAAATGGTTTTTGTTTAAAAATTTGACATGAGTCGCTCTTTGTCAAATGCTCATAAATCAAACAATATGAAAAATACATTAAATTGAAAAGGTATTGAGGAGCTTGACTTACACCTGATAAACAATCAACATATTTCGTAGAGTTTTTTTTGTTTTCATACATTAGATATTTTTTTTTCGAAAAAGCTCTCATGTTGCCAATAATTTTTTTTGGATGTTATTGGAAAATTTGGTGTTGGCATTCCACCAGGCCAGGGTGATAATCTTGGTACCAAAATCAATCCGCCCAAGACTAGACAGTAAACATTGTATTCTGTATTAGTCCTCATCTTGAAATTGTCGTGCGCTGAGACAAAATATGGTGTGTCATCTTTGAAAACATTAGTTTCATATTGAGTTCCAAATTTACAAAAAAATTATATTTTTCACTTTTTATATTTCTCTCACCCGTCAATAACATTCTTTTCCTTTTCCTTTATTTCTCTCACCCGTCAATAACATTCTTTTCCTTTTCCTTTTCTAACAATATTTAATTAACAATCCCTTTAAGAATTTGTTAAACGTTAGAAATACTCCTTATTCTCTGTTTCAATGATTAAGGATGAAGAATATTCTGAACTGGGATCAGGGTTGCCAAGCATTAAAACGGAGACTTCAGGGGTTATCACCTCCCAGACATCAGGGTTCAACAGCTTTACATCGGAGACCTTGGGGTTCTTCCCAACCTTGGAATCATTCCCGGAGTTTGCTCTCAATTCATCGGTTGGAAAGGATAAGGTAGAATGAATTTTTTTTCTTTTTAAAAATTATTTTTAAAACTTTTTTTCTTTAATTTTTTAAAATTCAAGAATCAATTATTTCATTATCTCAGGAAACAATTCTTCCCCCGACTGCCTTAAAGGAAGAAGTTTCCGTGAAGAGTGAGAAGGGCGTGGTAGAAGGAGAAGAGGAGGAGAAGGATCCCGGTGAGGAGGGGGAGGATGAGGATGGGGAGGTGTTAGAAGGATTTTCCCCCCGCCCCTATACACTTCCTAATACTCCCTCATCAGTTAGAACTGAACACCAGAGCTCAGGTTGGGTTTCAACTTATCTCTGTGAGAAGAAATATATGCACTGCATATTATGCAGGGGTACATATTTTCTAAAAAATATCTCCCCCCCCTGTTGAAAATTATTTTTTTCACTCACCAGATGCTGGATAAGTTTTTTTGTTGTTAAACGTAATAAAAAGATTGAAAAACTTTCCGGTTATCCCATTTTTATTTGTTCCCCCATAGCATTGAAACATTGGGCCGGAAAAGGGGGGGGGTATTCTTGAACACTGGTGGTTTAAAGTTCTCTGAAAGCAAAACTTCTGCAGCAAGTGTTCGATTTGAAGGGAGTGACTGGCAATGTATGGTGGTTGAACTGAATAGTGAATATGTAGTAAGGTGTAAATTTTTTTTTAGGATTAGACATGTAAAATGTTTGTACGACGTATATTTACTGAGTTTGAGCGCAAAGTCGATGTTTTAAATCATGAACTTGGGTGGGTACTTTTTCAAAATCGGGTTTTTTCATTATTAAATAACAAGGACAAAAAATGAAAACAAAATTCTACAGTTAACTAATGAGTTGTTCAGGAACAGGTTGAGAAAATAAAAATTAACTCTTAAATAATTAATTTTATTCAATTATTAGTTTCTATAATCTCTCATTATTCACAAAGATTTTCTGGGATTTTTATTGAAAAGACGACATTTAAAGAATATGTAGAATTCTGCGAAAAAATTTATAGAAAAAAAGAAATTCAATGTAATGATTGAAACGAAATAACTAACTCTAACATTGATATATTGACAGACTTCTGTTGAGAAATATGTTCCTAAAAATCTAAATAGTATACTGTATAATTTTTGATTTATTTTTCGTCGTCGTCGTTATTTAATAATTAAATGAACCCTGATTCCGAAAATGTACCCATCCATTATGATTTTGAACGTCGACTTTGCACTCAAACTCAGTAAATATACGTCGTAGTAACGTTTTATATGTCTCAAATGAATCCTGAAAAATATGTTCACAATACCACATTCTCAGTTCATACACAATACATTGCCGGTCACTCCCTTTAAATATCAATACAAATCCTTTCAAATTGAACGTCATACAATTCCAAATCAAGTTATTTTTCGGGGGTCAAAACTTCTGCAGCAAGTGTTCGATTTGAAGGGAGTGACTGGCAATGTATGGTGGTTGAACTGAATATGTAGTAATGTAGTAATGTGTTTGAGCGCAAAGTCGATGTTTTAAATCATGAATTTGGGTGGGTACTTTTTCAAAATCGGTTTTTTAAAATTATCAAATAACGACGACAAAAAATTAAACAAAATTCTACAGTAAACTAAGTAGTTGTTTAGGAACAGGTTGAGAAAATAAAAATTAACTCTTAAATAAGTAATCTTATTCAATTATTAGTTTTTATAATCTCTCATTATTCACAAAGATTTTCTGCAGACTTTCTGGGATTTTTATTGAAAAGACAACATTAAAAGAATTTGAAGAAATCTGCGAACAAAATCATAGAAAATAAGAAATTCATTATAATGATGAAAACGAAATAATTTATTTATTGACAGATTTCTTTTGAGAAATATGTTCCTAAAAATTCAATTAGTATACTGTATAGTTATTGCTTTATTTTTCGTCGTCGTCGTTATTTAATAATTGAAAGAACCCCGATTCCGAAAACGTACCCACCCAAATTTATGGTTTTGGACGTCGACTTTGCACTCAAACTCAGTAAATATACGTCTTAGAAACGTTTCATATGTCTCAAATGAATCCAAACAAATATGTCCACAATACTACATTCTCAGTTCATCCACAATACATTGACGGTCACTCCCTTTAAATATCAATGAAAATCTGTTCCAAATGAACGTCATCATACATTTCCAAATCAAAAACTGATAAATATTTTAATTCCCCCCCATTCTAGAAAAAAAAATTCCCCGAAATCATTTTATCAAATTTTATTGCTGAATTAGAAAAACTGAATTAATTTTTGGGGGGAAAATACGAGAAAAAAAATGTAATTGGGTGAATCAGTTTTTCATTTTCCCCGTAGCATCGAAAATGTCCTCAATTTTAAAACTGAAAAGGGGGAAGTAAATGATTATATTCATGCCATTTTTTTGGTCAAAGTCCAATTTTTCATTTTCCCCAAATACCGCTGCTTTGATGTTTAACTCTTAATATTGTGTAGGATACTGGTCCGATGATACCTTTGAGGGACCTTTCTTCGGTAAACTACACTGGGAACTAGAAGACCCTGGCCAGGGGTATATTGAATGCTGGGACGGGGACGAGATGAAGAAAGCTTATGTGTCAAGGTAGGATACGATGTGGGAGTTCAGTGGCTTAGTGAGTAGCGTCACTAGCCACGGCACTGAGATTGCATCTTAAATTCAATCTGGAAATGAACATCTTGCTTGCTCCTAGCACTCCGATCGGCGGTATTAAATAACAGTCTTTGAATGAGATAACATCCAAACCTACCAACACTAAAATAGGCCAGGGTGATGTGATAATTAAGTAGGTTCCATGAAGTATGCGGGTCCATGAGACAGATGTAACAAACTTCTTAGTTCGTTGCCAAAGGAACTTCACAACCAATTTTCATGTTCACATACTCTACTATTTTTCTTTGGCTACAACAACAACATGAACGAGGGGGAAAACGTGAATAAAGAATTATTTCATTGAGTTTAGCAATGTTAAATTTTTCTTCACGCTGGGAAGCGAATTTCACTTAGGATTTGGTGTCATAAAGTAAAATACGTTCTGATCCTAAATGTCTTTTTGTATTATATAGTTATCTTCAGGTTTTATATTTTATTTATTTGTTTTCGCTTTTGTTACTCCGTCTTCATTAAGACTATAGGTTACTGGCATGATGTGTACACAATTTTTATTTTAGCAAAGGCATTTTGATTTCCACGGAATGATGGTTGATCTTTTATTTATTTGTTTATTTATATTTTGCAAATAGAAAGGAGATTTAAGTTTTTCAGACACATACAGCTAGTTAAAAGATCTGGGGGCAATTTTATCGCTAAAAAATGTTACGACCTTAATTTGATGATACTTTAGTCTTCGTCGTATATATCAATACAATGAAGACATCTATCTACTTCAATAAAGATACACTTAAAAATAAAAACAAAACACGCTGGCATTTAAATGTTTATCTTTGTTTACTGGTAAACTTGTAGATTGAAGAAAGCTTTTTAGAAATAATTTAACTAGAATATTTGTTTTCATTGTTTTGATACGAACGCTAACCTCTGTACTGCACTGTTTACATATTCAGGTTGGATGTGAAGTGTGGGGCCGAGTCTGGAGATCTGGTAGAGTTTACTCTGAAAACAGATTCAGAGCACGGCAAGGTTGCTAGACGGTAGGTTTATCGTTAACAACATGATTGAGTTCTATATATAGTTTTTTTCCATTTGGGAAATCCTTTGAACCGTTTTAGGTTCTTGTTATGTAAATCATATCTAAAAATACAATTATTTAAGATTTAATAAAAGTTTTTTTTGTTGGAACAAATGTTTGCTTTTCACTGTCAAACCATGAAAATTATCATTATTCTTGTTCTCCTTCCTGTAGGGCGGAGGAATAGGGTGAAGGGGGGATTCTTTTAGCAGGGTTTAGTTTGTTGAGAGTGGATTATGTTATGGTAAGGATGCTCGACAAGGGATTATGTTTAGGGTTAAACTAGTTGTGAATGGATTATGTTTAGGGTTAAACTAGTTGTGAATGGATTATGTTTAGGGTTAAGCTGGTTGAGAAAGGATTTAGTTTAGGGTTAAGCTGGTTGAGAAAGGATTATGTTTAGGGTTAAGCTGGTTGAGAAAGGATTATGTTTAGGGTTAAGCTAGTTGTGAATAGATTATGTCTAGGGTTAAGCTAGTTGTGAATGGATTATGTTTAGGGTTAAGCTAATTGTGAATGGATTATGTTTAGGGTTAAGCTAGATGTGAATAGATTATGTTTAGGGTTAAGCTAGATGTGACTGGATTATGTTTAGGGTTAAGCTGGTTGAGAAAGGATTATGTTTAGGGTTAAGCTGGTTGGGAAAGGATTATGTTTAGGGTTAAGCTGGTTGAGAAAGGATTACCTGCCTCGGATGAAGATCAAATAAAATCTCAGGAAAGATTTAAACGATCCCTGGAGATCTACGCAGCTGACAAGTTTCAGGAAATCATTACTTTCATTCGCTTTAATAATTTTTAACATTATTTAACGTTATTTAACGTTATTTAACGTAATTTCAAGTAATTTCAAGTAACCACTAATTAAGAGGGGGGTTGTCCGATTCACAACGGTCACCTTTACACCTGTATCTGAGCAACAATGAAGGAAAAATCGTCTTAAAATCGTCTTAAAATAAAATTTTCTGGATATCCTCTCCTTCCCCCTTCCCAACTCTTCCCCCCTTCCTTTCTTTCCTTCCTTCCTTCCCTTACTTTTCCTTTTCTTTCCCCTTCCTTTCTCCCCCTTTAATTCCATATCTTAAGATATACGCCAGAAAGTAATTAAATGAAAAAATGATGATCTAGAACGAGAAGAGAATAAAGGTGGAGGACATTATTGATGCTGAAACTGAGCTACAGGTAGAAATATGGAACTCATAATTTATTTAATAGATTATTTAACTGTTTCTCTTGTAACTGTAGAGAATGACCAATTCGGTTATTATTGAGCAAATTTATAATGTTATCTAACATTAAATGGTATTGTTAAATTTTAAAAATTCAGATTTCCGGTTCCCAGATTTGTCTGCTTTAATTGTGGACTATCAAATTGTTTTATAAACTAATGAAACTTGGAAGCTGTTGGTAAATCCCCGCATTTTTTATTTAAATCGAACTGTTCTTAGGCAAATGTTTAAAATTGAGATTAAATAAAATTTTTATAATTTGACATTAAGAACAGGTTTCGTGTTCATTTTTTCTGGTAATTTTCTTAGCTTTTTGTTGCTGATTGCATTTTAAGAAAAAAATGGTTCAAAGTTAGAAAAAAAGAATTTTTACTCGGTTTCGAATTTCAGCACATTTTTAAGGGATATTATTTGAAACTTTTTAAAAATTATTTAAAGAGCATTGCTGCATGGTACTTGCTGGTCCCTAGTTTATTTCTTCCAACAGAGCTTACCCGGCCCTCTCGATACGCAATTTATGCACGCCTAGGGTCACCTGTAGTATCCACCGAGGTTTTGTCCTTTATATTATTCATAGATAGATAGTCGGTCTGGGGATCCCACGTTGGGGGTCTTCCACGATCTATCTTTCATTTCATTTCATAAACAAACCTGGGAGAATGGGGCTTCCGGGAACCTGAGTTTGCCGCAAGGTTATAATGCAAGGAAAGTTAATTGCAGTTGTGTATACTCTGCGTACGTTGAAACCAGTTCTCTCTGGGCAGAATTGAAACAAGAATAGATGCATTTGTGTTCGTTTAGTATCCAAGAAGGTTCAAAGCATTAAATTTGGATAAATTTAATAATTCACATAATAGTTCCCTATGACCAGAATATTTCATTGATTTTTTATGTGAAAGATGGATCCTCATACCAATCTAACCTTACAAAATAGCAACCTTAGTGACTATTTATCAATCTCAAAATAACCTTACAAAATACAAGGTTGTAATGCAAGGAAAGTATATATATAAAATACTTGACTTGTGTTGTAGGGTATGACTAGTTCGTATATGGATATTGTAGCAGAAGAGGATCCAGTACCATGGAACACAGATAATATCAAATCAGAGGTAAAGCATCATTTTGCAACATACTCCCTTCTAAATTTCTACTTCATCAAAACATGTGATCTTAAGTATGCTGCAGGCTTTTCATCAAGAAGTATGGAATACAATGGCGAAGGAATCGACCCGACACGCCCTACCATTTGATTATATACATGCTTTGCAGATGGTAATCCATTTGTATATAATTTTTACCTGATTTACAAATGCCGCATTCATGTATTCAGGATGGGTTATTGTATACATTGTTCAGGGGAATAAGTAGGCTGAATAACGCCTAACAAATTCATTTTTTGGGGTGCAAAAATATTGGCAATACTAACGTATTATGCATGATATAAAAATTGGTTTTAATTAACATGGTATAGTAAAAAAAACTCTAAAAAAATTATAAGACGATCTTTAAATTTTTTTTTAATGGAGTTCCGTCTGCAAAGCATGTATAATCATATGGTAGGGCGTGCCGGGTCGATTCGTTCTCCATTGTATACCATACTCCTTGCTTTTCATGACCGATTCTACATTTTTTTTTAATACAAGATCTCCAATAAACCCCCAATTTATTGTTATCAAAAGCTGAGAATTTTTTATTTTGATTTGTCTTGGGAACTTTTAACTTTCATGTTTTTCCCGTTAGCGTCAAAATGATTTCCTAGCTTTGAAAATGATTTCCCTGAGAGATATTGTAACTATTTTAGATGAATGAATTGTTGAGTATAGAGGAACCAGCTAGTGAAACCTGTATTTGCTCTAGTTCTACTTTATCCAGGTTAAACTTCATTCTTAATCAACCTTAGGCTGTAGATACAGGCCACGATAGTTGGGGCTTCACGGCTTCGGCTACTGCCACTCGGGCATAACAGTATCATTGCACATGTCATGCTAACTCTGTGCCGGGAGGGGTGGTTAACCTGGTAACACTTGTGTAATTGGGGAGTCATAATAGATAGAAAGATAGAAACTAGTTTCAAATAGTCATGTGCAAGGTGCAGCGTTTTTTAGTCTCTTTTTAATCACTAGAAATTCAAGGCGCTTCGCGCCCATCTTCTAAATTAATTGTGAACATGTTCTCTTTGTGTACATCTAGTGCTTAGGATCTGAATCCGTTGGATCCGCAAGATTTTAACTTCCTGGATCCGGATCCGGAACCGCAAAAATATGCGAATCCACGGATCCGGATCCAAGGGGAAAAATATTAACCAAAAACTGAAAAAAAATTTGACAAAAAATTTTAAAATTCTGCTTTGTTAAAAAAATTCAGTAAATTTTAAAGAAATAACTTGGATTAAATGGAATCTAATGTTTAGTCCTGCTTTAAGGTAAAAACTGAAACGATTAAACAAATCCTCTCTTTATCCTTAAAAAATATGTGTGTCAAAGTAAAAGAAAACCTTAAGAGCCATTTTGAAATATCATGAAACCTCTCAGATTCTTCTGAAGCCTTTTAAAATGTTAATAATGTAATCTTTATATAAATTTGGTTTGTCTGTTTGTTTGTATCCAATAAACGTCAAAACGGCTGAACCGATCGGGCCCAAATTTTTTGTGGGACATCTAGGGACCCCAAGGAAGGCTTATGAATGATTGAAATTTTGAATATTTGTCTCCATCAAAATTCGATCTTCATTAAATTTTTGAAAATTTTGAAAATCCACAAAATTTTTTGTGAAAATCCGCGAATTATTTTTGTTTTGTTTTACGATGTACACAAAGAGAACATGTTCACAATTAATTTAGAAGATGGGCGCGAAGCGCCTTGAATTTCTAGTCTAAATATAAATTTGGCTTGTCTGTTTGTCTGTCTGTCTGTTTGTATCCAATAAACGTCAAAACGGCTGAACCGATCGGGTCCAAATTTTGTGTGGGACATCACGTGACCACAGGGAAGGTTTATGAATGATAAAAAAAAATGTGTTTTAAAGGTTTTTAATTTTGTAAAAAAAATTAAATTCTTGAAAATCCGCGAATTTTTTTTTAAATCCGCAAAAAAATTTTCTTTGTTTTTAAATGTAAACAAAATAGAACATGTTCACAATTTAAATAGAAGATGGGCACGAAGCGCCCTAAAAGTCTAGAAAGAAGGGCGCGAAGCGCCTTGAATTTCTAGTAATGTAATAAATAATAAATGTTAATAAACTTTAAGATGCCAAAGTAAAAACGTTGCATAATGTTATAAAACAAACTAAAACAACATACAATAATTCTCAGTATCTTGTATATCGTTTTGCAATTAAAACTCCGTGAATTAAAAAAAATGTTAAGATAGGTTTAGAAAACTTTTCATTTTGTAACAAATGCAAGGCAATAGCACACAATTTTGAAATATGATGAAACTACCAGTTTTTACCGTGCGGCTTTCAAAGTTAGGTCAGGCTGAATGTTCAACGATGCCCTCTGAGAAAATTGATGCACAACGTTTAATATTTGTATTTTTAATATTGGTCGTGGACTAGAAGTTGAGGAGAAATCTATTTTCTGTTCATAGTTGAAGTTGAATTTCTAATTTTCTAACACTTTCAGCATACCAATCTAACCTTACAAAATAGCAACCTTAGTGACTATTTATCAATCTCAAAATAACCTTACAAAATACAAGGTTGTAATGCAAGGAAAGTTAATTGCAGTTGCGTATACTCTGCGTACATATTGAAACCAGTTCTCTTTGGGCGGAATTTGTAAACAAGAATAGATGCATCAGTGTTCGTTTAGTATCCGAGGAGATTAAAAGCATTAAATTTTGATATTTTTGATAATTCACATAATAGTTTCCTATGACCAGAATATTTCATTGATTTTTTTATGTGAAAAATGAATCCCCCGTCATGCTCAACATTCGTGTGTTTACATTACCGCCCATAGACAGTACACTGCAGTACAAAAGATGCGTACACCTCTGAATTAACTTCCTTGCATTACTACCTTGACAAAATAGCAATCTCAGTGACTATTTATCTATCTCAATCTAACCTTACAAAATAGCAATCTCAGTGACTATTTATCTATCTCAACCTTACCTTACAAATAGCAATCTTAGTGGGGTGTGGGGGGGGGGGGTCCCGAGTTCTCAAATTATTTAACCAGAAATCTGGTGAAAGCATGCGGATGATAATGATATTGTTTAGATGTGGATTGTGCCCAATGTATATCCTGCGCAGTGAGTCCCAGCACACAATTCTAGAAGCTGAATCCATCACATTTCTTGCTCGGTACATAATATTTTTTTTTAAATTTTAAATTTTTACGTGAGGTGAAGGACCCGGGGGTGGACACACGGGGGGGAGGGCAACCTAACCGACTTTTTATTTAAAGGAGGTGGGTTCACTACATACAGTGTCCATGAGGGATAAACATTTTCTTTTTGTTCTGAGATGGGAACTTTTGAATGGGATATCCTTAATCCTGATCGGATAATTAATCTGGAGATTAAAAATGAGTGGAGAACAAGCAATATTTAATCTGCAGATTAGGAAAAAGAGTGGATTAAGCCTTAATCCCGATATCCACCATTCTAAAGTTTTCAGCTCTGGTTATTTAACTTTTTCAAGTAACCCTTTATTTATAGATTGGCATGTCCGATTCACAAACCTTTATTTGATCAATTATGTGGAAGATATCGTATTGTGTTGCGAACAATGTTAAATTCGGACAATTTCCTTCTTTGTATCTGTAGCAAAAATCTACAAGTCGCAGATAAAGAGAAACCAGAATGAAAATAATCCATTTTAAAGTTGGAAACATGGATATCCCCATCATTCTTGGTCAAACCAAGCTTTTAAGGGCACCGTTGTAAATCGGACATGCCATGCCACTGGTCACTTTAAAATTACGTATACAGTCTCTGAAATAACTGTTTTACATCAGGATTGCTGGAGAATACGAGGATATTAAGTTCGTTCGACATCTTCCTTTCCCTTTCCAGATCTCTCACGGTAAGTTCTACACTACACACATAGCATTCCTGGGTTGTATTTTATCTTGTTTTTTCCACCTATTTCATTATTTAAAAAATCCCTGCATAGCCCAGTTAACCGCATAGACCTGGTTGAACCCCATTGACGTGGTTGAACCACTTCTCTTTATCTTGAACCAGCACACAAAAGAAGTGGTTTAACTACATCTATGCGGGTCAACTTCTTCATGTTATTCATTAGATCTGGTCCCGGAATTATGAATTTTAGTGATCTGAGCAACTCTTAAGACACCTGGTCCTGACTAAGTTACAGGCTCTGAACAGTATACATTACAGTGTACAGTTTGTACAGAGTAATATGTCTTCACTGTAAAGTGTACAGTATGTTAACTGTACAGTGTACAGGGGTGTTCAAATTACAGTGACAGGGTGTTCAATGTACAGTGTACAGGGCAGTATGTTAACTGTACAGTGTACAGGGGTGTTCAAATTACAGTGACAGGGTGTTCAATGTACAGTGTACAGGGGGTTCAATTAACAGTGTACAGTTTTTTAACGGTAAACTGTAAAGTTTACAGTTTGTTCCCTGTTAAGTTTTCACTTAATCATTTTCGTGCTAGTAGACAAAACAAATCTGTTCAGGGTTTGTAGATTTTAAGCTACTGGCTAGCCTTGGTACCAAATGTATAGTGAAGAAGGTTACCCCTGTATTCAAGCACAACTATGTATTTGTCAGGTACCTAGTATTCAATTCTTCAGTACACTAAATATTACTCAAACACTTTTAAAAATGTAATTGTGAAGCGTGAATTTTGATACGTTAGAGAATTTTTCCAATTACTTCCGACAACTGGGAAAAGAAAAATAACTTTTTTGAAAGGGACTGGTGACTTAATTTCAAGTGAATCTTAATTTAAAGCAATTCGAATTAACAAAGTGGAAGGCGAAGTCTTTATTCCTCTGGAAAAGATAAAAAATTCTTTTAAATTCTTTTCTTATCTCTGGTACTTAAATTCACAAGTCACTTTTACAAAGAAACGCAATTGAAAATAGAAAACCAATGATAATTTTTTCTCAAGCAGAGGTCTTAATTTGAATTGGACATGTCACTTCATCTTGTCACTTAAGTATAAAAAACTTGCAACACAACTGAGAATCAAAATAAAATATTGTAGAGGATGAAATCCCCCAAAAAGGGTATTAAAAATTATCAAATCATTAGCGTCGGAGTTTATTATCCTCCTTCGGGGATTTCATCCTTCTACTTTCATTATTAATTTTGTCTAGTGTGATGAACGATACAGAGTTCCAAGTAAACATAAGTCCGGGAGATGTACTCGGTATTTGTCAGGCGCATCAAACACAGGAACCAGTCAACAACCTCACCCCCCCCCCCCCCCGCCTATTAACCCCGTGAGGAGTTTTTCCTACCCTACAATTACATGCTTAGAAAGCAGTCCCATTTTATTCTCTCCTGTTTATTTATATTTCCATTTTCCTGGATATTAAGAAATTAGAGAATATCACTCGGGAATAAGGGGGGTATAATTTTGAAGAATTAACCGCCCCCCCCCTGGGGGGTGGGGGGGCTAAATGGTTTTTGAAAATATTGGGGAAAATGAAAAATTGTGAATTGAAAGGCATGTTTCAGTACTTTTTAACCGAAAATTTATTTATTTCCCCCTAAAAATAATTTTTTTCACAACAATTCAGCAAATAAACACCTTTAAAATCTCTACTTTTGAAAAAAAATTCATAGGAGTTGGTTGGGGGGATTGGGATAGAAAATATACAGCGAAAGGGGGGGGATTTAATTAACCTAAAATGAACTATTGCTTAAATACAATGTAGTGGATGTTAACTTCTTGCACTGAATAGGAAGCTGAAGTATCCCAGAACTTTATAATGGAGCCACCAGACCGTCAAGATGCAGGGCTCATGCCCATTCTTGTCAAGAAGAAGGACTTTACCCGCTACGAGGAGAATCATGTCTGCGGTTTCGCTGAGATTGGATCCACAGATATGAACTATAAATTCTGTCTTGTTAAGATTAAACTATTACCAGAATATGAATCTAAGTTTAGTTTACTTAAGGATGAAATGACGGTACAGATTAAGAGAAATGTCTGGCTGGAGTTCATCCCTAGGAGCAAGGGTTATGAAAACCTTCTTCCTAAAAATGGCATCATTGGGCATGCCATGAGCGTCATGAATGAGTTCTATGTCGAGGACTTGTTTAAATCCGTGTCTCCAATTCCCAATTCGGTGATGAAGGATGAGAAAGCTGGCAAAAGGGAATCTGCGAGTAATGTAGACCCGTATGAGTCGATGATGTTGAAACTTGACAAAGATATTTGTTCAGTGGTTTCAACACAAAAAGGAGATTCTGCTGCTAAGCTGAACATTCTTGATAAAATTCTGAGAGGTGTCACCAACGAGAAAATTGAAATTGATTCTGGTAGTGAGCGAACATTAACTCTCTTCCTTCAGAGTGATGAATTTGACCCCAAAACTCTGTTAAAAATGCAAGTTGACATAACTAATAATGAAGAGTTTAAATATTTCAATAATTGTTACAACATTGAACCTCAGGTGTGCACTGTTACTAACAGTACATGCAAACAAACCAACACTTCCTTACCATGTGTTAAAGTTATAGTTAAAAACCAAAGAACTGAAAGGGCGACTCTTCCAGTCAATTCTTCTATTGCTCTGGTTAAAATTCACCATAAACCCAGTAGTGAGAGACTTAAAACTCCAGTACCTGAACCTAGGCATCACATTAAGCGATCTTTTTCTGCTGCCAAAGCTCTTGAGAAGCATGAGAGGAGATGCAACAGAATTTGGGAAAACATTTTATCAGAGAAAACATTTGCCAGATCTTTTGAAGTTGAGACAAAGTTTCCATACTTCACTGCTCAGCCTAAACCAAAAATACCATTTGGTTTAAAGCTTCCTGCACTGTTAATGAGGGTTGGACAGAACCAGGAGTCTAGACCTACCAGGGTAAGTAAAGTAAAACCGGGTTAAATATGTTTGCCTCCAATATAATGATAACTTTAGCTTTTTAAGTTCATAAAAGTTTTTTTTTAATTTTCGCAAGTGAAAGTAACATATTTTCTCCTGATTGCTTGTTATTTTCAAGTTATTATGATATGATAAAAGATCATGCGGTAACTGAAGTACATGCACATTGCACAATGCAATTTTTAAGGTCTTGGAACTCATTTAAGAATTTCTTTTTAAATTTTCATCATGAACTACATTTGGCTTGTAAATAATGAACTTGGATTTTGGTGCAAGAAAGTTGTTTAAATTATACTTAAAAATAAATATTAAATAAAAATGTATTTGTCATACTAATACCTTTTTTAAACAAAAGATGTTTTCTGAAATTAAATATTTTCTTTTTGATAGGTTTTACTTGACATGAGGCTAAAATTTAGCTTTCATTTGTTTTTAAGACTTAGAAAATTTTTAATTAATTCACATAAGAAAAATTGGAATATCTAAATTTGACTCATGTTTATTTACAGAGTTTCTTGAAGTTTTTTAACTATCTGAATTTGAACTAGAGCCACTAGAGCAAAAGAACAAGTCCAAAGATGAGGACTCTGTTTTTTATTCAAATTCTTGTAGGTCTTGGACAAAGTCAGTGGAGTGTTTACTTGCACCATTTGTGATACTCTTATTCTGGATAAGTATACTCTACAAGTAAGTTCACATTACATTTATCTACCGTAAAATGAAAATTAAGTCTAGTAATATTTGTTTAAGGATCATGTGTATTCTGTGAAGCACAAGAACAACATGAAACAGTTTCAAGTCATTGCTGGTGTTGAAGAGAGACTTTTTATGAACAGACCGGTGATTCAGGAGATGCTTGATCAATTTCGAGGATGCCAACTGCTGGGGCTTGATTATTTGTTTGAGGTTCTGCAGGGATCGGAGCAAGCATTATACCACTGTGCCTTGTGTAACCAGAGCTTTGATGAATATACACTTATGTCCCATCTCATCTCTATTCATCATGTATTTACCTTTATTAAGGAGTTCTTCCCTCTAGCTTGGGTCAGACTCTCTCCCATTCAAGATGTTGAGAAATGGACTGAAATTGATCTAGAATGCTTCCATTCAATCATAGAAAAAATTGATTCTGTTTTTGGTCAAAGAAAACCTTCAATAGTTGAAAATGAGGAACAGCTAGAGAAAGCAGTGGAAAAGATTCCAACCAACTTGTACACTACTAAAAGAGGAGATCTTGATACTTTCTTTAGAAATCTCAAACCCAGTGATTCCTCCCCTGTTCACAAGCCAAAACTAAGATCCAAGTTAATTTCTCGAATAGCTATTGGTGTGGATCACCTAGTATTAGCACCGGGAGCTGTGGATAGAATAAAGTGCAAAATTAACAATGTTCCTATTAGTGTTGCTCTTGAATCTAATTTTGTTCTTGTTACCCGTAATCCGTCCAACACAACTTGTGATATCAAACCTGGGATTAGTAGGGTCTTTCTGAAGGGCAGAGCCCCTCATATTTATGTAAATGTTGTTAACTCAAGGTTGGACTCCAGTATACAACTCGAACCTTACACTGAGATTGCCTTGATAAAATGGAAAAAGTAAGCCAATAACATTTGATCTCAAAAATATGCTAGTTAATCCCCCCCCCCTCATACAATGCATTCCCCCCTCTCCCTGACTTTACAAGAACTTGAGTACAAATTTAAGTGACATATAGTGATTGAAAGTTGTTTCCATTTGTTCAGCTGACTAAATTTATATTACATTACAGAAAATAGCAAACTGAACTTAAAGAAGTTCATGGTTACGTTAAGAAAATGCACAGTTTGATAAGTCTGAAGTACGATGCTACAACTCAATGGGAAGACTTCCTAAAAGGTTTTTTTTAAAGCTTTTCTTAATCATACAACTGAAAACACATTCTTATTTTTTTTTATTTAGGATTTTGTTGTGCTATTAAATCTTGGTTTAAAATGTGGATTAAGGCAGTCTTTTTCTCTCTTTTAAAACACAGGTAATTTATTTTGAGTTGATAAAACATCTAAATTTTTTTTAAGTTCGTTTGAATGTTTACAATTTTCAGGTTATTGTTCCACTATGAAGTAATGTTTAATTACTTGAAATCTGGTTTTCTGGTTTCTCAAGATAGGGGGAATTACCCATTTCTCTCTCATTCAGCAAATTCAAAGGTATACAATTTTGAAAATTTTCTTTTTTTCATTTCATTTGAATATTTTTATTTCAGGTTTTAGTTTTACCACAAAGCAATGGCAATAAAAGCTGGATAATGCTGTCTCAAGATGGTTCTCCTCTGTTATTCAGCAAATACAATGGTGCAACACATTTGAATATGTTGTAGTGTCATTTAACAAAGGTTAGAAATGTGAAAGAATATTTTAATGAATGAACACAGTCAACAAGTTATGAAATGAATTAATTATTGAAAGTTGATTTTTGAAGGGATTTTTTTTCATTTTGATACTCAAGTTAATGTTATTTCACCCAAATGTTACAAATTTGTTCAATTTAGGATGAGTTGAGATGTGCTTCCAACCCTCTTAGATTGGGAGAGTTTATCACACGAAAAAGGTAACCTAATAGATTATTCACTCACGCAAAATTACTTGCAGTTACGCGAAATAAGTTTCATTTCGTGTAATTTTGCAGGATTATGCTTAATTGGCGAAACTTCAATTTCCCAAAATTACGGCATAATTTCTACAACATAATTTCCCGCAATTTCTACAACGTAGTTAGCAAAACTTTGATTTCGCGAAATGACACCATAATTTTGCGAAATTTCTACATAAGTAATTTCGCAAAATGTTGCAATAATTATGCCTAAATAGCGAAACCTCCATACAAACCAACCTACAGGAGAACATTTTAACCTTCCTGGACATGAACTATACCATCTAAAAGTTGCCGTACTAGAGAAGGTTTGGGACCTTGGGAGAAGTTTACTTCAAGTTTACGAGTATCTAAATACATCAGACATATAAACTAGAAGTTTGTTTTCAATCTTCATTTGTCAGAAACAATCTCAAGGATTAATAATGTTCTTCAAACATTCTTTTTCTATCTTATGATCTGAGTCCATTATAAAAAAATTTTAAACAGTCTTTTTTGTTTGTTTATTTTCATGTAGTTTTTAACGTATTTGATGTTTATTATATTGATTGAACTGACAAGGGTCAACCTTGACTGAAATATGTTTTCAATAAATTGTGGAAATATCACCTATTTTTTCTCTACACTGCAGAGGTTTGGTCCATCACCATCACCTAATTTTAATTCAATTTGAAAGTATTTATGTTATCCATCCAGTGGAATTGGCTGCAGCGAATATCCCTACACATATATTCATTTCTGAGAATTAATATGTAACTTTAGTAATTACCGAATGGTTTTGTATTACGTAATTAATTTTAATTACGAGAAAACTAGACTTTCTTTTGTACAGGTAATTAACACATAATTTCATGTAATGCTCCTTGTGTAAGTGAAAGAAAGTGTTATGCGTAATTACGTATTAATATTTGTAATTATGCATAATTATGTGGAATTAAAATTGGAAACCCTATAAGAGCTAATTGTTTGAAAGGAAAATGAGATCTAAACTATGTCTCATCACAGAAAATATATAAATTGCTGAACAAGCACTCTGCGTTGTCAAATGCTGTATTCCATGCTATTCTGATCATTAGATAATGAATCTACACTTATAAATAGTAAACTCTGTTTGTCTAGATGACTAATTATAATTAGAGAACCCCTTCACTAACTTACCTCAAACTTTGAATTGAGGATTACTGTTATGTTCTTAGCTTGGTTTGAACATATTTAAGAGTGAACTTTTACAATCATTTCTTTGAAATGCAACCTGTAATCTGTAATATAGAAGTGTACAATACTTTAAAGAAAGTTATTTACATTATTTAAAACAATTAAAAGTTAAGTGGGTTGAATTTTTATATAGAAGGCAAAGTTTGTTTCTCAAGCTAGTATTGAATGAACCTAATTATCAACATTGACACCAAAATATTTCTTCCTACAAATAGGGCTAAAGAAATTCTTCATGTTTGAAATGGTTTGTTCATCAGGTTCTGCAACAATTTTTTTTTTCTCAAGGTGAGAAACACACTTTCTACAAGTACAGTTGAATTGAAATAAACTGATGTGGAGATGTAAATATTGTAGGTTTTGGGTTACAGCTGAATTCAAAACTATCAGACAAAATATTTCTATTCTTGTTTTGCAAGCTTTTGTATCAGATTTGCAAATTTACATAAGTTGGGTAGGTACTTTTCAACAATTTAAAAACATTCAATTTGCATAGGTGCAGAATTAGCCAAGTTGGCCACTAATAAAATTTTTCATTTTATTTTTAGATGGCATGCTGTTCAGATGCACTCCTACTACATGGAAATCTCTACTTCAGATGAAAGAGGACAGCATTGATGATGCTATGAAGAAAGAAGCAATTTAATCCAACTTTGATACACTCAGCACAATTCTTACTCATTGTTATATTATATACACTACTATCTAAAATTGTTCATTGTTCATACATAAATCAAATTCTTATTAGTCATTTAACTGAAGTTTCACAATAAAACATTTCAGATGTATAATAATGGTTATCCCAACAGGGATATACCAGAGGTGCATGCAGCACCTCCTCCTCCACCACGCTTGCGAGATTCAGATGCATGGAGTGGGGGAAGAGGTGGTATGGTTCATGAAGTGAACCAGATGCAGTCTACTTTACAACATTCTTCACATGCTGTAGGACAAGTTTATCCACAAGGGAGATCTCTCTCTAGTTATAATTCAGGTGCAGCTCATAGTGGTTACACTTCTCAGGGACTTGGTGTTGGTCTCACTACTGGGTATGGATCAACTTCTTCATATGGCTCAACCAATGCCTATGCCTCAACCACTGGGTATTTGTCCAACTCAGGATATGACTCTTCTAATGCACCTGCTAGATATGAGGCAAGTGGCTCTACTATGTCCATGTCAAATTATATGGAGCGTCTAAGAACACCACCACCTCCCATGCTTAGTGATGCAATGGGACGCTCTAAGGATGAATCAAGAAGAATCTATGAATCTAATCCTGTTTCTACTTATCCTGCATATCAGAGATTTGAAAATGGAAGCAGAGGCTATTCACAGGAACCAAGTGTTAATGAAAGGTATAGATAACATTCTATGATTTATTTACATAGGATTTACATGTTTAATATGTGTGCTATCTATAAGGAGTAATCACAAGTTTTAAAGTACCTAAGTATGGGAATTTTATTCTCAAAATAACCCCAAAATATGATCTGGCTAACTGTACTTTTGCAAGAATTTCTTTGGATTTTTGTAAATTTTCGTTTAAATATATTTTTTATTCAAAGCAAATAATCAACTACTGTGTCTAAAACAAGATGAATGTAAGCATTTTCTTGAATTCTGTTCAACACCCCAAAGTCAAAGGGGGTAACCCTTAAAAGTAAGAGATTAATTCTTTAAACTAGAGAGGGTTGTTTTGAGTTTTACTGTCACATTCCAATCATAACTTTTGTCTTATGTTAAAGGCTTTTTCATTTTAAATTTTTGTACACTGTGTATGTCAAGCAGATATCAAACACTGGTGTTCACACAAATAGAAGCCTTTTTGTATTCAAAGGGGTTTCAGGGCAAAATTTACCCGTAAATGCTTGCCCCTTCAAACCACTATATGTAAAGTGTCCTCTCTTCTGGTTCTCTGGGGTTCCAGATTTTAAAAACTTATTTTGTGGTAAAAAAATAAAAAATTCTGGGCTCCAGCATCTGTAAGAAAAAGTTCTGAAAATCTAATGATGGGTCCTTAAAAAGATTTGATTGTTGTTTGAATCTCTAATTAAATATTCTGTCATTATTTATATATTAAATTCTGCTTATTTCAGACGGCAAATTGAACCACCTCAAATTGTGACACCCCCAGAGCGCCTAATTAAGTCAAGGATCAAGCTGCCAGAGAAGGTAATATCTTTTACAATTTTTAACCACTTCTTTAACATTGACACGTTTGAAAATTAAATATTTCTCGCAGGGTTTGCACCTTTATCTTATCTAATACAAGTATAAATCAAGCTTGAGTGGTATCTGCTTTTTCTCAAATGTTAACAGGGGACGCAGTTTCAAAACAGATTCATGACCCACTTCTTTTATGAGTGTTAGATGTGGGATTAAATTGAAAGATTGGGTTTTTAGTATACTTGCCCATATGGGTAGAAAAAGTCGCAAGTAATAAAAACCAATACCAAATATTTTATTAAGCATCAATAAGACAATTATTTGCATTGAATTATTTTCCAAAATAGAAATTTAAAAATATCATGTTATGTTGGAGAACTCCTAACTGTTTTCCCTGACTGCCCTGTTTTCCAGGAGACATCGTATTTTGGGCTTAAACACTGCTTTGAGTTCAAATCAAAATTCAAAACAAAACTCACTTTCACAAAGGACTGGAAACAAAAATTATCTGAAAATGGTCAAATGACCCATTGAATTTTTATAAGAAACTTCACATTTCATTTGTTAAATGTGAGAAATGATAATTTATTTTTCAGTATTTATCTAGTTAAATCAGATTTCCAATTTGAAATCATATATGTATTAAATTTGAAAACCCCCCTGACCCCCAAGAGAAATATATTTTCCAAAATTCCCCCTCTCAAAAAAGGTGTTCATACTTCCAGTTTGAAATTCTCCCTCCCTAAAAAAGGGTATATGATATTACAATTTGAAATTCCCTCCCCCTGAAAAAGGGTATATATTTTCAATTTGAAATTTTCCTTACCCTGAAAGGGGTACATAATTTCCCTTACTCTAAAAGGGGTACATTTTTTCCCTTACTCTAAAAGGGGTACATATTTCCAATTTTAAATTCCCCCTCCCAAAAAAAAGGGTACATATTTCAAAATATGAAATCCCTCCAAAAAGAGGTATATATGTCCAATTTGAAATTTTCTTTCCCCAAAAAAGGGTGCATAGTTTCAATTTAAAATTACCCCTCCCAAAAAAAAGGGAATATATTTTTCAAATTTTTAAATCTCCCTCCCATGAAAGGGGTTTATATTTCCAATATAAAATCCCCTCCTCTAAGAACAAAATAATATTTATATCACAGTGCATATTCTGAGTATAAGCATTTTTCAAAAATTAGGAAAGAACTGTTTTCATTTGTTATTTTGTCTAGATTTTACTGTTTCAAGAAACTTGTTTTGTTCTAAAAGTATGTAAATGCTTATTGATTGAATTTAAGTAGATGTCTCAAAATCAGAGGAAATGTTCCAAAATGAAACATGAGCTATAACATGAGCTGTTTCAAAATAGGGTATGTTCTTTAAATAAAATCAAGAATCATCTTAATCTGATTCTCACACATTATTTAAAGTTGAAATTTCTTGTTTCAATATCCATTTAAAATAATTTTTGTTGCAGTTTTGTTGTACTCACCATGCATTAAAAGATATATACTAAGAAATCTAAAATGGAACTAGTGTCCCCTGTCTAATGGTTTTATTCTGATAGTAGGTTTAGTTCTTTTAAAGGTTAGATAGTCTGGATGGTGACTGACAAGAATATTCTTCACTAATTTTTTGATGAGGGAGTGAAATTGTTTTTCCAGGGACTTATTTGGTTCTGGATTAGGACAGAAAAAAATAGTTGCTGAGAGGGGATAAAGGAACATTTTTCTGGCACATAAATATCTAATTTGCAACTCTTACTTTTTGCATTACATTCTATTGTTTCACTTTGTTACTTACAATTTTTACAATTTTTACATCATTTTATTTAATTTGATATTTCCATCTTATTTTCATCAAAATTTTCTTTTCAGGTTTTTGCTTGTAATTGTACAGTGAAGATCTATGACAGAGGTCTTCAATGTGGTGTTGTTGTTCTGAAAGGATCTGGTGGAATAACAGCTAATTGCTTCTTCAGCAGTGATGTAAGAAACTATCATTATAAGAAGATCCAATAGCAGCTATACTAGATTTTAAAATATTACACATTAACAGTTTAAAACCTTTTTAATTACTGCTTTAAATAGGGCGTTCTTGTTCATCATTCAGACAGTTTAAGTTCACAGCTCAGGCCTGGGACAGACATGATGGTAAGTTTTTTTAAATTTCAATCTGCTGTTGTAAATGATTAAAAACTCAAAAACCCTGGACCAACCATGCTTCAGAATTGAATCCTTCTGGCATATAATTCTTCAGTTCATGAGATAGCTTTAGAAATATGTTATGAATATGACTTAAATCTTTTTAGCCTAGTAAAGGCAAGTAAAGGTAAGTTGAAATGAACTTGCAGAAGATTCTACAGTGACATAAGTAAAATGGTTTCCAAAATTAAAAGTGTGGTTGTACTGCAAGAGGTAACCATGGGTTGTGTCTATACAGACTACTTTAGGCAAATGGTAAGTTTTTTCATTTTGCTGTCTACTGATAACTTTGTGAATTTCAAGGACTGTATTTAATTGACCAATCATGCTTCAAAATAAACCCTTTAAATATCAATGGGGCCTTTTGACATTAAAGCTTCAAAGTAGCTTTAAAAGCAAGTATATGTCTCAACATTAACAGCTTTATGTAAAAATTGAAACATTGATGAATGTTTTCTGCTGAATAGATATATTACTCTTGTTACAATATCTACCTGATTGACCCTCCTAGCTATGAATTTTACCTGATTGATCCCTTAAATATTAACTAAATCCTGATTGACCTCCTAGCTATTAACTTTCTACCTGTTCTTCCCCCCTAGCTATTCACTTTATACCTGATTTACCCCGTTGATATTAACTGTCTACTTGATTGACCCCAATAGCTATGAACTATTTGATTGACCCCCTAAATATAAACTGATTCCTGAATGACCTAGCTATTATCTTTCTACTTAATTGACTCCCTAGCTATGAACTATACAAGTGATTTATCCCCTTGCTATTAACTCTACCTGATTGACCTGCTAGATATGATCTGCTTCCTGGTAAACCTCCTAGCATTGAATCATCTACCTGATTACCTCATAGTTTTAAACTATCAACCTGATTGACCACTTAGTTATGAACTGCCACATGATTGACCTCCTAGCAGTGAACTATCTACCTGACAGACTTCCTCTATCTGATGGACCTCCTAGCTATGAACTGCTTTGTTGATTCATGTCATAATGAGGACCAATTCCAGCATGTGCTATTGAGAGCACAGAAAATGGAGTTTTAAGAACATGCCTTTATTAGCATTGGAATTGCTAAATATTTGAAGTACTTAAGTTTGCATTACTTAACTTCCCTTGGCCGTTTGGGTCTCTCAATATTATTAACAAGTGTAATAATCAAATCAAATCAAATCAAATCAGACTTTTAGGGATGTCCTACTACCACATGGAAACTTTCGAAATGACTTTACTAATTCTCAAGTTTAATGTGGGCTTATGATTCGTAAAGACCATCCGCGAATAATGTAAAGCATGAAAATTTACAAAAATGAAACTGCTATCGTAAGGATCAAATTCAATGGAATTAGATTTTTGTCATTACGTCAGACATCTGACGTTATTGCCAGACCGTCAATCACAGATTCTACTTATCATATTGAGTCCATTACTCAACATGGTTGATAAGAGGAACCCGCCCTGCTGGCTAGTTTTGTTTAAAATGTTAATATAGTTTAGCAGAACTGCACTTAAGAATTGAGTACTATATTGTACATTTATATAATCATATATTGGATTTGAAGTGGTAAAGTTTTATTATATATAATTCTCCAGGGGTTGACATTAGTAAACTGTAAGATTTAATAGAACTGATTGATTTAGTGCTCCCTCCCCCATTCTCCCTGCTCCCCTTCCAGTAAAGATTAACTACCTAGATCCAGTTGAACGAGACTCGACGGTCCATGAACCTTCCACTAAATGCTTGACCATTTCTTAAAGAAAACATCTATCAAGATGTCTAGGGCCAGTCCGCGCTCCAGGTACTCAGTTTTAGTCATCTTGGTATCACTCAAAAGATTCCTCACAGCGTCTATTTCGTCTATGACCTCAGATTTATTGAAGATACAGATTATCAGTGATGATAGAGATTGCTCTCCAACTTGAATGGAATTCCTGGTGGAGGCTAGAGATTTACAGTGCAGAATTAAATGGATCTCATTGTTAGTCCCATCTAAGCATAGCGGACAGATTAATACTCATCCTCCTGTTTCAGCTACGGCGTCTGCTGCTCTGTAGGCATCCCTGTTCCCCAATCCCACATTCATACATTTGAATCTTGTCATAATGTTGGAGCACCTGGAGTTACACAGGAATTTGATCGGTTTCCACCATTTGTGGGGCAACTGGGTCAATCTAAGTGAAGCTAGGTTTTGCACTAGATTCTGGATCTCTAATTGATGGAAGACGTGCAGCTGCTTTTCAGTAATTGCTCCTATCCCATTCTCTTCATCCATATGTTTCCCTAGTATGGCTTCTAAATTTCTCCAGTACAACAACTCTGTATTCTTATTCCAATCCATACTAGTCTTGACTAGATTGCTTTCTTTGAAGTCTTGATCTTCTACCCTACTCAAGAAACGTAGCTTAGCCACTTCAATCTGCAGTCTGATCAGTTTCCAGCCCAGCTCTATATACACGATTGCATTTGCTGATGAGTTCGGTACAGCTGGGATTTCCCAAGTTTAGTCTGCACAACTTCCTACTGTTGTATTACACTCTCTGTTATAGGTACCACATCTGTCCCATATAATATTGCTGGCAAGGCGACATTGCACCACAAAGCTGACAATGATGAAATCTTACCTACTTTGTTCGTACGTAAGATCACATATTTGTATGAGTTGGCTCGTGACACCATTTTCAACCTTTTCGCCAAAGATGTCCTCGCTGGCGTTATAAACCGGTGCACGCCTAGGTACTTGTAGGAGGTTACATGCTCAATAACGTTAGACTCCTGTGTTATATGATCATGTAATTGGCATGTATACTCTTTGTCTGGTGAGATGAAGTTCGTCTTGGCAGCTGACACCTTCATTCTAAAGTCTTTACACCAAACCTCCAAAATTTCTCTTAACCTCTCAAGTTCATCTGGGGTCCTCCCTAGGATTATAATATCATCAGCAAATAATAAAATATTGACCAGGCTACCATCTGGAAGTCGTGCTCCAAGTCCGCTGGCTCTCATTCTATTACTTAACTCGGAGAGATATTGGGGTCTTGTTCTTTGTCCAGAAGCTACCATTGATATAGTATCTTGAAAATAGTAATTCTCTAGGAAGTTAGTGAATGTCTTCGGTACGTTTAACTGCTTGAGATTTTGCAACAGGATTGACCGATCCACTCTGTCATAAGCTTCTTTGAGATCTACAAACAATAAAAGAGAACAGTTTTTTGCTTTTATTGATCTCTAACACTATATTCAGAATGAATATGTTATCTGCACATGATCTGGATGCACGAAACACACTCTGTTCCAATCCCACTATATCCTCTTTATCAACAGCTGCGGACAACCTGATTAAACCAATAAATGTATTTCTATTGAATTTGAAAATCCTCTCATTGCAGCAATACCTAGTTTTTTACATGTAGCTGATCCCTGTAATCCCTCTATCATCAGATGGCTGCAGGAAACTGGTAGAAATGTTTGTTTCCTTGGACCCTACACTAGATTGTGATAAGTCTGGAACCTTCTTGAAGTCAACATCAAAAGTCTATCAGTAATGTAAATAGTAGTATCCTTTGTTAAGATATCTCTTGGGATCTTGTCTTGAATTAACATTTTCATGACCTTTGACATCTCCAAGATTAATCTGTGTCATGTCTGAGATTAAACTGTGTCATCTCCAACTAAATCCAGTGCCATCTCCAAAGATTTCTCTGGCTTAAAAGATACTGAGTTATCTCAAAATAAGATCCTGTATCATTTCCAAATGTGTCTGTGTCATCTCCAATAGGATCCTGTGTCATCTCCAACATTAACATGTGACATCTTGATTAAAACCTGCGTCATCTCCCAGGGGTCCTTAGTCAATTCCAAGAGGAAACCATGTCATCTCCAAAAGGATACTGACTGATCTATGTCATCACCAAAAGGATATTGACTGATCTATGTCATCTCCAAGAGGATCCTGTTTCATATCCAAGATTAACTAGTGACATCTCCCACTAAAACATTTGTCCAACTCCCTGAGGATCATGTGACATCTCCAAAAGCATCCTTCGTCGTGTCCAAGATTAACCCGTGTTAATTCAAACTTGATAGATAATGTCATCCCTTGAATTCCTTGCTATTCCTCAATAAAGAGCCATTCCATTAAACAACACTAAAATGCCATTTTTAGTTTTCACCCACAAAATGAGAACCAACTCAACTGGGCTCACCGAAGGGGATGCTATATTAGCAAATTAGTGACACAACACCTTTTTTTCATATAGCCATAGGAGTCTGATTTTAGATTCACCGACAAAGGGTCAAACGACCCAGAGTCAAACGACAAAGGGTCAAACGACACAGGGTCAAACGACACAGGGTCAAACGACACAGGGTCAAACGACACTGGGTCAAACGACAAAGGGTCAAAAGTGCGACAAAGGGTCAAACGACAAAAGGTCAAAATGATAAAAATATTTTTTGATTTGAATCATAGGAAACTCGCAATTTTAATCACAAAAATCCGCCAAACTTTTTTGAAGATGTAAAACTTTAGTCTGATTCTGGCTTCCATAATGGTCGGGTTGGCAATATAATTGACCATGTGGCCGCAGCGCTCGGCCCCCTAGCCTGTCCTAGCCGCAGCGCTCGGCCCAGAAATTGTCTTAACTCACCTAACCCGTGGCCGCAGGGCTCGGCCCCCTAGCCTGTCCCAGCCGCAGCGCTCGGCCCAGAAAGTGTCTTAACCTAACCTAACCCTAAATAATAATAAATAAATGGATATAATTGACCATGTGGCCATAGCGCTCGGCCCCCTAGCCTGTCCTAGCCGCTGCGCTCGGGCCAGAAAGTGTCTTCCCCAGCCTGTTCTAGGCGCAGCGCTCGGCCCAGAATGTACCTAACCTAACCTTAAATAATAATAAAAAAATACTAACCGTCAAAATAAAAAAAAAATTTGCCCTTTTGTCGCATTTTTTGACTCTTTGTCGTTTGACCCTGTGTCGTTTGACCCTTTGTCGCATTTTTGACCCCTTGTCGTTTGACCCTGTGTCATTTGACCCTGTGTCGTTTGACCCTTTGTCATTTGACCCTTTGTCGGTGAATCTGATTTTACTGAGAATAAAAATAAAAGTGGATTTAGCTAAGGTTGAATTTTTTTTATCTCATACTCTGTCCCATTGCTCTGGGTTTGGCAACACGAAATACAAGATATACAAGAGATAGAGGTCTTTATACTTGTTTGCTGTCAGATAACTGCATAAAACTGAAGTGAGCACTTTGTGTACATGTTCCCTGAATAGAGTCCTGCCCTACCAAAAAGTGGTATTTAACAGTACATCCATGGAAAAGACCTCAGTTCATCCCTCCCTGCTTTTAAATGTGGGTGATTGTTACTCCTACTCTTCACCTACACCTGGACAACCCACATCTCTTTAACTTTCTACTAGCATTTATTACATTGTATGAACAGTGATCTCTGACCATCCCAATGCTTTGTTTTTATTTAAAAGTGTGACTTGCCCTGTCAGGTCAGTTCTGAATCAGCCATTTATTGATATTTGAAGAGTTCCCTGGTTGCCTAGAGCCACAAAGCAATGGCATCTCTGTAGTAGCTTGAGAATGGTACTGAATAAAATGAAGGCTTGATTTGGCTCACTGAAAAGCTCCCTGCCTCCTGCTTTACCCATGGATAGCATAGAAACAGCTCACCTTCTTATCCTTCTCTACAGGGAATCCTTTCTATATGGAAGGAGAGCTTGCAGGTAGCAGACAAGTAATGGAAGTATTGTCTTCATGCACTCCAGGGGTTACTGCTGTAGCTGGTCACACCACAGCTGTAAAATATCAGATTCCTGAATATAACAAATATATGCAGTCTGTTTATATTGTTGCAGCTTTCTCAAGAACAAGCTGGTGCTAATTGCTTAAACTTAGTCTGATCTTCAAGGTTCTGTATGACACATGTAAAAACAGCTGAACTGCACTACTCTCTTCTAAACTGCTCCATTTTTAACAACTTGATTTTGCCCAGTGAGCCAATTTAGTATACGATGGGGCCAAGGTATGTATGAAGAAGAGACTGCTAGCTCACCTATGACCTATGTAAAAGCTATATATATAAAAGATAAATCCCAAAAATGTTTACCCTAAGTGATGAAAGTGATGAAATTGTAGCAGTTGGGTTTTTAGAACATTTATTTATCTAGTTCATACTTATTTATTACATTTGAAAGGCCTTTTCTAATATTTGTCTGGCCAGTTTTAATTCTCTCCTTTCTGTGCTTATAATTAATGTAAAAAGTAGTTACTTTTTGATGTGGTAAGTTGTAAGTGCTTACATTAAATGCAATTCTTTAAAATAAATTTTGTTTTAATTTAAATTTTATTTTTTAAAATCTGAAACCGGTTTGAATAAATAATAATTAACATAAACATTACAGGCACGTCTTCATCTGTCCTTAATCTTTGAGATAGAGATAGCTATGTGATCTTAATGGTATATCTTAAAGAAAGTATCATAACAGATATATCTTAAATCATAATAATCTGATACTAGTACAAATGTCGGACCCACAATCTTTGTATGTTACAAAGGTCGGACAGTACAAACATCGGACTTACAAACATCGGACTTACAAACATCAGACTTACAAACATTAGACTTACAAACATCGGACTTACAAACATCAGACTTACAAACATCGGACTTACAAACATTGGACTTAAAACATCGGACTTACAAACATTGGACGTACAAACATCGGACTTACAAACATTGGACTTAAAACATCGGACTTACAAATATTGGACGTACAAACATCGGACTTACAAACATTGGACGTACAAACATCAGACTTACAAACATCGGAATTACAAACGTTAGACTGGTACAAACGTCAAACAGGGACAACCCTCAGACTAGGACAACTTTGGACTAGTACAAACAACGGATTAGTTCAATGTTTATACTGGTCTGACGTTGGTACTGTCCTACATTTGTACCAGTCCAACATTTGTACTGGTTCGACATTTGTGTCCAAGGTTTGTAAGTCTTAGGTTTGTAACGTCTGACGTTTGTACTGGTACAGATAATCTTTTATTAAAAACGGGAACAACTTTATTTTAAGTACTTCATCTTTCCATTTTCTCACTGTCAACTTGTCAATTGTACTTAATCTTTCAGTACTTCATCGCCTGTTGGAACTTCACCTTTCTATCATTTCATTTCCTTCTACCTACTTTCTTTCATTTCTGTTTATTTACATGACGTAGCTTAGTTGTCTTTTCTCTTTGTAAAGTCACTTTTATTCCTTTAACTTTCATTCATTTTTGTAAAATAACTTCATTTTTCCTTCATCTTTGTAAAATAACTTAATCTTTTCTTCATCTTTCTAAAGTTCCTCATTTATCTTCCCTTTCTCTCTGTAAAGTTTCTTTAACTTTCATGCATCTTTGTAAAATAACTTCATCTTTCCTTCATCTCTGTAAAATAACTTCATTTTTCCATCATCTTTGTAAAATAACTTCATTTTTCCATCATCTTTGTAAAATAACTTCATCTTCCATTCCTCTTTAAAGTTACTTCACCTTTCATCTTTGTAAAATAACTTAATCTTTCCTTCATCTTTCTAAAGTTCCTTTATCTTTCATTTATCTTTCCTTTCTCTCTGTAAAGATTGTTTAACTTTCATGCATCTTTGTAAAATAACTTCATCTTTCCCTCATCTCTGTAAAGTTACTTATATTCTTCATATTTGTAAAGTTTGTTTACCTTTCATGCATCTTTGTATAATTACTTTATCTTTCCCTCATCTCTGTAAAGTTACTTATATTCTATATATATATAAAGTTCTTCTATTCTTCATATTTGTAAAGTTTCTTTAATTTTCATGCATCTTTGTTTAATTACTTTATCTTTCCCTTATCTCTGTAAAGTTACTTTTATTCTTCATATATGTAAAGTTCTTCTATTCTTCATATTTGTAAAGTTTGTTTACCTTTCATGCATCTTTGTTTAATTACTTTATCTTTCCCTTATCTCTGTAAAGTTACTTTTATTCTTCATATATGTAAAGTTCTTCTATTCTTCATATTTGTAAAGTTCTTCTATTCTTTATATTTGTAAAGTTTGTTTACTTTTCATGCATCTTTGTATAATTACTTTATTTTTCCCTTATCTCTGTAAAGTTACTTTTTCGTTTATCTTTATGAAGTTACTTTATCTTCCTTCATTCCCCCCAAACCCTCTCTGTGGAGTGAACTCAATTTTCCCCTATCTCTGATGAATAATAAATATAAATAAGTATGGAATATTTTATATAAATATTTTATGTCTGCCTAGGTGCATGGAGCACTACAGGACGGAGACCATGATATCCCCTATTGTGCGTCCTACCTTTGGTTTCTGGACGCCAAGAATAACAAAACAATGGATGAACAGTACTTCTATCCAACTCCAGGGATCAGATTTTATGAATATTGAGAGATAGTTGAATCGCGCAAACGGAGTTATATCACGTAGAATGTAGACGCAGTTGATCAACTTTTTAAGTTGAAGAGAAAAGGTTCAACTTCTACAGTTTAATTTTTAAAATTTTGTTTTTCATAAAATCTGGCTTTAGAATCTATTCAGCAGTACAGGGATAAAGTTGACAGGATCAACCTGCTGATACAAGGAGTTGACACAGAGAATATATTCTCAAGAGTACCTAATCTACCTGCCCCTACTCCTACTAGAGTACCAAGCCTACCTGCCCCTACTCCTACTAGGTTACCTAGTCTACCAGCCCCTACTCCTACTAGAGATGTATCTTATTCATCGATCAAACAACGAGGAAATTCTTCAATAAAAATTGCAAATATTTCTCATTTTTTGGTTTAATTTTCATACATCGTTACTATGCTAACAATATTCAGACACAGAGACATAAAACAAATGGAAGCTGTAAAAAAAGAAATGATTTATTAGATTGAATTTTTATAGTAATGACTTACACTTCAGATTCTACTTGCAGTTTGTTTTTATGACTAGAGCCTAAACAATACTATATTTTTCAATTTACTCATACTAGGTTTCAATTTACTCAAACTAGGTATTTCAATTATGAACATTTTCTCTTTGTGTACATTGTAATACAAAACAAAAAGGTAAAACAAAACAAAAAGTAAGCGGACTTTTCGTGAATTTCTAAAATTTAATGACTATCGAAGTTTGTTAGAGGCTAATGGGGTCACGGTAGGTCCCACAAAAAATGCAAAATATATATATTGATGAGCTTAGTTTTTTTCACTATCCGACTAAATAAGAAAAAAGGGTGTAATTCTTTTTCTTTAACAGCTTCCTTTTATTTAATGTTTGATGCATAATTTTTTTCTTTCTCTATGTCTGGGCTATAATCTAAACATAGGGATATATAGCACTACATAATTTTATTTTATTCTCTCGCTTGGTTAGATAGCTGAAGGTTAACATAGGAATATTTAGAAATACCCCCGTTGTCAAAACCTTTGCGACAAACCTTATTTTTTTGCAACCTGGTGGGTTCTTAAAACTAACTTGCGGATTTATGCTACAAAGACAATTTAAAAATCCTTCTAATTAGTCGAATACATTTTCAAGAAATAATTTCTTTTTCAAGCAAATTAAATTACAATCAACTCTGTTGCAACCCAAATATATTGCAATTAAATCAATTTTAATCAAATTAATTGCAATCAAATCGGTTTCAATCAAAATCAATCGCAATCAACACAGTTACAATCAAATCAATTGCAATTGACACTCATTTGCAATCAACATTTATCAATCAATACTCAATTGCAATCAATACTTTATTGCAATCAAATCAATCTCAATTGCAAATGTATTTGTTGGAAAATGAGCATTGATTGCAATCAGCACTGATTGCAAATGATTTTGAATGCAATCAGTTTGATTTCAACTGATTTTGAATGCAACAAGTTTGATTGCAGTCGTTACTGATTGCAATTATTTTTATTTCTAAAGGGTTTATTGCAACCAAGTGTGATAGTAAATAATAGTGTTCTAAATTCAAAGGGTAAAGGGAAATTAAAATGAATAATCATTTAAAATTATCTTTTTTATGTTTTTTTTTTTTCAAAATCTGATTGAAGCCATTTTGTTTTACATGATAAATTTGATATTTTGGATTTAAGTGAAATAATTTAAATTTGATTGTGTATGGAAAGAAAATTAGCTTAAAAAGTTATTGTTCTTGCTTACAATTTTCAAAATCTTCTAAATAAAAACTTTTTCTTTTTTAGCACGACCATAATAATATCATAAGTTAATCCACACAGAATTAACAAATAATTTGCTTTGTCTACTTATTTACAATCACACAGTTGTTACATCAAAACATTTTAGCATTTTTTAAATTTGACAATGAAGATTTACTTGTCCAGGAGATTCTGATCTAGAAAGCTTTAAACGTAAACAAGATCTTGATCGTGAGAGAAAACGAGCAGAACAGGATCGGGAGGAGAGAGTTTCAAGAGATCGTGAGAAGAGAGTTTCAAGAGATCGTGAGAGGAAACAAGCAGAACGGGAACTACGGGAGGAGAAACGACGGGAAAAGGAAAGAGAAGTTGAACTAATTCACAAGAGGATTCAAGAAGCATCTGCTAGACGCCAGGAAAAGGAAGCTGCTGAAATTAAGGCAGCTGCTAAACGTAAGGAGAAAGAAGCAGCAGAAGCTGCAGAGGATGAAATTCGTAAGAAAATGCTGGAAGCACAGAAGAAGATTGAAATGGAAGAAAAAGTTAAAAGGCAAAATGATCTAATGAACAAAGCAAAACGAAGATTTGTTGAACTGCCGGCTATCCAGCCATCCTTGCCCCCTCCAGGTCCTGGAATGCCTCCTGTTGGAGCTACACCTTTTAGATCCGGACCCAGTGTTCCTCCACCACCTCCAACTCTAAAGCAAATATTGTCAGTGCAGCCTGTGCCTCACAGAGACACATTGCTGCAGGTCAATTCAATGATTAATGAGCTTCAGGCCGGAGTCAGGGGGCTCAAGCCTGGATCCAGAGCAAGAAGTAAGTCCAAGACAGCTGAAAGGCAAGATTTAATATCTAGAGATAGATCTTCTCAAGCAAGGACAACTTCTGTTAGAAGATCAAGATCTCCAGTAAGAAGATCTAGGTCTCCAGCAAGAAGAAGATCAAGGTCTCCAGGAAGAAGAAGATCAAGGTCTCCAATAAGAAGGAGATCAAGGTCTCCAATAAGAAGGAGATCAAGGTCTCCAGTAAGAAGAAGATCAAGGTCTCCAGTAAGAAGGAGATCAAGATCTCCAGTTAGAAGGAGATCAAGGTCTTCAGCAAGGAGAAGGTCAAATTCACGAGTGAGAAGAAGATCAAGAACTAGGTCACCAGCACGTAGAACTAGATCTCCAGCCAGAAGAAGATCTAGGTCAAGATCAAGGTCTCAGCAAAGGACTAGAAGAACAAGAAGTAGATCAAGATCCAATTCTAACAGGAGAGGTAGAACACCTGTTGACTCCCGGTCTAGAAAAACTAGAACAAGAACAAGATCAAGATCAAGAAACATTGACTCCATCTTGAAACATCTCGATCCCAACATTCCTTGTTTCCTTCAGCACCCAGCAGACAGGATGGTTGGAGATAAATCAAGGAAAGGGAAGAGGAAAAGAGATGATGGAGACACAGATACACACAAGGTTCGTGAGGAATCCCTAGAAATTCTGAAAAAGATGGGTATGACAGGGAAGGGTCCTGATACCAACAACAACCTCATTCTTGCACTGGAGGTTGAAATTCTCTGGGATGAAGAGTATAAACAATTTACTCAGCTGGGAGCAGCCATAACTGATGGTAAGCAGGCATCCTTCTTCAGATCAATTATTCCCAGGTATATGGAGGGATACAACAAAAATCTAATCCTGAAGAACCAGAACAATCTTCTGTCAAGTCTGGGAATGAAGTATGATGAGGAGTTGAAAAGATATCTGTTTACGCACAAGAAAAAGGGAGAAGATGTTGAACCTGTAACTGAGGAGAAAGCACTTACTGATATTCTTGGATTTATCCGTAGTTACTGCAGAGAAACTAAATGTGTTGTTTTCATGCACTCAATGGAAACGTTTCTTCCTCTTCTTTTGGCTAAGTTAAACTTCTACAAGTTATCAGAAGATTTTGAAGAGAAAATAAGTGGATTTTGTGATTTCTCCACACTGATGTCACGGCTTAATCTGAGTGTGGTTTGTAAGAATGCTAAGTTTCAGGATCTGATGGATGTTTACAAACAGGTTATTGGAAAAGCATGGCCTAAAGAGGTATCACATAAGGATGGAATTGCGTCTCTAAGTGATAATTGCGTCAAGAAACTTATTTCAGAGATCAGTGTGTACCTTGAGAAAAACAATCTCACACTGCTAAAGGAAGAATTCTTTCAGGCTTGTGGATTTAAAGAGTTCTCTGTTGTTAGAAAAGAATTGGACTCAGAGAAACTGAAAGATCAGTGTTCCCAGAATGTAACAGGAGAAAATACTAAATCTGTAGAGCTCCTACCCAGTGATAGACCTGGAGAAGTAACAATTGTAACCTTGAAGAGGTTTGAGTGTATTGATGTAATGGACCTGGATGAGGTGGAGGAAGAGGGAATTGAAGAGGATCAGTATTTTCAATCGGAAACAGTATCTGCTAGTCTTGTTGAAGATGTTACTATTAAACCTGGGTTTGTTGCTACTGTTGCCATGAACATAGGAGAATTTGATGAAAACCTTAAATATGGAAATTATGTCCTAGTTGCTAAAAATGCTTCATTTGCTGATGCATCTTACTGCAAGGACAATGAGGGAGAAGAGGAACGATTTAAGAATGCAGCAAAGTGTGAAATATCTCGCCAGATAGTCAGCCTAATTGATCCTGAAACAGAAGGAGAAACCTCTGAAACCAAGAAACATTCCAAAATACAAGTCAAGGTATTGAATCCTCTTGACATTGATGTGATGTTGAAGTGTGGAGACCTTGTAGCAGTTGTTAGGATGGAAAAACCTGAGGATCCTGACAACCCTGATTTCAGATCTTACACAGTTGTCAAGAATGAGAAGGATATTGAAAATGCCAAGAGGCAAGATGATCTAGTCCGCAGTAAGAGTGAAGATAGAACCTTCAAGTCAAAGAAGATAAAAAGGAAACATTCTAAAAAGAAAAAAGATGGAAACAAAAAGAAAAAAGAAACAAAAACTCCTGGAGATCTTAGTTTTGACTTTGATGCACTTGATTTTGAGTTGGAAGATATTGATGAAGAGAGTGAAATAGAAGAAGAAGAAAATAATGATATGGCTCCAATGACACCTTCTCAGATGAGTGAGGTTTCACTTTCAGACATGTCAGGTACTGAAGAAACTGGAGAAAACAACAAACCTACAGAAAAGATAAATGGTTCTGAAACATCAGAGCTGAAAAATACAGAAAGGATGAATGGTTCTAAAACTTCTAAGCAGAAATCTAATACAGAACCTTCAAAGGAAATTGAAAAGGATAAAATCAGTGAGACTGCTGTTGTAGAGGAACCAATACTACCAGAAAACATAAACCTTGACCAAACTGATTTTTATGATACCCCATTTTATGGTTTATTGAATCAGATCGGGGGTGGTATTAACTTACCAGCAGGAGCACAGTCGATGTGTGTAATCAAATTAAAACCTTTTAAAGGGTTCAGTTCTTATCACATGATTGGAAGAAAATGCTGCATTTCTTTAAATGAGGATTATACTGCGCCTAGTAATCTGAATAAGTGGAAAACTAAAAACTTCAACATCTTACCCAGGGTTGCAACAGTTTTTAAATCATCAGAAAACTTTGCCATTGTTAATGCTTTTGTTCAAAACGTTACTGATAAACCTGTATTCTATCCAAATGAGATTGCCTTGGCCACTGTTAGATTTATATCTCCAACTCCACGGAATTCTGCAGATGTTGGCCTGTTAAATCTCCCACATGTACAGGAGGATACAGGTGCCGACGTTGCTCCTCCTGGTGAAGAAATAGTTAACCTACCTACTCCTGTTCCTGTCATAAAAACCATTCCCAGCACCTTTAACACAGATTCTGAGCCTCCACCTCCAGGAGAAGTTGATCTTGAACTCAATAGCCCAGCCAAAAAAAGTTATGTTCAGCAACCTGAAGCTGAACCTGAGGAACTGCCTCTTGTTCCAACCCAAGATGAGATATTTAAACTCACTGTAAAGACTTTAAAATCTATTCTAACAGATAATAATCTCAACACCAGTGGACTCAAGATGGATTTGGTGAAGAGAGTTGAAGAATACTACACCATGAATCCTAAACTGATTGATAGAAATATTTTTCAGTCTGCTCTAACTGAAAAGATCCAAGTTCAGGCTTTGTCAACCCCTAAAGGAGAAGCTTCAAATGTTAATGAAGAACTTGAGAATTTTGAAGGATCTCCAAGCAGCGTTTATTTCAAAGAACCAGTTCCCAATTTCCCTGCCCCACATGCTTCAACTGTACATATCTCTAAACCTGCAGTGTTGAATACTATACCTGAAGCTGCAGGTCCAAAGCCTGCTGATCCCATTTCTAAACCAGAATCTACAGAACCATTTAAAACTGAGTTTTCTGATAAGCTGGCCAACAAGAAGGCAGAAAGTAAGGCCTTTGATAGTCTTGAAATTAGTTTCCATGACAAGTGGCATTTTATTGATTTAAAGTCTGCAGTTACAGTTGAGAAACTGGGAGAAACTCTCCTGACAGTTCGTCTCAGTGAGATTGAGATCTTTATGAATGACCTTGTGGATAGAAAGGTGTTGGTTCGACGAGATAATCCCTCTCCAAAAATTAAACGTCAAATCTGCAAGCTGAACATAGAAGGTCGAAGTCCTGTTGTTGAGATCATTATAGATTCCGACACTAAAGACATATCAGCTCAGGAGAAGTTTTTCAAGTTGAAAATTGAAAAGTTTGAGATGGATGTTCCCGATCAATTCTTTCTCCCGCACAATGATGTATTTGATGATGTATCTAAAGATATTTTTGATATGAACGCTCCTGCTGTAGCCACTACTCTAGTTGATGTTGTTCTACCCCCTAAAGCATTTCACACGGAGATTTGTCATGTTAATCTGAAACCCGAGGACATGGAGATCATTGGGACGAAGAATGTCATCCTCGAGCGGACCTCGGACCACGGGATGAATATTGGGATGAGAAAGATGATCCTTGTTCCGAAAATCTTGAGCGTGGTCAAGGTGGAGAACGGCGAGGCCAAGGTGGAGGTGAAGATCTACAACGCCTCTAGACAAAGGCTGAGGATATCCAAGAAGACCAATATTGCGAAGGTGTTCCTCTGTAGAAATACTAACCTCACCAAAAAGGTAGGAATTTAGTTAATTTTTTCAACCATGGTTTATTTGGATAATTTTGGTTTTTACACAAAGCAATTACTGAAAAGATTATAATTTCTAATTTATAATGATAACCCCTTTTTTTACATAGAAATCAATGATAGTTTTGGTTTGATGAAAGTCTGTATCTAGTTTAATTTTTGGTTAGATATCATTCATTAATCATTATACACAAAAATCAAACATTAAAGAAACATGATACACAAGTGACCCTACATTTAAACAGTGGCATATCTGGTTTATAACATTACTCTTTAAGATTCTTCGTTGTTCCATTTTGTTTTGAACTAATTAACTTCGGAGATAAATTTTTTTTAAACAATTTTTAGTCAAAATCCGTAATTTTTTAACTATTTAACTAGCTTTTCTTTATGGAGAAAATTATCGTCATGTATCAATTTTATTTTGAATTAACTATTGTTAGATATCAATCTTCTTTTAACTTAACAATTTATCGGCAGAATCTAACATTTTTTAAAAAATTTTGTCCAAGAGATTATTCCTATTTTGAAGATTAATATCGTCAAATATCAAATTATTAAATTAACGATTGTTAGAGATCAATCGCGTTTTGAACTATAATTTTGGAGATAAGCTTTGTTTTGAACTTTTTACTGTTCAATTTTTTTTAACATCTAAATTAAGTATTGTGAGAGATCAATCTTGTTTTGAATTATTTATTGCAATAGAATATCTTATTTCGAAAATTTATTGAACTTTTATTCAATTGTTTAGAAAATGAAAACCTTGAAGAAGTTAAATTGAAAAAAAGGCCTTAATATTAAGATTCACGGGTAGAATCAAAATGTAAATACTGAAATCATTGCAAATCGTAATGCCTCAACCAATTAAGATTTAGTTTATTCAATTCGAAACGGTATTGTGAAATTTGGATGTGAAATGATTTGATTTAGCTTGAACTATGAACCTAGGATGATCATTTTAGGTACTTTTGAAATAGAATGTTAGTGACTATCCTAAAGTTTCTCTGCCAGAGTCTTTTGATCCTAAACTTACTAGTTTCTTAATTCAAAATAGAGCTAGGATGTATATGTATAGTATTCACCCGTCTACAAGCCGATGATGGATTTTAATTCTAAGGCTGACTACGAATGTAGATTTATACTCAATTGCCAATTAAGATTTAGTTTATTCAATTCGAAACGGTATTGTGAAATTTGGATGTGAAATGATTTGATTTAGCTTGAACTATGTATTGTCAACTGTGAGCTTGAAGCACTAGGTTGATTTTCTTTGCCTTTTATTTTTGACAAATTATACAATCGAAGAAAAAAATGTTTTCTTATTAATATAATAATAAGATTAGGAAAACTTTAAAAAAAGAATTGTAAAGTATTTGATGAGAAGGGTCTTGATAAATGCCAAAAAGTTATGTGAAAGGATTGTAGGGATTACTGAAATGTTAATCAAAGCTTCGTGAACAATAAACTGTAGCCTAAGGTCTAAAAAAAGGTTTTACAAAGTGTCAAGGTTTTATCACTTTTCTAAATGTTTCGATGAAACTGTAGAGAAGATTTTGTTAAGATTTAAGTATTTTTTTATTTGATAGGATTAAAAAAGAATAAAATATAAAAAAATTAGGTTTTTTAAAGTTAATTAATGTTTGATGTAGGTCTGAAATAAGGTTGTATAGGACGTTAGATGCAAATTTTTAAGAAAGTAACTCTTAATAAACTGATGTAGAGATTTATATTTTACACATTGGTAAGCTGGCTACCTGATCTCTCGAAGAGCCACTTTAAAAGTTTCCTATGTCTTACAAGGATCTTTTAAGCAGGGTTTAATGAAAGATAAATAAGATTTGTTAAAACTTGTTATCTTGAAAGTGTCATTTTATATAAAAATAAAACATTTGTCATCTTTTAAGTTAAAAGTTAAAATCAAATATTTCAAAGAAGAATTGTGAAGTATTTGATGAGAAGGGTCTTGATAAATGCCAAAAAGTTATGTGGAAGGATTGTAGGGATTTCTGAAATGTTTATCAAAGCTTCATGAACAATAAACTGTAGACTAAAGTCTAAAAAAAAGGTGCCATGACAAACTCCTGAAAGACAAACTCCGGAAAGACAAACTCCTGACAAGACAAACTCCTGAAATTATGAAATTTTTCTCTGAATGAAATATGATAAAATTCATTATCTTTAGGAGAAAAAATCCGCAAATATCCTAGAAAAAATTCTCAATCTTTAGTAATTTGAATATGCTTCGAGCAGCAAAGTATTACAATGATCAGAATAACCAGCAAATTTATTATTATTTATTTTTTATTATTTAGGGTTAGATTAGGTTAAGACACTTTCAGAGATGGAATTTAAAGAATTTGAGCTGCGGTTTAAATCCGCCAAAACGATGTTTAAATCAAGCGTCGGTTTAAATCTTGAAACATTTGATACAATTTTAAGTGGAACCAACCATATTTAAACCGCGTCTTAAATTTAAACCACCGCTCAAATTCTTTAAATTCGGCCACTGGTTACAAAATTGATTGCATAATTAGAATAGATTATAATTTAAATTTAATTTTTTTTAATTTGATATTATGGAGTTTGTATTTCAGAAGTTTTTATTTTCAGGAGTTTGTCTTGTCAGGGGTTTGTCTCGTCAGGAGTTTGTCTCGTCAGGAGTTTGTCTTTCAGGAGTTTGTCTTTTCAGGAGTTTGTCTTTCAGGAGTTTGTCTTTCAGAAGTTTGTCATGGCGCCAAAAAAAAGGTTTTACAAAGTGTTAAGGTTTTATCACTTTTCTTGATGTTTCGACGAAACTGTAGAGAAGATTTTGAAAAGATTTAAGTATTTTTTTATTTGAAAGGATTAAAAAAGAATAAAATTAAGAAAAGAAAAAGGTTTTTTTAAAGTTAATTAATGTTTGATGTAGGTCTGAAATATGGTTGTATATGATGTTAGATGCAAATTTTTAATAAAGTAACGTTTAATAAACTGACATAAGATACTTGATACTTGATACTTGTAATGTGATTCCAAGGACTCCAAGTAGGAGTATTGTAGGAATGTCTGTTCCAGTCCCCCAGAGTATTGTTCAGATCGTCCTGGTTCTCATTGGTTCTCAGCATACTCCATACAATACTCAAATACACAAGTGAAGTTTTAGTTGAGCAGTCCATCAAGTTTTGATTTGAAAATTGTCAAGGTTCTAGAGTCCTTGACCTCTATTGGGAGTCCATTCCACTTAGCTACAACTCTGTTAGTAAAAAAGTTGGATCTTATGTCAGTTTTAGACCTGGTTGCTACAAGGTTACCATGGTATGCTGTGTTTCTGGTTATTCTTTGTGGCTCCTGCCCAACCAATGTAAACCATGTTGTGCTGTCCCGATCATCAATTCCTTTCAGAATTTTGAAAACCTGAATAAGATCTGCTCTGCTTCTTCTGCTAGCCAGGGATAGTATACCTAACTCTTTAAGTTTGTCTTCATATGTTGCTCCCTTGAGGCCTGTGATGTAATTAACTGCTCTCCTTTGGACCTTCTCAAGAGTCTCAATGTCGCCAAGGAGGTGCCAGGGTGACCAGACTGGAGATGCAAATTCTAAGTGGCAGTGTACAAACTGAACATAAAGTTTCAAGAATATATATCTATCCCTGTATTGGAATGCTCTGGTAATTTGCCCCAACACAACCATTGCTTTCTTTGCTGCTTCAGCACATTGTAGGGAAGGTTTTAAACTTTTCTCCACTATCACACCAATATCCCTTTCTTGATCTACAGATGCCAGTAAGGATCCATTCATATAATATTCAAACTCATTATTTTTCTAATGTAGAACTAATGTAGAGATTTATTTTTTACACATGGCTACTTGATCTCTCGAAGAGCCACCTTAAAAGTTTCTTATGTCTTTTGTCGTATCTTTTATGTAGGGTTTAATGAAAGATAAATAAGATTTGTTAAAAACTTGTTTTCTTGAAAGTGTCTTTTTATATAAACATAAATTTGTTATCTTTAAAGTTAAAAGTTAAAATCAAGGATTGAAAAAGAATAAAGGAAGATGATTTTAGGTTTTAAAAAATTAATTAATGGTTGATGCAGCTCTGAATTTATGTTTACGTTGAGGTTTGATGAAAATTTAATAAAATTAGTGAAAGGGTTAAAAAATTTAAGTTGAGGTTTATAAGTTTTGACATAAGAACTAATGTTAAAAACTATTTAAAATCAAACCCACATTTTTTGCTCTTAATCCTCTTTTTACTTATTGATTTATTATTTTAATTGGAAATCAGAAGTGGTGAACTATTTTTACCATTGCAGTGTTTAGGATTAAGATCAATATTTTTCAACCCCCTGGATCCAAATTTAGGGTGTCAAAAATATACCAAAAATTAACTCATTCGGCCTACTGACGTTTAATGTTTGGTGTAATTTTCAAATGAACAAATCATATTTTTCTTGAAGTTGGGAAAGTGGGAGAGGATATTATTAAGAGGATTGTGAAACCGGTTCAAAATGAGTGGATCCTAAGCACTGATGAATATTCCTTAATGTCTGTTCTGATTTTACAGAAACTATTTAATAGAAGAAAAAGAATAATTGGTTCTCTACGGATGTTCGCTGATTGTTAATTTCTAGATTGATATGAAGAGACCAGACAAGGAGGATAAATTGTTGCAAGATTTCCCAGCCATATTCAGTCCCATGCAGACCACGGAGATCTCCGAGATGAATAGTGAGCAGATCTACGAGGTGAATATGGAGCAGATCTCAAATTTGAATATGAAGCAGATCTCAGATATTGATGCAGAGCAAAGAACAGAGACGACTGAGGAAGCACTCTCAGGAATGGTTACAACGCAGAGTCAAGGCAAGATGAATCAAGAGCTAAGCACCGGTCAACCTAATCCTAGACGGCCGAGGAAGAGACGAGGGTTTAAAAGGAAGATGCTTAAAGCAAAGAAAATTTTGACACAAATCATTGATGAAACTAACTCTGATCCGAATGGAGCAGAATTGAATATTGAAAAGATTTCAGAGATTCTTCAGAAGCAAATTCCCTCATTTAATGAGGATGAGATTTCTAAAATTATTAGAAAGTTTATCAAAGAGAAGAATAAGGAGCAGATCTCCGACATTAAGAGGGAGCAGATCTCAGAGATGAATACTGAGCAGATCTCAGAGATGAATTGGGAGCAGATCTCAGAGATGCATGGAGAGCAGGTCACAGAGATGGATATGGAGCAGATCAATAAGACCAATGGTGTGCAGACTTCAGAGATGAATAGGGAGCAAATATCAGAAATGAACATTGAGCAGATCTCACAGATGAATAGGGAGCAGATCTCAGAAATGAATATGGAGCAGATCTCAGAGATGAATAGGGAGCAGACCACAAAGATAAATGGGGAGCAGGTCACAGAGATGAATATGGAGCAGATCAAAGAGACCTATGGGGAGCAGACCCCAGAGATGAATTGGGAGCATATTTCGGAGATAAATAGTGAGCAGATCTCAGAGAAGAATATGAAGCAGATCTTAGATGTTGAGGCAGAGCAAAGTACAGAGACGACTGCGGAAGCATTTTTAGGAATGGTTACAATGCAGAGTCAAGGCAAGATGAATCAAGAGCTAAGCACCGGTCAACCTATTCCTAGACGGCCGAGGAAGAGACGAGGGTTTAAAAGGAAGATGCTTAAAGCAAAGAAAATTTTGACACAAATCATTGATGAAACTAACTCGGATCAGATTGGAGCAGAATTGAATATTGAAAAGATTTCAGAGATTCTTCTGCAGGAAATTCCCTCACTTAATGAGGATGAGATTTCTACAATTATTGGTGAGTTTATCAAAGAACAGAATAAGGAGAAGATATCCAACATTAATGAGGAGCAGATCTCAGAGATGAATATGGAGCAGATCTCAGAGATGAATATGGAGCAGATCCGAGAGATATATGGGGAGCAGGTCACAGAGATGAATATGGAGCAGATGAAAGAGACTAATGGGGATCGGACCTCAGAGATGAATATGGAGCAGATCTCAGAGATGAATAGGGAGCAGATCTCAGTAATGAATATGGAGCAGATCTTAGAGTTGAATAGGGAGCAGATCTCAGAGTTGAAAAAGGAGGAGATCTTTGAGTTGAATAAGGAGCAGATCTCAGAGATAAATAGGGAGCAGATATCAGAGATGAATATAGAGCAGATCCCATTGTTGACTATGGAAAAGATATTAGAGACGAATAGGGAGGCGACCTCAGAGATGAGTGGGGAGCTGATGTCGGCCATTAATAGGGAGCAGATCTCAGAGATGGATATAGAGCAGATCCCGGAGTTGAATAGGGAGCAGATCTCAGAGATGAATAGGGAGCAGACCACAGAGATAAATATGGAGCAGAGCTCAAAGATTGATGCAGAACAAAGTACTGAAACGACTGAGGAAGCATTCTCAGAAATGGATACAACGCAAAGTCCGGGCAAGATAATTCAAGAGTTAGGCACAAGTCATCCTAGAACAAGACGGCCAAGAAAGAGACGACGACGAAGAAAAAAGAAGAGGCAAATCTCAGAGATGAATGGTGAGCAGATCTCAGAGTTGAATGGGGAGCAAATCCCAGAAACGAAAAGGGAGGAGATATCAGAGATTAATGGGGAGCAGATCTCAGAAATGAAAAGGGGGCAGATATCAGAGCAGAACTAAGAAATGACCCAAGACGTTAATCTTAAATACCATTCATAGACGGCCAAACTCAGAAAACCAAATATTTGTTCAGATCGATCCTTAAATGGGAAATATTTTTGTGATTACTAATTAATTTGAAATGCTACCATTCAAAATATTGTCTCGATTGTATTCGTAAATTATTGAAAGTGTTTATGGAAAATTTAAAATAAATGAAAATAGTTGAAACAAGAAGAAAGGTTAAAAAGATAATTTTCATAACTAATTAATCTCAATTGTGGGTTCTACTACTGGAAAACAAATAGCAAATTTTACTTCCAAACCTAGAAAGCTACAACATCTTTCATAATCAAAGAAGGGTTTCAATGGACCTTTGTAAACCGTTTGCATAGAGGGTCACTTAGAATTAAGCCTACAGTTCTGGTCTCCAATTTTTACTACCTCAGACCAATTTTTTTATTATATCTAAAGAACGTTAAAGACCCCCCACCCCCTCTGTAGGACTACAATTAGTCTCATATATTTAACATGGCTGAAATCTTGAAATTTGCTAGAATGAATACTTTACTTTGCCGGGCCCCGTAGCCCATCAGTCATCACTGTACTATTATGCATTAAGTGCCAGTTGTATTACTGTTAAATATTTATGAGTTGTATTCCCTATTTTCATGGGTGCCCTTTAACCCTTGTCTGAGGTTAAATGAATGTTATCTGAAAACTGATCATTTCCAACTGTGGTTTCCTTTCTAGACAGAAAAACTACGGTAATTTCCTCCGTGTTGCTCAGATGAAGACTAATAAAATATAGAGTACCGTTGTGGATCGGGCCTTCAACTCTAAATTTGATGTCACGCTGACAGTCCATTTTCGGGATATATCTATTTACATTTGTCTGAGGCTAAATGATAAGAAACATCCTTTTTTTATAAATTTGTAAATTGATTAACTGCTGTTTCGTTTTTAAAATGTCAAAGATAAATAGTTTTAGATTAAGTACTGTTGTGAATCGGGGATTCAGCTGGACAAATTTTGCGTGACGACAACAAGTCTCTTTTCGGAAAATATCTCGACAATCTTCCGGTAGTCTTGTATTCATCAAAAAGAAAATTTGAAAATACTCAAAAGATAATTTAATTTGAAAATTTTTTATTATATAAATATAGAGAAAACGCTAATACTTTTGTACAGAAAATCTGATAAGATTTCATTTGTTATTCCAACAATGGAACTATGTTTAAACATTGAAAAAAATATTTGATACTTTTAAAATCGCGAGTTTAAGGAAGCATTAAAATTTCAGCTAATTTAGTTTGGCCGTCTTGCCATTTTTTTTACAAATTAGCGAAAATGGACTGAAATGATAATGCCCATGTGTTAGAATAAATTTAAATTTTTTTTTTGAATGAGTTCATTGGAAAAACAATTTTTTTTTGTATATATTAAAGGGACTAAAAACCGGTTTGTGAACAGCTGAGTATATTTTAAATGAACTTCAATTTAATCGGCTATTAGTCCAAGCGATATAGTACTTCCTTTTGATCATCTGCTTATAAATATACGAAAAAAAAATATTTTACAGTGTTTTTAAGCAACAGCGCAATGGAAAATGTTAAGCATTTTGGGGACTATTTGAGCTGTAAAATTGACTTCGTTGCGTTCCTAATCCTTAAAAGTGGGGGTATTTCATTTATTTTAAAAAAGATTAACAATCCCTTGAAAGCTCCATATACGCAATTTTATGTAACCGCTGCATTTATAGAGTAGCATGTCCAATTAACAACGTTCCCCTTTAAACCTTTATCTGAGTTACTATGAGAAAGATGTTGTTTTACAATATGAAAGTGTTAAATTCTGACAAGTTCATTTTAGATGGGTTTGGCTATTTTAGCTCTAAATCCGCAAGACTATACAGATCAATCACAATCAATTTTTTGCTGGAAAAATAAGGATATCTAATCTTTTCCTGCTCAGGCATTACATTATTTATTCAATTTTGATGAAATTTATCACACCAAATATATCCTGTGTAGGGTAATTAAGTAACTTTATCGCCCTACAACAGGCGAAAAAGTAACTTTTTTCACCCTGCTATTAAAATTTCAAATTTCATAACTTTTTGGCACTTAATAATACCCATTACAATGACATAGATATATAGTAAATGGATGGTTTTTTTTAAATCACCCATGTAAAATATTTATTTAAAAATAAAACCATTCACTGAAAATTTCAGTGTTTAGTGAGGGTTGTCAAGCACTATCTTGAGAGATATGTTTTTATAAGTTGTCATTATGTGTCATTAATGTTAGAAATGAGTATTGTAGATCTATTAAATAGTATAGTTGGTGGAAGGTTGAACCAAACCAGATTGGAAATAAACAATGGAGACCACTATTACAGTAAATATATTTCGACATTTCTACGATGTCCTCATCAGTACTAAAGCAAATACAATATCAAATATTACCGAATTATTTAAAGAAAAAAACATGTATTTTAAAACATTGTAAATCGATATTAAATGGGGTGGAGGGGGGGGGGGGGTTGTTCTGATTGTTTTTTGATTGTATTAAATAGATTCCAATTTACTTTTGGGGAAATAGAGATCCCGCATAGCCACTCCTGCAAGGACTTTTGATCATAATAGACTTCAATAAGTAAACATTTTGTACATGAGTAACACTCACATTAGAAAAACCCATATTTAAAACAGACTCAATATGTTAATTTTATTAAATCTGAAAAAATCTAGAGTCTATAGGATGACCATATTAGGAAATTAACCCCGAGAAGAGCCTGTTAAAAAGAATGTTTTATATAAAGCAAAAGGGTTTCATTGGGGTCAACAGATGGGTCAGTCTGCTGAACAATCCAGAGATGATTTCAAGGATGTACAGTGTACAGTGTACAGTGTACAGTGTACAAAGATTGGAAGATTTAAGCCTTAAAAACTGTCCAGAAGAAATTCTGTGCCTATACATTTTTTAAGTGTATTAATTATACAATAGATAATGTTATTATCGTTAACTTATAATATTTATTCCCATTCTTACGCAAACTTAACGCAAACAATGGCTTTGTCTCAATAATTGATGCATAATTTATGCAGGTGTAACTTTATAACAATGTAAATTTGTTCACATTGTGAGATTAAATAGTTCAGGTTGTTTGTTAATTCAATTTCATTTAAATTCAACTTTTGTTAAAACTTTATTGCTTTGACTTGCAATATTCTAAAACCAAATGAATTATCAACTGTGTCACTCAATCTATGTGATCTAACTAAGAAACCTCAAATACAAGATAAACTAATAAATGCTTTATATTAGGTGATTGCACGGTGTGAAGAGAAAAGCATTATATATTCTGGTGAGCTTTTAAGAGTTCTCTGCATTCTAAACAAGAAGGTTGCCAGCAGAGCAGTTATAGTAGATAACATTATCCTTGAGGGTCTGGTTGTGGTTAAGGGAGTGTTGGAAGTTATCAACTGTCAGGATAATCAGAAGGTCAAGATTCCTGTTCTCAACGAATCCACCAACACTAAAGGTTATTCTTAATTTTGAATTATTACAATAAATAAGGGGGTCGAGTTCATCTGTATGCATACAATATACATATAGCTAATCCTACTCAATTCACAAATTAGTTTTCAGCCGGATCAATATCTATTTAAGGTTTGAAAGCTGGACCCAAAATTTGTGAGCTTCTGGCTGAACTTCCGGAGTAGATGAAACAGATTTTAATATTCCATCAGACAACCTGTTGCTACTGGGGCTCTCATGTACATGTTAATTTAACTAGTGAAAATTCAATAAATATATAGTTTATTATGTTTATTATATGTCTAATGGATGTAAATGTTTTCGCTTCACCACATTGTTTCTGTTATACCACGAAATATTCAAGATAGTGTTTTCATTTTCAACTTACAATTAGATAAAATGTTGAAGCTTGCTAGATGTTTTTCCACCTTCTCCCATCTCTACAACAATAACATTCCTAAGGTAAATACAGCTATTTTAAATTTTTCTTTAAAAAAATACAAAAGTTTTATTATTAACAGAATAATAATTTATTTTTTATTTTTAGGGTCTAGAAAAAAACCAGCTTTACAAGAAGGAAATTAACAGATTTGTAAAAGATAAAGGAATGTCCAGACAACTAGAACATCTTGGAATTGACCGAATGGACGTTGCTTTACATCCAGATCATATCAGGTATAAACTTTATTTTGTGCAATTCATCTCCTTCTGGATCATATTTAATATTTTGCTTTCACCACTTTTTTACCCCAGAGAATAGTACATGGTAAGGTGATATCTATTAATCGACCGCTGAATGAGGACCCTTGACCTGCTCTCAGGGTTTTTGGAATTGCTCCCAGGGTTTTGGAGTGCTCCCAGGATTTTGGAATGAATTTGAAAATTTGTCTTAGCTTTAATGAGAAGTCCTTTTTAAAAGGTACTCTTCAACCGAAAATTGAAAAAAGGGCTCTGGTACCCCTTTTTTACTGTCTTTGTTGAGATATATGCAGGGAGGAAAAATCGCAAATTTCAGTAGCCTGTGGCGATCATATAGTTTTGATTAGCCAAACTGACGACAATTAAAGATTATTGGTTAATATAGTAAACAGATGTAAAGGTTTCATTTAAGCTGGTAATAAATGCAGCTCAAGATCTTGATAAGTGATCTTTTTGCCAAGTTTTAAACAGTCACAAAATAAAAATTGTTCTATTTCGATATGGCCCGCAGTATACCAAAAATCATCAATTTATTGAGATATCTGAGAAAAATTATGTCTTAAGTTTCCATTTAGAGCCATGTGAAAGGCTCTAAATTTGACATGAAACCATTTTTATTTCGTGACTGTTGACAGAGGGAGGTGGCTGCTCTCAGATGAGACTATGTAGCAAAGATGAGATTTGTAGCAAAAGATTAGACTTGAGCAAAGTTAAGAGTAGCAAAGAAGAGACACATAGCAAAATTGAGACTTGTAGCAAATTGAGACTTTTAGCAAAGTTGAGAATAGTAGCAAAGTTGAGACTTGTAGCAAGATTTGTTGCAAAGTTGAGACTTTGGCTAATATGGGAAGTTTAGCCTCTGTAACAAATTTGAGACTTGTAGAAAGATTGAGGCTCGCAGCAATATTGAGACTTGCAGCAATATTGAGACTCGTAGCAATATTGAGATTTGTAGCAAAGTTGAGACTTGTAGCAAAGATGAGACTCAAAGCAAAGTTGAGATTTGTAGAAAAGTTGATATTCGTAGCAAAGATCAGACTTCTAGCAAAGATGAGACTTGAAGAAAAGATGAGACTTGGAGCAAAGATGAGACTTGTAGCAAAGATGATACTTGTAGCAACAAAGTATAGATTTGTAGCAAAGTTGAGACACGTAGCAAAGTTGAGATTCGCAGCTAAGTTGGGATTTGTAGCAAAGATGATAATTAAAGCAAAGTTCAGACTTGTAGCAACAATGAGACTTGTAGCAACGATGAGACTTAAGGCAAAGGTGAAACTCATAGCAAAGGTGAAACTCATAGCAAAGGTGAAACTCATATCAAAGTTTAGATTCGTAGCAAAGTTTAGATTTCTTGCAAAGTTCAAACTTAAATCAAAATTGAGATTCATTGCTAAAATGAGACTAGTAGAAAAAATAAAACTCATAGCAAAGTTGTGACTCAAAGCAAAAATGAGACTTGTGGCAAAGGTGAGACTCATAGCAAAGATGAGACTGGTAGCAAAGTTTAGACTTGTAGCAAAATTGAGACTCACCGAAAAATTGAGACTTGCAGCAAAGTTGATACTTACAGCAAAGATGAGACTGGTAGAGAATCGCAGCAACATTGAAACTCTCTGCAGCATTGAGACTCATAGCAAAGTTGAGATTCTAAGCAAAATTGAGACACATAGCAAAATTAAAACTCGTAGTAAAGATGAGATTTGCAGCAAATACGAGACTCACAGCAAAAATGAAACTCTTACCAAAGTTGAGACTTGAAGCAAAGTTTAGACTCGTAGCAAAATAGAGACTTGTAGCTAAATTGAGACTTGTAGAAAGAGAAGACTTGTAGCAAAAGATAAGACTCATATCAAAGTTGAGACTTGTAGCAAGCAAGGTGTTTAAGCTGTCATTAAGAGAAAAACCTTTGCGGGGCATTCAGTTTTAACACATTCGAAAAAATTGTAGAAAATTCATCCACTCTCTCACTACAGCTGGTGTGGAAACAATTCGCCCAATCACGTTTCACCCAAAACATTTCACCCAATTTTAGGTGAAATAACGTTTCACACGATAATGCTTCACCATAATTCACACTTTACCCAATACTACATTTCACCCAAATTACAATTCACCCAACTCATGTTTCGCCCAAATTACACCAACTTAAGAGTTTCACCCAATTTTATTTATTCCTCTAACATACATTGCACAGGAATTTATTGCCCCATTTCAGATCAAAACTCATAAACTCCTGGACTAATTTGCCTCAAATTTTGACTGGGGAAATAAGGAGAATCATGGGAATCTTCTTAGATTAGTTAAAAAATTCTAATTTGAGTGGGTCGACTCATATATACAAAAAAAGCTGGGTTGTTGTAAATGCGTAAAATTTTTGCTCAAAATCTGCAAATCACATTTGAGCTCAACATAGCGGCGCAGTTACATGCAGCTAATTACATAAATGTTCAAAACAGAGGATAGCTTGGCCAGGACCAAGCTACAAGAGCAGGTTACAGTCAGACGTGCCAACCCAAACAGATTTAGAACTGAACGTCAGTCAGCCCGGATGGCAAATCTAAAGGTTGCACTACAAACCTTCAATCCCTACTTCATCAAGGAGTTCATGTTTTGACTTCAAGAGGATGGCCAACTTGAGCAGTATTAGAAAACTGTGTTCTAATGTATTACTTTTATAAATTCAAAGTTAAAATTTTTATAAATTCAAAATAAAATTGGAAAGAAATTTTTTTTTGGGGGGGGGGTTGAAACTCTTTAGTAAGTGTAGTTTGGGCAAAACATGAGTTGGGTGAAATGTAATTTGGGTGAAACATAGTATTGGTTGGAAAGTTATATTGAGTGAAACGTTATATTAAGTGAAAGGTTATCTGGTGAAACGATTTGGTTGAAACGTTATTGGGTGAAACGTGATTGGGCAAACTGTTACCACACCCTATAGCCATATACTATACTGTAACTCCTTTTCACAGATGCTTAATTTTCTGCAAGTTTTCTGCAATTTTAAGCATTTTTGCCAGTCTTACTTAATTTTTAGCAGAGAAATATTTCAAAACAGCTATTTTCATTAGTTAAAAATTTTAAATTAACAGTTTTTTGCCATTCGGTAACAGACTTTTCTGTCTATTTTCAAATACCTCTTTTTTGTAAATTGGAAAGTGTCCACTGCTTGATTTCTCTGTTTCTGTCTGTCTTGCAGGATAAGTCACATACAGCTTCACTCAGTGCTCTCTCTGTTTAGGGGCTGCAGCCATCTGGAAACCTTTCTCCTCGGCAAGCTTTTTACCTTGTGTTCTGTATTTTAGTTCTTTTGCATCAATGCCATCAAACCCTTATTTTTTACTAAGGAGGGGCTCAGGGTATATTTACTTGATACTTTTTATGGAATTCCAAGGACTCAAGGTAGGAGTATAATAGGAATCCAGGAAATATTTCAACTAATCAGCGGACAGGATTATGGACAGAGATTATGCAACTAAAAAATTTAAGCTATAGCTTGAAGTTGTGGTTTAAATTAAGTCAGAAGTGGTCCAGGACAGCATTTAAGGTGAAACTTAACAACTTTTCTGTAACTTTCTGTTCTTTAGTTTTACACTTGGTTAGTCAAATTTAAATTTGAAAGTTCTTGCTTCCTGAACATCTGTCGGGAGACCACTCCATCTTAACACAATTCTGTTAGTGGAAAAGTTTAATATAATGCCTGTTTTTGACCTGGCTGCTACAAGGCTTCTGAGGTAAGCTGTGTTCCTGGTAAATCTCTGCCGTTCATGTCCCACCAAAGTAAACCAAGTTGAATTGTCAACATCATCAATACCTTCTAGGATTTCAAAACCTGGATTAGATCTGCTTTTGACCTCCTGTTGGCTAAAGATAGTATACCTATCCCTTAAGTTTATTTTCAATTCTCAATGGCTTCATACCTTTCATGATGTTGACAGCTGGTCTCTGAATGTTACCTAGTATCTCTATATTTTGGTTATGTCAGGGTGACCAAACTGGGGATGCAAATTCAAGGTTTGATAAAGACTCTCTGCCAGTACACCAATGTCATGTACATGGTCAACAGATAAAAGTACAGAACCCTTCATGAAAGTACTCCTTGTTCTGGTGTGCAGGACCTTGGAACTGCTTGCACCATCTTGCAGCCCACATACAGAGATTATTAAGTGCTCTTTGCCACACCTCTTTGTCAGTGTTAGCAAACTTATTCAGTATGATAAGTTTCTGAATTTAGGTAACTTTTAAGAAATTAAATGCTAATGACCCCGACCCCTGGGTTACTTCCATGGAAAAACCCAAGTCTAACTTTCAACCACTCAGTCTTTTTTGGTTACATTTATGGACATTTCCTCAGTTATTGTGAGCCTTGGTTTTATCCAGAAGAAAAATGAATGGCACCTTACTGAATGCTTTGTTTAAATCTAATAAATGATGTCGACAATATCACTATCATCAATCAATTTGGTCGCCTTGTCTAAAAATTTAAGAAGATTTATTGTTCAGCCTTATTGTTCATAAATTCATTCTCAAAAATGGGTGTTAAAGTGGCCAGTTGCAAAAGTTCGAGAGACTGTTGTGTCCTGGAGTGTAAGAGGGGTGTTGGAATATTCCTTGGTTGAAACATTAACACTTTCCTGTCCCTGGCTCTCTAAGACACACTAGCGCCTGAACTACCCTAACCGAATCTCTGGAGTTCTCTAACAATTAAAGCCCATGTCCATTAAGGTGTCCACAAATGATTACTTATTTTAAAAAATTGTACATGTGATGAGTGCAGTATCTTTTCCCATTGCACTACATACTGTGAGTAATATCTGAAAATTTAGGTCGACACATCTTAAAGTCTAGGAGATAATTGCCACCAAAGTTTTTAAAAGTGCTGAAGAAAGTTTTGAAAAAAATTTCATGAAATTATGATGTTACATATCAATTTCTTTGTTTTTATCAGAGAACTTTGATCTGTTGAAATTTTTGAAAAAAATTTTAAATAAATGAGTTAGGTCCAAAAAACTGTCCAAAATGCTTGTTTTTTAGAAAAGTACATTTTTTTGCAGTTTTTTGGATATAACTCAGTCAATTTGTAAATTTCAACAAATTTCATCTTTCTTGACAATTACAAAGAAAATGATATATGACATGAAAAATTCAAGAAAAAAATATTTTGGAGCTGTGTAGGTCTTTTTTTAGAGATATTGAGCTAAAAATTTATTTTAGTTTTCATGGTACGCATTGGAATGGGAAAAGCTACCGCGCGAATCTATTTTCAAAAGTTGGTCATATGTGGACACCTTAATGTCCATGCCATGCAAAAATAAAAGGTATCTTTGGTGGCCACCTTCAACAAGTCAATTGTGGATACTGGGAGTGAGGGTGGTTGTACTGTACTGTAAATTGATTCTGTACTCCAAACTGTACCCCCCCCCCCCCTTCTCATAATTCAATAAGCATCAGACAAGGATTGATATTCTCTTGAAAATAACAGAGTTTAACAGGTATGCACTGTCTTTTCATGATCGGAACATCAATGATTTTACTAATTCACTTCCTGTCTTCTTAAGATTTTTTGATTAATTTTGGATCACTCAGGCCCTACTTCTGGTTTATAACATAAACATGATGACATTTCTGATGTAGAAAAGATTCAGTAACATTCTATAAACTCTTTTTGTTCTGAAGGTAGTTTCTTGAAACTGGCCACCTGGAACCTTTCCCCTTCCTTTTGACAAAACAATTCATGAACAATCTAGTATAAAGCAATAAAATCAACCTAGCCATCCTGGAGCCTCAAGGTTTCCTACCCATGTGTTAAGCTGAACCAATGACTAAACTTTTACATTCTGGTCTTCAAATGATCACAATTCCATGGTCAAAACTAGATAATAATACAAATCCACAATCACTTAAATCTAGTAAAAAATACATGATCTAAAGTTATTAAGAAAATCTATAAACCCTTATACTGCTTTCTTGATCTCATAAGAAATAAGGGACTAAATGGCTATTTAACATTACGTCTTGTTCCTGAATGCCTAGTTCACTATGCCTAGATTCATGAATGCCTAGTTCGTAATGCCTAGATAACATTATGTCTAGATAACACCATGCCTAGATTCATGAATGCCCATATAACATTATGCCTATATTTCTGAATGCCTAGAAAACATTATGCCTAGATTTCATAATGCCTAGTCACCCAATGCCTAGATAACATTAGACTGAATTGAATGCCTATAGACATTGTCAAGCAATAAATAAATGATTCTAATATTTTTGCATGATTTATTACATATTTTATTGGTCAAATTTTTGCCTATCATGGGCCAAAGTAGAAATATAATCAGCTCTTGGCATGCTGTCAAAAGCATCAACAACAAACTAGGGCTGGGCGCGTTAACGGTGGAACGATCGTTCTTTCCTGAGAACGAACAGAACGATCAAGAACGATCCCATCGTTCCTCAAAAAAGTTGGAACGTGCCCAGCCCTACAACAAACCTTAATCTTTCTCTTGCATCTAGGGACCTCTGTTTTCTTCCAGTGTTGGTTGTCATGTCCTGACCAACAGCATTAGATAAGTAGGCTCTTCTGGCCTCAGCATCCTGCTTGATGAACAGCTCCTGAATATGCCAGACATTTGGAGAATGACCTACCAAACTATTCCATGTTCTTTTATGAGACTCAAGCATATTGTTTGTCTGAGGTCCGCCCTCCTTTACAGACTCAAAATGGTTCCAAAGTTTAGGCATAAACAATGGTGATCGCCCATTTCTCCGACAAATCCAGGTGTTGTTGAAGTATTAACCAAACTCCTCCAATTCGGCAGCATAGTCTAACCAATCTTGATAGTTGTCTAAACCATGCTCCACTATTGGAAGAATAACATCATTGTAAGTAGATACAACCTCATCTGCAGGTACATAGCAGAGTGAATATAGCTTGTAGGTTAGCTCTTGAAATTTAGCCTCCTGGTGAAAGAGAGCCTGGAGACCCAAATCTCCAAGTTTGCTCCAAATCACAGAGTGATGATGGAATCTGACTCCCTTTATGAACAGCATGAGGAAAGACTTTTTCCCAGGCAGAAAAAAACAGCCTTTTCAAAGTCAGTTATAATTGTTTGCATCCGGTTTGGCTAGCCAACATTCTCCTTAATCTTCTTGGAAAGTGTTTCATATGTGATCAACTTCTTGTTTGGCAATAGTGCAAACATACATGGTATACCTTTGCCCCCTGTCTCTGATGCAGCCATTCCAATGTACACCTAAATCATATTTTTATCATTTCTATGTGTAATTCATAGAAAATAGAACAGCTGCTAATAAAAACAATAGTACCTGGGTGAATGGTTTTAGAGCTGATTTAAAAGTTCCATCAAAGAGCCAGGTGCTATGGTTTCGAAGTATGTCAATGGCCTACTGACTAACAAACATTACCAATGATTGACTTAGTTCCTGATCAACAAAGTTCTTGTACACCATAAACTCTCCACTATCTGCAGCTTTAATGAACTTATCTGGAACATCAGTATTCATATAGTCTTGAATAGAAGTAGGAAGGGGTGGTCTTGGATTCATTATCTGCCACTGACACCATAACTTCATTCAAATGGAACTTGAACTTGATGCACTGTTCAACTGGCCAGGAAAGTTAGAACTCAACATATTATGACTGATCTCATGTAGCACAGTGGCAGGTTTGGCACCCTGCACACCTGCATATTGAGCAAGAACAGCTTTCTCCGTTTTAGATGCTTCCATCTTAAGCAGCTGGTTACCATGAGTGGCGTGTGGTCTGGTAAATCTCCACCGAATAAGTTTCCAGTAGTTTTTCTGGTGATAAGAGTAGCTTTGCATTTTCGGTTACTGCATCGCCAGTTTATAGTCTTCAATCCAGAGCCATTCCCAACATAGTTAAAGTTGTATTTGTCCCTTAGTCCATCACCTCCCTTTCTCGTCCTAGTTGCACTTATGAGAGCAGCATGAGAGCAGCCATTGCATGTCAAACTTTAACTGAAGTTTCACATTTTCAGAAAGTTGTTTGCGGATTTTGTAAAAATGTTACCGGATTGTATGTTTTTTTCTCTCTTTAATATTTTTAATTCTCTTTGAAATACATTGTCTAGGCATTCAATGCACTCTTATGTTATCTAGGCATAATGTTATCCAGGCATTCATGAATCTAGGCATTGTGTTCTCTAGGCATTATGTTATCTAGGCATTATGAACTAGGCATAATGTTATCTAGGCATTCCGAAATCTAGGCATAATGTTGTCTAGTAATTCATGAACTAGGCATTCATGAACTAGGCATTTGGGAACTAGGCATAATGTTACTGAGCCGACCAAATTCAACATAAAAAGTAAAAATCTAGGTCTAAATATTGTCTGTCCTTTAATTAATCAATCATACCTAAGCTGGGAATATGCATATGACATTAATTGAGTAAATTTCTCAAGCCTCTCAATTCTGAAAAGTTACCCAAAACTAATTTCAATTAACCTTAGAGACCCTATTTCCCCTGTGTCATACTGGTGTATTCAACTGGACTACCAATAAAAAAAGTCCAAAAATTCTGGGCCCTGGTCCTTCATTCTTAGAGAATTAATACTGGTCCCCGAACTAACAACAAAGATCCCATACTCATCCTTCTTGGTCTTCTTGTATTAAACACCTTTTACTTTCTGCAAGTTTGAAATGCTCTGTTATAGCCCTTGCTTTTCATACTGTCTTCTTGTACTAAAATGTTGAACTGAAATGTCACCAATCTTCCTCCCGAAATTCTCTGTTTCATTCTGATCATTTTAAGAAAGTCTTTCTGCTCAAGTTTTTTGTTGTTCTTCAGTTTGCGTAAACTTTGGTCTTCATCTGCTTTATGCTGACTGTTCTACAGGGAGATCATATTATAATTAATCTATTCTTTACCTGACTTATTGTACTTTTTGTAATTAAGGTCAAAGTTGGAGATGTATTGCAGATTTATTAGATTTGTATTCTTGTTTAAGATTTTTGGTTTCTATTTTATATTATTTTACAAATAAACATTTCTTTTTCAGCTCTGAGACTGATGTAGAGTCCTTGAGGGATGAATCAAAACAATTCAGAAAACAGTTCAAGGTAAAGAAGCAACATTCTTATTGTCAAATAGGAGAACAATCCCAATATGGTTTTTAATTTAAGTGAGGCTTTATATATTTCTCACTCAGATTGAACCATTTTCTATGTCACCTTCCTGGGAAAATCCATACAATCTGAGTTATGACATGATTTGGTTTTAGTTTTGAGTGTAAAGGAAATAAAACAAGAAAGGAATAAATCATTGTAAGACACTTTCTGCAAGTATTGTTCACAGTGTCTCCACACTATTATTAAAGTTTTTGTTCCTCAGCCTCAAATACACTCTTTATCTTCAACCAGACTTATTCTGACCCAAGAAGTTTCTGCACACCTAGAAATCATCTCTGCTTTCAGTCCTGAGTTTCATAAGGGTTTCTTCATGGATTCAAACTTGATGATTAATTGGAACTCATCATTTGAGCCCAGAAAGCTTTGTGGGCACTAAAGGATGCTCTCCCATCCTGAAAGTTTCAATCTGCTGCCCTGTAAGTGTCCTGGTTGCCCAATTCAGTATTCATTTTGCAGAATTTGACCAGAAGCTTGGACCACTTGCAATTCTCTACACAAGTCTGGAGAATCCACCACTTTGTCAGGATGGACATAAGCTTCAACATCACCTTTTTCTAGTTGACAGGTTCCAATCCATGCAGGACTTTAGTATTTTACTCCCCTTGAACTCCCCTCTGAAGGAATCTTAGCTTATTTATTTCTATCAGGAGATTTATGGGTTTTCAGTCTAACTTGACCTGAATGCATTAGCTGTTGATTCGGAGACCCCTAGGAGAGCTTTCTCTATTCTGAACAAACTCAAACAAGGGAGGGAGTCCAGAGTTCCTCAAATAGTAATCACCGCCACCCAAATCTGTTTTGCGGCAAGCACGCTCCTCAATTGGTAATCTCCACCACCTCAAATAGTAATCACCCCAAAAAAGCATAAAATTAAATCGTTTATTTCTTAGAAATAAGACCATATTGACCTCTTTTAATGGCCCTATGGTGTACAATATTGTTAAAGCTTTCTTTATTGCTCCTTAGTTTCGAAAATAAATCAATAAATATGCCACACTAAGTGCTAGAAATATATTACGTTTTTAGTTTCAAGTTTCGCTTTAAGAATGTTTGTGGCATTTTCCTCTGAATGTTGTTTTAAACTCCTTATATAGAGAGGAAACTTTAACCCATTATTAGTGGACTAAATACTTCATTTTCAGTAGTTGGTGTGATGGGACGAATTTTTCAAAATTTTATGTTCTTTCTATGCATATAATTAGTTTTGTTGTAGATGTTGAACTTTAGTAGGCGAATACAAAAATCTAAACACTGTAAAGGTTTTTTGAAAATATCTTTTAAATGGAGATTGATATTACTTTGGGCGCGGTGAGATAATTTTTAGTAAACAGGCAGCACGACCTTTTTTGTATCTTGACGCCAATCATGAAATGCAGTCATTAAAGTGGCGAATTGGATCTAAGATTCGGCTAAAATGAACTGTGCCTTGATTCTCAGTTTTTGTTGACCAAACAAATCTGGAAATAATTTGAAAATTTAGTTTAAGTCAATACAGATGCCATAAAACCCCGATAGATGTCGAAAATTGTGTTAAAAGTGCATTAAATTCAAATCACAGAAAACAAAATTTTATGGTGATTACTAATTGAGGAGCGTGTTTGCCGCAAAACAGATTTGGGTGGAGGTGATTACTATTTGAGGAACTCTGGACTCCCTCCCTCCTCAAACTCCTTAATGACAGTGCTAGATATTGGTGGCAATGTGTCATACAATATTCCAGGGATGGCTATGTTTTGCCACATTGCAGAGGCTGGGGAGACATTATATAGCCGCTGGTGACTAGAACGGAAGGATTAGGTCCTTGTATGTTTTTGCTTTGCATCATGTCCTACTCTTTCTTTGGCAAGGTCCCCCATGAAGATGAAAACTGCTGAACTGTTCCTTGGACATCCCATTATCAAATCCCGTAGAAACTCCTCTGCCGTTGGAACCTTCATCAGAATATTTGAAAGTGAAACCTGCCTGAACTACTTCGTCCTCAAAAGTATCCGGGTCTTGAATGGTGGAAGTGATGTCTTCTAATAATATGATGATTTTGGTTTTCTTAAACACCAGACACCAAGTTTCCACTAATTTCTTGTGGAATTCTTGAGACTCTAGATGATTGAAATCAGAATTATATCATCTGCTAAGAGTAGGATATTCACAATTTCTCCAGAATCCAGCCTTAATTTAATCCCACTGGCTCTTATCCTTGTGCATAACTAAGACATGTAGATTGTAGATTATGAAAATGACACTTCTCAAATTACATCCTTGTCGGAGCCCACACTCCTAGTACTGATTTCTTTTCCCAGATGAGGGGGTAGATATATTACCTAGAAAACAATAGCTGGAAAGAAAAAAAATGAACTTACTGCTGACGTTAAGCTGTTTCAGATAGGCTAGGAGGAATTTTTCATTGACCCTATCAGAGGGCTCCTTCAGGTCAATAAACGAGATATGAGAGAAATTTCTTACTTTTATCAAAGTTCCATGATAAAATTTAGGATGAATAGAATATATTATTGTTACAATTCCTACATAATCAAGAGCCTTTTTGTACTGGTCATGTAACATCCTCCTTTGATATAGCCTCTACTTATCTTTTTGCTAAAATCTTATTTTTGATATACAACTTGTAGTTGCTTATATCTGTATTTAGAGGCCTTTTAGGGATTAGAATCCCATCTGCTTCTTTCCAGCTGTCTGGCGTCTGTCCTACAATGACAGTGACATTATTTAACATAAATTTTTTTTAATACCACACTGTTTTTACTGTTTAGGCAGATGCAAATCCGGAAAGAGTCAAACAAATAATGATACAAAAGAAAATGTTCAAGTTTTCAAAGAAGCCAAATTTATTAACATGTGCTGAAAAGGAAACTATGAGGTAAGGTTTGTATTTATTTTATTTACAGATCTCTACTGCACTGAGGATTAAAAGAGATATCTACCTTCTTCTTTTGACACCTGGCAAGAAGTCGGAATGAGGGTACTGTTAATTTCTGTATGCAATTTCTCCTTAAAAGGTCAGATTTAACTGGCTGAGCTAGGCATTGTTTTAATATCACTTGGCTTAAACAGATATAAAGTAAAAGGAATCAGTTATTAAATCAGTAAAGTAAAGTGAATCAGTTATTAAATCAGGTACAGGAGGGGTAATTTCCTGGCAAAGCTATAGGCAGGGGCTGAAGTGCAATCATCAGGCGTGCAAAGTGGGGAAAGAGTTCAAGTTACATCTGATTTGACTGAATGCCGCACTCAATTAAAAAGCATGAGTAATGGGGGATCAATTTTGTAGATCCAAAGTAAATAATTTCGGTAGGATGCCTGTGTAGGGACTGATAGCTGTTGGGGTGGGGGGAAGGGGAGGACACAAAGCAAGCAGTTGTTTTATAAAAATGTTAAAGGATGGATACGAATGTAGATATAGGTTGGATTCAAATATTGCAAAAGATATATTGGAATGCGGAAACAGGATGAATATAAATGTTAAAGGATGGATACAAATGTTGATATCGTTTGGATGGATGGATATAAATGTTATGGCGTATGGATGGATTTTGAATTTAATACAGGATGGATACGAATGTCAAAGGATGGATATGAATGTTGAACAGGATGGATACAAATGTTGAGTTGGATTGAAAAGGATTGATTTGATTTGATTTGATTTGATTTGATTTGATTTGATATGATTCGATTTGATTTGATTTGATTTGATTTGATTTGATTTGATTTGATTTGAATGTTGAAAGGGATTGATACAAATGTTGATGGCAGTTGGATTAAGTTAAAGGATGGATGTGAATGTTATGATGGATTTTGATACATGTTGCATTTGCTTGTTGATCCAATGTGGATACAAATGTTAAGTATGGATACATATGCAAGGGGTTGGATTAAAATGAGCTAAAGATATATTCAAATGTTGTTACAGGATGCATTCATGAATTGGATATGTGTTTGAGACGGCAACTCTCCAAAAGGCTCACTGTATGTAAAGACGACATATAGTTGTATTAGAATTTATTGACAACTTTCTTTCTTTCACATATTCAGCCTCAAGAACGTTCTATATAAATCACAAGTTGATAATTGAACTTGAAACAATAAAAATAAAAAGGTTAAGACAGTAAGTACTAAATAACCATTTGTTGTTAACGTCATTAGACTCAATAGTTATTTGTTTAAATCATAATCAATAATTTATCAACTCTTAGACCTAATAGTGCAGATTATACTGGTTTTGCGAGTTTTGCCAAGATTTAAGCTTATTGCAACTCAAATGAATCTTTACTTTAAAAGAAATACCATGGATACATTCTACTGTACTTGGGAAGAATTTTTATCCCTGGCTGGCAGGTATATATAACTGAAAACTTTGTCTAGTCAAAGCCAAGGATGCATTACAGGTTGCTTCAAAAAAATTAAGATCTCTTCTGCATATGCATGGTCCAAACAATATGAATGTTAAAAATTGGTAAAATGTTAAAGGATGGATACCAATGTTGATATCGGTTGGTTTCAAATTAAAGGATGGATACAAATGTTATGAAGGATTATGAATTTGATATATGACGGATACAGCTGCTTTCTTTATTACAGGAGCTGCTCCTAGAGTCTCTGCTATGTTAGCTGTGCATTACCAGAGCTGCTCCTGGAGTCTCTGCCATGTTAGCTGTGCATTATCAGAGCTGCTACTAGAGTCTCTGCTATGTTAGCTGTGCATTACAGAAGCTGTTCCTAGTGTTTCTGTTGCTTAGCCGTACTTACAGTTTGAGCTACTCCCAGAGCTATTCACTGAGTCTCTTCTATGTTAGCCATACTTACAGTTCGAGCTGCTCCAAGGGTCTCAGCTTTGTTAGCCTTACTCGCAGTTCAAGCTGCTCCTAGAGTCTGCTATGTTATCATCATTGTTATCCTTATTGTTATCCTCATTGTTATCATCATTGTTATCATCATTGTTATCATCATTGTTATCATCATTGTTATCATCATAGTTATATCTTTGTTATCATCTTTGTTATCATCATTGTTATCTTTATAGTTATTGTCTTTGATATCATCATTGTTGTCATCATTGTTATCATTATGTTTATCAGCATTGTTGTCAACATTAGATCTGTGAAGAGCTGTTACACAATGATCTGGTTCTGCTGATGGTTCCACATCAGGTCTGTAAAGAGCTGTTTCACAATAAGCGGTGTCTCTGTTCTCAGAATCATCTGGTTCTGCTGGTGATTCCACAACAGGTCTGTGAAGAGCTGTTCCACAACAAGTGGCGTCTCCGTTCTCAGAATCTTCTGGTTCCGCTAGTGGTTCCACAACAGGTCTAGCTTCTGCTCCTGAAGTCCTAAGTCTGACTAGATCTTCTACCTGCTCCAGATTTATAAAGAGCTGTCTCTAAAGATCAGCTTCTCCAGTCTCAGGTTTAGACATCGTCTGATATCTTGAATATTCTAGTTCTCTGTATCCAGGATTTTCCAGTGGGTAGTTCAGATGGGCTGGTAAGAGAGCAATTGATAAGTCTGACTGGATCTTCTAGCTGCTCCAGATATATGAAGTGCTGTCTGAAAAGATTAGCTTCTCCAGTCTCAGATATAGGCAGCATCTGATATCTTGAATATACCAGTTCTCCTCTGTATCCAGAATATTCCAGTGGGTAGTTCAGACAGGCTGGTATGAGAGCCATTGGTCCAGTTCTAGAAACTACAGGATATGAATCCCTTAATGAGATCTACAGATGAGTATGGTGGAATCTACTGACAAGTTCTTGGTCTATATTGGTATTCTAGCTGCTCCATTTCTTGGGTTTCCCTATTGCACTGTTATTGAGTGTCCCTTTTACATGAACCATCTCAAGAATCTAGAGCTTCATCTGGCTGCTCCATATCTTGGGTGTTTCCATTGAAAGAAGATGGAACTGGAGCAAGTCCTGGAGATCCTGGCTGCTCTGTATCTCTGGTGTCCCTATTACAGGAACCATTTTGAGAATCTAGAGCTTCATCTGGTACATCTTAATGTGTAGTTAAACTAGCCGGGACTGTTACAATCTCAGCTGTGACAGAAACCAATGGAGAAAGGTCCCTTGGGGATGCTGATGAATCTGAAGAAGCAGATTCATGTATAATGGTGGGAGAAGATTCCTCTATTTGTCAGCTGTATTGACTGTTAGCTGTCTATGAAGTACAAGTCTCCAGGCCTTAAGTGGGGTAAACGAGAACTATGGCTCTAACATCTATCCTGTATAAGATCCTGGAGTGAAGTGATCCTATTCTTCAGGTTCTATTATCAGCTTAGATTCAGACCAAGGGTTGAGGGGTTTTAGTATCTGGTCATATTCTAAATATTACACCATGCTTTAACTACTACAACAATCATATCAAAGCTGCAATTCGTATCAAATTTGACAATCGTATCAAAGCTGACACTTGTATCATAGTTGACACTCATATCAAGGTGACACTCGTATAAATTTCATAATCCATCATGTCATTCGTATCCATCCTTAACATTAGTATCCAGATCAGATAAACAATCAAACCCAACCTATAACAAATTTGTAATCCATTATATTATTTGTATCCATCCTTTAACTACAACCTTTATCAACATTCGTAGCCATCCCTTTACATTTGTATCCATTCTTAACATTCGTATCCAGATAAGAACAAAAATTGAATCCAACCTGTATCAAATTCATAATCCATCATGACATTCGTATTCAAATTAGAACAAAAATCATATCAAACCTGTATCAAATTCAAAATCCATTATAACATTCGTATCCATTCTTTTTAACATTCGTACCCAACCTGTTAGAACTAGCAATCATAAAATTTGTATCCATCCTTTAACTCCAATCTATATCAATATTTGTAGCCATCCCTTTACATTTGTTCCATTCTTAACATTTGTATCCAGATTAGAAAGAACAAAAAACGAAACCAACCTGTATCAAATTCATCATTACATTTGTATCCATCCTTAACATTAGTAACCAGATTGGATAAACAATCAAACCCAACCTATATCAAATTCATATTCCATCATTAACATTAGTATCCAGAAAAACAGCTTGCTCCACATCCTCCCCCTTCCCCCTAACTCCACCAGGCATCCCACCGAATTATTTACGTTGGATCTACATAATTCTTTCCCCATTACTTTTAATTGAGTGCAGCATTCAGTCAACTCAGCCCCTGCCTAATTTCCTGTGAAAATAGGTGCTTTTATAAACCTCATTGGATTTATTATCTAGGGTTTCATTATTCTGGGGGTGGGGGCGTCTGTTGAAAACCCTAGTATAATGACATTAACATGATAGAGCAAATACAAAAAAAAACTCAACAAAAAGGGATCAAATTCTGGTTCATATGATTACTGATACAGCTATATGGATTATGATTTTGTGATAGAAAATGAAGGTTAACATTTAATTAACAAAAGAAGGTTAAAATTTAGCTAAATAATGAAACAGTAAATAAACAAAACCTAAAAAAAAATTGATAGTATCCGAGTTACTGCTTAGCTGATTACTGAAATTGGTACCTGTGCCTTTCATGTTCTGATAAAATGATAAAGATGGTTAACATGTTGCTGACAAAAATAGATAATAGCCGTATTGTCAGTTACATGTGTAGCTAAAGTATCTTTCACTGCCCTTGGTATTTTTTAATTTAGTCATTATTCAACAGAAAACTACCTCTGGTATGGATAATCTTTTACTTTACTCAAGGGGGGGGGATGTAATATTTCTTATTTAGGTACAGCTCAACTCTCAAGTGTTACAGTTTGACTGGCTATTATCGATAACATAAAACATTGATGCTCTGCTTATTTAGTGAAATTTTGCAGTAAAGAGCTTTATCTACAGATTGTATAACTATAAAGAATTCTAACAGAATTAAAACTTGTCTTTTCTAATCCTTTGCAACCTGAAGTCAAGGACCTTTGAAATTTCAAATTTTAGATTAGTTACAGTATAAAGTATCAAAGGTACAAATTTTTACAACTTTCAACACTTTTTTCTGAAAAAAAACAACGGATGGGTCTATTCATCAAGTAATTCGAAGACTTAAGTCGGAGGCATGGTAGGATCAAAAAGTCTGGAGCCATTTAAGTATTCCGAAAAATATTCTCTGTGTTGACATTTTTTTTGGAATTTTATGATGAAACCAAAAATACTTTATTTTGATTTGCATCTTTCCATTATATTTGACTGGTATTTAGGTATTTACACCAGAAGGATCCACATGAATGGACAATAGAGCGTCTGGTTGAGAGCTTTCCAACAGATAAATACGAAGTCAAGAAGGTTTTAAAATCCAAAGGCCCAAGAAGTCAAGAAGTTATGCAAAAATTAGACAATCAAGTAAGTCTTTCTATATATTTTTAATAAAATCAAACAGAACAGAATTTCAACAAATAAGTTTAAATTTCTCCCATTACTTTTGTTATATTTTTATTGTTCTTATCCTTTTGCAGCTACTATCTTGTCCTTCATATAAATTGTATAAAAATGTAATTAACTTGTTAACATTTTTAAGATATCAAATTATATCTTGAATTCATAAGTTTATTAATGTTTAGGTGGCAGAAAATTGGAAACAGCTTAGTAAAGGAAACCTAGAAATAGATCTAACTTTTGAAAAACATCTCAAACAGTTTCAAAGGTTAGAAAAAGAGTCTTAAAGGGACTGTAAGCGTAATTTCAAGTGACCGTTACGGAAATGACAGATTCATAACATCACCCTTAAAAGCTTTGTCTGATCAAGTATGAATTATATATCAACTGATTGCGTTTTTCCTACCAAAGTAACTGGCGCATTTCTGCTGCAGGAAAACCATCAGAAGTAAACACTTCAATCATAGAAAAATTAAAATATCTTCCACATCACTGATTAGATTAAGGTTTCAACAGTGCCGTTTTGGGACGGACATTAGCAACTTGGTTCTTGAAGCGTAATTTAATGTGACGCCTAAATGAAAGAGTCAAATGCCCGATTCATAACATTCATAGATAGACAACTCACTTTATGTCTTTTTCATTACTGCTCAGGTAAAGGTGTGAATGGTCTTTCACACCTTTACGTGGGCAGTAATGAAAAAGACATAAAGTGAGTTGGTCTATCTTTAAACTTGTGGACTGTCAATTTTATTCCTTCTCTCGGGAGCCTAAATCTGGAAGTAAACTTGGGAAAAACAATTTGAATATCTGAGTACGTTTCTTCTCACCACTACCGAGCATATTACGTTTTTGGCTGTGTTTGTCTGAATTATCTATCTTATCAGATAAGAATCTACCATGAGACTTAAGCGGCCTATCTAAAGTACGTCATTAGGACGGACCTTGTTCATTCAAGAAACGTACTCAGATTAAGGTTTATTGGGAATCTTTGTGAATATTAGACACAAAAATACATTTTATTATAATTTAAATTTTTCACAATCATATATAAATCTTGTCAAAAATGTTAGATATTTATTTTGTTTAAGTAGAAGGTCCTTAATTGTTAAATTGTTACGTAGGATTCCAGTGGTGCTAAGTGAAGAAGAAGAATCTAATATCCTAGAAAATATAAAACGTGGTTATGCTGCTACTACACCGAAACTCCTAGTAGGTTAGTTACAGTTGATAAGACATAAGACAAATTTAGGCTGGCTCTTCGAAATTGGTCACAAAATAGGTATTGAATCTTTGGAATAGAAAGCCGACTTTGAAACTCAAGTTATTACTTTGAATAGTCAAATGAGCATGAAGCACAGCAATTGTGCAGTGGAAGCAGGCAAATTTCACTGATTTTTTAAAACTTACTAGTAAGGCCTTTGTAACAACATCAAAGACACTTCAGTATTGTTTAAATATTGTCCTCAGTGTCCTCAGTTTTCTGGTTATCATTGTAGGAATTATGGTTAGGAAATATTTTGGGCTTTAAGACACAAAATATGACAATCTCTTGATCAGTTAGGATAAGTCTCGTATTTCATAAATGTGATCCGATGTTTTTGGTTTTTCAAAATTACCTCGATATTAAATAGAATTTTGTTCAGATCATAGATTAATACAGCTTTCCAATATGTTGTTTAAAGTGGAGATTAATTTAAATTATTCATATTATTTGATAAATTATAACCTGGCAAATTTTGAAGGTACAAAATAGCAGACCACATTTTGGAAATCCAGATTTCTTTTTTTAAAATCCTATCTGGATTACTAAAGAATATCAGAGCGTATTCAGGGGGGCTATGGGGTCTAAGCCCCCCCCCCCCGGACCAGTGAAATCTATTGATTACAGGGGGTTTTCAGGCCCTAATGGGTGCTATACCCCCCCTGGAAATAAAAAAACTAAGCCCCCCCCCCTTGGACAAATTCCTGAATACGCTCCTGAATATGTGTTCTGGAAGCTACAAAGAAAATGCCGTGTACACACTGCACAGAAGGGATGTTATTTCAATCCACTGGCACAACGGTACTAAATATCATACAAAATTTTAAAGGGCCATCTTTGTTAATCTAACATACCACTCAAGCAATGGAGGGTGACTTTAAACTGGGTGTACTATTCGTACTATGTATATAAAGTAAACAAAGTTTGTTCGTTTCAGAAGGAGGAGAGTTTACACGGATATATGACGACTACGCCAGGAAGATTGGAAAACTCACTTCATGTCCGCTATTGGAGAAAGAACAAACAGATCTTGGAGAAATAAAGGATTTATTCGGAGAGAATAGTTTACCTGGTTCACCTGCTGTAGGAGAATCCAGTCCTTACGGAGAAACTTCGCTGCTTAACACTAGCTTAAACCTCAGGTAATGCTTTACATTTGCTCCAATACCTCGCTTTTTTAAATAAACAAAATAAATCTAACTTAATGTGCTGATTGTTGGGTTCTATCCTCATAGCGGAATTCTGGTAAGGCCCTAACTCTTAAATTAGGTCACGTGATAAGTTTTATCTATCTATCATAGGCCCCAATAAACAATATCCATGTTTAAAGTGATACACCGCGAAACCTATTACAGACATTTTGTTCACAGTAAACTGCTATACAATCACAATCTGCTCATGTTATCTTTATCGTGGGTTAGGTTAGGTTGGGATTATATTACGGGCCGAGCGCTGTGGCCATTAATCTGGTCCGAGCTCTGCGGCTATTAAACACTTAGTTGTTAAAGTTTGCTAGAATTTCTCTCAAGATCATTACTTCAGGATTAGTCTTTCCCCAATGTCAATCTGCCCATGTTTTCTATGTAGGTGGGTTGGGTAATGCCTCTTTTTCAGGGGTGATCGAGGTTTTGTGATTTTATAAATAAATACATATTTTATTTTTAATTACCCGAGATTTCCGGCCAAAATTTGAGTTAGGGCCTAACCACAAACCTTACAGTAAGAAATTAACAGATTTGCCTGGAGTTTTCCCTGTAAAAATCAACCCACTTAGCTTAGAATTTTAAAACCAGATGAAAAACATTCCCGTGGTTTTACCGCGTTCCAAAATCTAAATTTTAGGCAAATCAGTCAAAATGGTTATAAGAATTATGATCGGACATCGAAACAAACAAACAAACGGAGATTACAACTTCATACGCTTTTTGCTGAATGAAAATTCTTTCAAATAGATAAAATAAGAGAAAATTTTATTTTTTTAATTACTTCTAAATCTAAATCTTTTGTTCAGTAAAGAAAAGAGTGTTGATATAGAAGGATTTAGAGACAAGTACCTAAACCAAAATAAACCAAAACAGAAGGAAACTAAAACCCTAAAACCATTCTCAAATGAAAAACCTGGAATAAAGAACGCACAAGAATTGTACGAGGCATGGTACAGAACTCAGGAAGATAAACGTCGTCTTGTTTCTAAACAGATTCAGCACGTTAACGTTGACGAAATTGTCAGCGCTGAGGCGGCTATAGAGCCTCTAGTGCCGGCCTCGAAGTGGGTGAGGAAGGAGGAGGATGTGAAGGTTTACCAGGACGTAAATCAGAGGACGGGTCAGGATGAAATATACCTGTTCTCAGAGGATAAAGGGTCGAGCTCTATATCTGTTTCATCCTCTCCGGATTTTATAAAAATTCCAGAAAATCTTAAACACAAATTTAATTTTTTCCAGGTTCGTATTTTCTTTTTTTAAACTTTAAAATCGCAATCTTTCTTAAACGGACTCAATTTTAAACCTTTATCTGAGGAGATTACTTTTTTCTCTAACAATTGTCAATTCTCAGAAAGAATAACGAGCATATTTCAATCATTGAAATGGTTAAAATCTGTTTTATTTATGAAATGTTACATTTTAATTTTTTAGGTGAATGATAGTGTTTATGACGCTGATGGAGAATTCTTGTACAGAGTTCCAGGACTTCAGAAATAGAAAAGTTTTTAAGCGAAAATAAAATAAAAAGTTTTCTGAAATTTATCAAATAGGCGAGTTTTTGTATATAGAAGATCAGAAGAATTATGGAAACTTAGGAAAAGAGCAGCTTTTTTGTAATGTTGAATAATATCTTAAAACATTTACAATTTGTATTTATCGTTTGCTTTAATCGGAGCTAATTATGATATTTCATATTCTTATAGAACTATAAACTTGCAATCAGTTGTCAAAGTTTTACAAAAATGTTCTTATATCCTGCAGTATACTGCTTACATTCGCTTACGATTCATCTTTTCTGTAATTTCTGACTTAATTTGTATTTAATCTGTGATATCTTGCTGTGAAATGTAAAACATTTGTTTTGAATGTTTAAAGAAGAAAAGTAAAAATAAAATGTACCAATATTTCTTGGTTTCAGAAACAATGTCGAATATATACGTGCAGGAGCCCCCCTGCGAGGGGAAGGTGTGCCTCGAGACCTCTGTGGGAGATATTGACATTGAACTCTGGTCGAAAGAATGTCCAAAGGTCCGACAGTTTTAAGTAATCCTGAAATTAGTATGTAATGGGTCAACCTTGGAATTTGAGTAAATATTTCAACATTTTTATAAATATAATGAAGGCGACTTTCGAAGTTAATTCTGATTTACATCAAGTTTTTATACAGTGTTTAATATGCTTACACTAAAACATTAAAATAAAGAGAAGCTGTCAATTGAAAAAGCTCTTTTATTTCTTGCATTTCGAAATTATAGAAGTCGTCTTCACTATATTGACATAATCGCCTACCACCGCAGTGCTCTGCTTTGAATTGAATAAAATCTGTTTTTAATAGTGAAGTCTCTCTCAGAAACTTTTACAAAAGCTCTAGATGAACCCTTGATGTAAGTTCCATAAAATCTTAATGCAAAATTCCTGGTATTTTCTGCAAGAAAGTTTTTATATTCGCCTTGTAAACTTTTTAATTTTCTGATTACTTCCATAAATCTCAATAGAGCTATAAACGATCTGATCTGTAGATCCGGATCCGACGTATTTTATTATTAAAGAACTTCCCTTTTCTTTCGAAAAATGTTCATACTTTGTCTTCTTTTTCGGATTTTTTTCTAAAATTTTGCCAATTCTTCACTATTCAAGACGTCAGAACTGTAATTGAGGGATAACATTTATATTTCGGCCCAAACTCTGGCAATACTACTTTTATTGGTAAAAGTGCACATCATGAAATGATTTTTTATTTATTAAATTGAGAAAAAATTTCAAGTTGATAGAAATTGGATTTTAAAAAAAAATTGAATTGATACGTGAAGTAGACTATTTATCATCTCTAAGTAATCGGAGGGAAAACTAATGAAATCTAACAAAATTTTACATAAATAAGATCTAAAAAAGGTTAAAAATTATCCATTTTCGGTTCTAATCAGTAAATGTATTGAAATTTGCTACAACTTCGGGAGTAACGATAGGGATTGAAAATTCAGAGTTTGTGGCAAAGACTCAATCCTCTGAAATGTATTTTAATCAAATGTCGCTAACCTAGAACTTTAAGTGAACCTAGAACCTCAAGTGAACCTAGAACTTCAAGTGAACCTAAAACCTCAAGTGAACCTAGTAATTCAAGTGAACCTAGAACTCCAAGTGAACCTAGAACTCCAAGTGAACTTAGAACTCCAAGTAAACCTAGAACTCCAAGTGAACCTAGAACTTCAAGTGAACCTAGAACTCCAAGTGAACCTAGAACTCCAAGTGAACCTAGAACTCCAAGTAAACCTAGAACTCCAAGTGAACCTAGAACTTCAAGTGAACCTAGAACCTTATGTGAACCTAGAACCTCAAGTGAACCTAGAACCTCAAGTGAACCTAGAACTCCAAGTGAACCTAAACTTACACGAATGGCATGTCCGATTTATAACGGCATTAAATCATTTTTTATTAACTGAAAATTGATTATTTTTGATTGCGTGTGTTTTTATAAATTGTCGATTAATGGAACAGACTAAAAGAAGAAATTTCAAAGTTCTCAAGATAAAAATATAATCACGAAACCTTCCTTATTGTTGTCCGGATGAAGGTTTGAAGGGTATCGTTGTAAATCGGATTATGAACGGCACCCTTTGAGTCGATAGACCGATGTTAATAATTACAAAAAATATGTTTTTTAGGCTTGTCGTAACTTTATACAGTTGTGCCTGGAGGGATATTACGATAGAACTAAATTCTTTCGTGTAGTACCTGATTTCATAGTACAAGGAGGAGACCCAACCAATACAGGGACAGGTCAGCACATACAAGATCATTAACAGTACAGTACTGTTATTCGGTATGAGACGTCTTTAACAATTTTCTCCTTATAGACGCAACAGATAGAAGTAAGATTAGTAGCGATCAAAAGCGCTTTTTTATCGCATTAAGCCTGTGCCCCCTTTCATTTTTCGCGAACACTCCCTTTAAATGTTGAAAAAAAAATTTTAGAAAATCCGCAACTTTCGTTTTTGTTTTACAACGAGGAAATGTTCACAATTGAAATAGAAGATGGACACGAAGCGTCCTAAAAGTCTAGTATTGTGCATTGCATTTACTTTACAGTGTTATGCAAATTCAGTACAGTTTACTGCATTTACTATACAGTGTACTACATTTACTGTACCCGTAAACAACATTTTCTGAACATTGGATTGCATTTACTTTTCAGTCTACAGCATTTACTGTACGGCGTACTTCATTTACTAAACATTGTACAGTAATACACCCAAAAAAGCTCCTGGACAACAGTCTGCAATAAAATTAAAAAATAATAAAATTTTATAAAATTCCTAGAGGAAAATCTTGAAAACTCTTCCTAAGTCGGATATTTTGATTAGTCAGGGGTAGGAGAATTTTTTAAGCAAAATATACCCCTCACAACGCGTTGATTTTTTAATATAAATAATTATCCAGGTGGAGAATCCATTTGGGGCAAACCGTTCAAAGACGAATTTCACAGTCGTCTTCGTATGGTGCGTAGAGGTCTGTTGGCAATGGCAAATGCAGGCAAGGTAATCATATATATAAACTTTGCTTGTCTGTTTCTTTGTATCCGATAAACGTTTAACACCTGAACCGATGGCCCAAATTTTTGCGGGGCCTCACAAGATCCCAGTAAAGGTTTTGGATGGTTAGAATTGAAAAAAAATACCTTAACAAATTTCAATTTTTCAAAATTCACGGGGAGAAAATCGAAAAAACGCAACAATTTTAAGTTGAAATCGAAGATGACTGGTAACAAAAACAATTACAAAAACCCCTATACAATTGCAACCCTAATGTAGGAAAGATAATTTAGTCAATCAAGGTTATAAATCTATGAAAATTCACAAATTTAAATTTTATTTTGTAAAATTTGTTAAGGATGACAACGGTTCCCAGTTTTTCTTCACACTTGCAGCTACCAAGGAACTACAGAACAAGCATACTATTTTTGGCAAGGTACCACTCGCTATTTGTTTGTTTTCAAATTCCTATTCTGAAAAAAAAACATTAAAATGCTATTTTTAGGTAGCTGGAGACACAATATACAATATGATAAGATTAGGTAAAAAAAATACTAATTCTAACTCTAAACTTGTAGTTTTTTGTCCACGCTTACGTAACACGTTTAAAAGAAATTTCTGAATGATAGTAACAATGGTTTCATTCTAAACATCGTTTGATCGTTAAATTGTAAGGGATAACACAATTATTTCAGTCTTGATTTAGTATATTCACTTATGGCAGTTTGGAAGTTGGACGTTCTAAAGATTTATTTTATCTAATTTAATATAAAACTTTGTATAGGAGAGGGTCACATAGAGGATGGAGACAGACCAAAATATCCCCATAAGGTAAACAACAGTGGATATATATTTATACTTAACACAACCAGATACAATTTTCCTGGACATTATCAGGGGAACTTTGTGAAAACAGTTTTTATCTATCTTTGTCCTCTTAAAAATCGAATTTTTGTAATAAAATGGTTTTGTGTACACAATACAACGCACAATTATTATTATTAAAGGGAGTAACCGGCTATGTAAGGTAGTTGAACTGAATATACACTATGCAGTGTTGTGGAAAGCTTCTTTCGGATTCATTTGAGACATGTTAAACGTTTTAAAGATCTGTAAATCCTGAGTTTGAGCGCAAATTCGATGTACAAAACTCCTACTTTGGGGGTGGATACGTTTTCAGAATTAGTTTTTTTTAAATTATTAAATAACGTCGACATAAAATGTAAAAAAGTTCTACAATAAACTACAGACGTCATGTTGAGAAAATAAAAATTAATCTTTTCATCGAAAATAAGTAATCTTGTTCAATTATTAGTTTCTATTATCTCATTATTCTGGTTCCTCATTATTCACAAAGATTTTCGCAGATTTTCTAGAATTATTATTGAAAAGACGACATTTGTAGAATTTGATAAAATCTGCGAATAAATTCAATAAAATAATAAAAACAAAATAATCGATTTGAGCGTTGATTTATTGACAAACTTCTTTTGAGAAATATGTTCCATCTAACTACACTACTGTATAATTTTTACTTTATTTTTCGTTGTCGTTATTTAATGATTTTTAAAAAACTAATTCTGAAAACGTATCCACTATCCACCCCCAAAGTAGGAGTTTTGAACGTCGAATTTGCGCTTAAACTCAGGATTTACAGATCTTTAAAAAGTTTAATATGTCTCAAATGAATGATCTATCTGCTGTGTTTCATGTTAATAGGACATATTAAAATCCTAATTTGAGTCATACGTCGTCTTCCTATTCCGCTGTTATACATAGGTCTCACTTGGGAGTTCAATCAGTTAAGAGCTAATGATTTTTTCAACCGTAAATACGTTTTTGGATTAGTAGGATTCCATGGAAATCGTTGCATTCCAAAAAAAAGTTTTTTACCGAAAATTAACTTCTTATTATTTTGTTAGATTATCAAGACAAGAGTTCTCATCAACCCTTTTCCAGATATAGTTCCCAGGCTTTCTATAACACAGGTTATTTCATAAAGTTAATTATATTGATGTAATGAGTTTAGTTTAGATATGATTTTGTTTGATTTAATTTGATTTGTTTTAGATTAAATTAATTGGTGATTATTTGATAAGATTTTATATAAATAGAGATTGAATTTATTTGATAAAATATTATATCTTATATTATTATATTATTATTATTATATATTATATCTAATTCAGCTTATATTTGATTATATTTGATGTTGTAGGAGTTGGATAAGGAGGATAGGAGGCAGACTAGCAGAATGAAAGCAACAAAGAACTTCTCTCTTCTCTCCTTCGGGGAGGAGGCAGAGGGGGATGAGGAAGTTACAGAGAAGGTTGTCCATCTTATTTATTTATTCATTCTAATATTTAGACCTTAAAGGGACTGTGAGCTTGATTTCAAGCGACCCTTCATGCCAAGGTGACAATGCCCGATTCAGAAAGTTTCTCTTAATTCCGTTTGATCAATAATATGAAAGATATTGTCATTTTTCTAGACTTAAAAGTGTTTAATTCTGATAACTCCTATTGGTTTTCCTGCAGTATAGAAATGCGCAAGTCACATTTGTTGAGAAATCACAATAATGGATTGGTGGGAGGAGTGAATTTCTGTTTGAATTTGTGGGAGCAAGAAGTCAAAATAGATAGATAGACAACGCTTTTAAGAGTACCGTTGTGAATCGGGCATTGCCATCTTTGCATGGAGGGTCACTTAAACTTACGCTTTCCTTAACCTTATTCATTCATCCCTTTACTTCATATATTCATTTATTCTTCTATGCATTCATCCTTTTATATTATTCATTCATCCTTCTATTCATTCATTCTTTCATATCATTCATTCATCCAGTCAACAATCCCCCAGACATTTTTGATTAAGTTTAATTAAAATTTGATATTTGTTGAGGTTGTGAAGGATAGTCGAGGGAAGAGTAAATCGGCCCATGACCTGGCCGCCGATCCAACCCTAGCTCAAGATATAGATACAGAGATTGTAAGTTTTTCACTTGTTTATTTCTTCTCGTTTTTCTTGCAGTAATGGGTACCCTCATTTTTCATTATCTAAGGTAGAGGAGAAGGTAACATTTTAAAAGTTAAAAATATCCCTTTCTTAAATCTTTTAATGATTACATCCAGTAAAATCTTTATTCATAATTTAACCATTCAAAAATAAATATTTTACTAATACATTTTTTTTTACAGATTAGAAGTTCCGTCGACAAAGGTGAAAAGAAAGAGGAAGAAGAGTTAGAAAGAGAAATTTCTTCCATCCGTAGTAAACTAACGAAGAAAGATAAGAAGAAGGGGAAGAAGGAGGAGAAGGAGAAGAATCTCGACGACGATGAATTAGACTGGGACGAGAACCCATTCGAGAAGGAGAGACAGAAGAAGAAGGAAGAGCTTCAGAAGGAGTTCAAGGCGCTCTCGAAGGAGATGAAGGGAAAGAAGGAGAAGAAGAGAGATGTTGAAGTGGAGAAGGAAGAGAAAGAAGTAGTGACTGAAGAAGAAAAGAAGAATGATATGTTGAGAGAGTATCATGAAGAACAGAAGAAATTTCGATCCAACAAGAAGGATAAAATACCGGACAAGAAATCTAAACGCGAAGAACAGACTTTAGCGCTTCTACAGAAGTTCAAAGCTAAATTGTCAGGTTAAACTTTTTATAGTTTTACCTCTTAAATGATGATGATAATCTTCTTTGAGATTTTAGTAATAATATTGAGAAACACTTTGATGTCTTACCATTCAACAAACAACTACTGCGAAAAAAAATCTTTTTATAAATGCTTGATTACATTTTTTGGTGCTTGGTATCCCAACCCAGACTGATGTAAATCCACATTTCAGTTCTGGGACCGAATTAAATGAATTGGCGAGAGGTCGCTGAACTACCTTCCGCTGGTTCAAATCCTTAATCACTGATTCAAAATAAAGATGAAGGGGAATTTGAATCGGTGATGCAAGATTTGAATCGGCTGTAAAGATAGTTCAGCATTAGCAATTCTCCAATTAACTAGATTCAGTTGCAAAGGGAAGAAGAACGTTTGAATTGATTTGATTTATAAACGAATAATAATTCCTAATAAATTATGGATTTCTTCAGGCATAATAGTAGATGAGGACGGAGAAGATAAGAAGAAAGATGAAGACAAAGAAAAGGAGAAGGATAAAGATCAGATGGAGGAAGTAATAATAATTAATCGTAATCATATTAATATTATCATTATTATCATTTTTATTATAAATATTATTATTATTATTATTATTGTTGTTGTTTATGTTGTTGTCGTCGTTGTTATAGTCATAGTCATAGTCATAGTCATAGTCATTGTCATTAAAATGTTTCAAATATTCATTTTTTTAAGGAGGATGAGGATGAAATACTGGGTGATGACTGGATGAAAGCTCCGCTTAAGTTTGAGGATGAAGGATTAAAACTGGCCAAGGATGCAAATACAAAGGTACAATTAAATGAGTTAATCTCTTATTTTCCTTGACTTTCCTTACTAAATATGTAGCTGTGATGTAATTGTACTGAATGATACGTCAGAGACGACTGTACGGAACTTATACGGGTTGTTTACCCTTGTCAATGACTCTCTGCAGCTGCAAAATTATTTCTTTCTGTTCAAAATCATTAAATATGCCATTAAAAGACAATATTTAAGGCCATAAGATTCAATTTAACCTTGAAAACGTCATGTTTGTTTATATGTACGTGTGTCACACTTGTGTGTCTTCAATTTGAAAATACATTATTAGTGCACCCTAGTACATGCTTCTATTATGTGTTGGTGTTCCATTATTGGACCTTTCAGATCTATAAAATTTTAAATTTAAAAAAAAAGATTCACGTAAAAGTTCGTTGATTGGATCGACCCCCCACCAGGCCACCACCACTTTACAATCATAAATATATAGACAGTTTGTTTTTAATTTTCATGATAGAAACAATCTCAAGGAATAATTGTCGTAAAATATTCTTTAAAAAGTGAATATTTACAAATTTTCTTTTTTTTTCCTTATCATGCTCTGAATTCGTTTCCCCTTTGTCCATTTGACGGACCATTTTTTTTGAAAATAATCTTTTTTATTTTCTTGTGGTTATTTTGATTGTTGCTATGTCGTTAGAACTGTCGAGGATCAACCCAGACCGAAATATATTTTCAATAAATGTGGAACTAACATCTACCTTATTTACTCTACAGAGGTTTGGTCCATCACCAACACCGAATTTTAAATTGTTTGTATTAATTTATTCTGAAAGAAATATCTGTGTTTAGGATGATGATTGGTTTGATATATACGACCCAAGAAACAAACTGAATAAACGGAGACGTGAGAAGGATGCTATTGAGGGAATGGAGAAGAAAAGAGCAGAAAAAATGAAGAAATTATAGACGACATTTTATTTAATTTTTTTGGCGCCAAACTGTTCCATTTCATTCTGAATTGTGATTAACGTAATATCTTAAAGTTAAACCAAAAATTCTGTTTCTTGTGTTAAACGTATTCTCTTAATATAAACTGGTATGTTGTGATAAAAACTGCATTCATTTCAATATTTTGTTGGATTTAACCTAGGATTTAGTTTCAGATAAGAAATAAAATGCCTCCGTTAAAGTACACAAAGGTAACAAACTTTTTCCGATATACTTTACTGTAAAAATATGAAAATTATTAAACTAATAAAGAAAATTTAATCTATGAAACCTCACAATTTATTTAATGTAATGTTAATGTCAATCTAACAATCTACGCTCTACAGTGTTGTTACATACAAAGGATTAGACTGAAGAAACAACTGTGTGGAAATTGCTCAGACTTTTTTCTTAGTCTTTTTACTCTGTAACAAACAACATGCTTCTTTCTATGACAAATCATTTTAAGGCAATATTTAAACCTTAACATTGTTATGTTCAATGGGTTTAGGTCGTCATCGTATTTTATAATTCGAAAAAAATGCATCAAGATATTTTCATCTCTTCAAAGGAATTTCATTATTTGATTTTCCTTCTATAATTAATCCTAATTTATTTTCCTACACTAGGTGCTAGGGTATAGTAGTGAAGACACACAGTTTCCTGTATCTAATCTTATAAACAGGGAAACCATCTTGAAATCCTTAAACTGGATTTTAGCTAAGGATTTTCTTTTTAATGGATATTGTTTAGTAAAGGATATTGTTTAGTATAAGATATTGTCTAGTAAAATATATTATTTTTAATGGATATTGTTTAGTAAAGGATATTGTTTAGTAAAGGATATTATTTTTAATGGATATTGTTTAGTAAAGGATATTGTTTAGTATAGGATATTATCTAGAAAAGGATATTTTTTTTAATGAATATTGTTTAGTAAAGGATATTGTCTAGTAAAGGATATTGTTTAGTATAGGATATTGTTTAGCATAGGATATTATTTTTAATGGATATTGTTTTGTAAAGGATATTGTTTTTATGGATATTATTTAGTAGAGGATATTGTTTTGTAAAGGATATTGTTTTGTAAAGGATATTGTTTAGCAAGGATATTGTTTTTAATGGATTTTGTTTAGTAGAGGATATTGTTTAGTAAAGGATATTCTTTTTATTGAATATTGTTTTGTAGAGGATATTGTTTTGTAAAGGATATTGTTTAGTAAGGGATATGGTTTTTTAATGGATGTTGCTTAGTAGAGGATATTTTTAGTAAAGGATATTCTTTAATAGATATTGTTTTTAATAAATGTTGTTTAGTAAAGGTTTGTTTCGCAACTGGTGTTGCCCTAGTTTTTTATAAAGATAATACAGTGTCGAACTCCTTTGAACGGAACCGTAAGCACTCCGTTGCTCAATCCTCCTCATGTTGAATAAATACACAGGATAGGGCTTGAAACTTTATTACGGATTATCAGCTTCAGTCTGACATAAAAAATAACATTTATTTTCATGGAAAAAAGCTTTGAGGGTACAAGAAACAAACAACTTACCCCTCAGACATTAAAAAAACCATGAACAGCCCAATATTTATCATACAACTATTTAAAACTATTCTAATATTTACGAAGACATTTCTCATGTATATATATCAAATATAAGAAAAAAAAGATTGTTTCTTAGTACTTTAGAATAATTTCTCGTAAAGATTGAATATAACGAAAAGAACATTTTAAAACATATTTACCACAGTCATTCGCAGGGTTTTCAGCACGAAATACTAGAACACTTTACTAAGTTCGAATATACACCAGAAAAAACGTTTGAATAATACCGTAAGCACTCCGTTGCTCAATCCTCCTCATGTTGAATGAATACACAGGATAGGACTTGAAACTTTATTACAGATTTACAGCTTCAGTCTAATGTAAAAAATAACATTTATTTTCATGGAAAAAGCATTCGAGGGTACAAGAAACACAAAGTACCCCTCAGGCATTAAAAGACCATGAACAGCCCAATATTTATCATACGACTATTTAAAACTATTTTAATATTTACGGAGACATTTCTCATGGATATATATCAAATATAAGGAATAAAAGATTTTTCTTAACACTTTAGAATAATTTCTCGTAAAGATTGAGTAGAACGAAAAGAACATTTTAAACATATTTACTACAGTCATTCGCAGGGTTTTCAGCACGAAATATTAGAACTTAACACTTTACTGATTCCGAATATACACTAGAAAAAACGTTTGAATACAGAACGCGTCCATGACACAAAACTGCGCCTGCGCAATAAAATCAAAACATACGATATACAACAAGTTTCTCTCCGTATTCAATTCTTTCCAGAAACATCTGTACAGACCGCTCTCTTGTTGTAGGGGTGAACAAGAATTCCCCATTGAACAGGGGCACTTCATAGACTCAAGATACGCGACGTGGCTCGCGTAACAAGGTTATTGTTTAGTAGAGAATATTTTTTAGTAATGGTTATTGTTTAGTAAAGGATATTGTTAAGTGAAGGATATTGTTAAGTAAAGGATATTTTTAGTAAAGAATATTGTTTTGTGAAGGGTATTGTTTTTTGTGAAGGATATTGTTTAGTTAAGGATATTATTTAGTAAAGGATATTGTTTAGTAAAGGTTATTGTTTAGTGAGAAATATTATTTAGTAAAGGATATTTTTGGGTTTAGTAAAGGAAAATGGAGAGGTGCTGAAAATGGGGAGAAATCTTCTTGGGTTATTTTAGAACTGGAGAAATTGGCAAATATCAGGTACTAAACAAATTTTTGAAAGATTTAACGGTGTAAGGTTATTTTCCCAACAGAAATTTCCCCATCAGCCAATTTCCCCAACCTCCAATTTCCCCAACAGCAATTTCCCCAACCGCCAATTTCCCCAACAACAATTTTCCCAACAGCAATTTCCCCAACCGCCAATTTCCCCAACAACAACTTCCCCTGTCACTAATTTCCCTAAAAGCAATTTCTACCAACATCAATTTCCTCTTGCAGTAAAATATAAATAATGATAATGAATTCATCATGTTTGATATCTCAAATGTGCAAATTGAAAATAAAAAAAAATCGCAACTTTTCACATTTGAAATATGTTTGTATTGCGTCATCATGTTGGTATTTTTTACACTGTCCACGACGAAAAATGTTCTAATAAATCCATATGATACAAGTATGAACATACATTGTGAAGAGATAGATATTGATGTTCTATGCCCATTGCCCAGCTAGATATTAAGAAGCATCCAATAATTTTGTTAATTTTATCAAAGATTATTTGAATATTTTCTAAAAATTGTTCAATTTTTTAGAGAATTTTACTGCATGGGGAAATTGCTATTGAGGAAATTGCTGATAAGGAAATTAGCGGTTTGGGAAATTGTGACTTAGGAAACTGCGTTGGAGAAATTACCTAATACCTTTTTATCCTCCCACTCTCCCCCTCTCTCTCTTTAATCTTGATCTAGAATAGCTTTTATGCAATTCTTCCATTTCTATATTTGTTTAAAGATAAAGCTAATACTACAAAGTTTTTAAAATGATATGCAAGAATTCCAATTTCCTCAAGTTGCAGTAGCAAACAGCATATATTATAATGCTTGGAAATATGCCATTGATCAGTAATCAAAACTAATCATAACAATTTCAAATGATGGGCTCTCCAACTAAAAAGTTGGTATCCTTTAAAATGTTAAATGAGCAACAATGAGGAAGATATCTTCGTTTTTATATTTAAATAGTTTGAATTCTGTAATTTCTTTCTTTTCCCCGCAGCATAAATCTACAAAACACTTTTTAGAAAACCCGTAATTAACAATTTTTCAATTTGGCTCAGGCAAGGGTTTAAAGGTACCCTTGTGAATCGATCATGCAACTAATTAAATGGAGGGACACCTGAAATTATGCTGACAGTCCCTTTAATATGTTCTCAATTTCAGTCATCTGGACCTAGGGAACTTTGGATCTGCTTTTATTGAAGTTCAGGTAATGTTTTATGTCTGATTTGATTTGAATTGATTTAATTTGATGATTTGACTTGATTTGATTTGATTTGATTTGATTTGATTTGACACAGATGAATAGCATGCTTCTATCTAACCTGTGTCATAAGAATACCACTAGTCAAATGTTTCCAAAAAGTATGTTCAATATTTAGAACAAAAATCATCTCTCTATTTAAACTCATAAAAAATCATAGATAATCCACAGTATAAAAAATGATAATTAAATAAGCGAATAATGGAAAAGGGTACTTAAAGGAATGCTAAATATAAATTTCAAGAATGGAATGTCCGATAAACAACATAAATTAAATAAGCAAGTCACTTTTTGGAGAAAACACAACAAAGTGTACCGTTGTAAATCGGTCATTCCAATAAAGGGTCACTTGAAATTACGTAAAAAGTAGGTATCTAAATGCGCGTAATTGAACTTTGTTATTCTTTTTGATCAATCAGGTTGGAAGAAAGGGAATGTCTGATTCTGAATTCACAACTCTTCTCACCGCCAGTTCGTTCATGAGCCCGGAAGAATCGAGGAATAGTTTTATTAGTTTATTTCAACTCAGTTAATTAAGTTTAAATAGAATCAGTTTTTAGCAAGGGCAGAAAGAATGAATTTGTATCTTACGGGATTTTAATATTATGAGGGTCTTCGTTTTAAGAGAGTCATGTTCGATATTCACAACGATTAGAGAGACATGTTCGATATTCACAACGATTTAGAGAGACATGTTCGATATTCACAACGATTTAGAGAGACATGTTCGATATTCACAACGGTTTAGAGAGACATGTTCGATATTCATAACGATTTAGAGAGACATGTTCGATATTCACAACGATTTAGAGAGTCATGTTCGATATTCACAACGATTTGGAGAGACATGTTCGATATGCTCAATGATTTAGAGAGCCATGTTCGATATTCACAACGATTTAGAGAGACATGTTCGATATTC